CAGCTCTCAGGGTTTGCGTGCTTATGTTGTCTCATCCCCTGCATGGGGAACTCGCTGTTTATTGACCGAACTTCGTGATACCCCGGCGGGGTTTCGCTTAGCGCTCCCACGCCAGAGCGGCACCGAGGAGCAACCCCTGTCGATGGTTCAGCTCCATGGACACCGTGAGGTTGGTGGCTTTCGTTTGAAACCCCCTCACTGGGATCCAGCTAGCAGGGTTTTCCTGGTCTCAGCGCTTCTCTGTCTTTCCAAAACAGAGGTCGGTGTAACCCTGACCGGCCTGATATCGACGGGTTCGAAGGACTAACCCACGTGTTCGTCGACACTGGCGGCGGAACGTGCATAACCAGCGTTTCGGCCGCCTGGCTTGGGACGGAGGAGGAGCGTGGCAGTTTTCCCTTGCCTGTCGATCCTCGTGTGGGAAGCCTGGCGTAGCATCTGGGTGGCCCAGCCACATGGGCGAATCATGACGTTGCCTGGGACCGTCAACCGCCGCATTTCTACCCTTGGCCTCGTGACTTCAGCGTACCATTACGTTGGGGTGGTTTCGTCTCAAAGTCTGCGGCACTGTTTCTCTCCGTCAGTCCACATTGGCAGGGTTCGTCCAGCGAGTTCCCCCGTTTCCCGTTTGGAGGGTTGTAGTCACTAATCCGGGACAGTGAGGGGAACAATCAGCTGTATCAGGCCCTTGTCATATCACGTCGGGGAGAAGATAGCCATGTCGGTTACCTGTTTTGAAATAGATTGATATGTATGTCAGATTCTTGCAGCCCAGGCACACCTTCGATTGGTCGATTTCTTTCCTCAATTCAGCGTGCAGAGCGCTTGTTAGCGAAATGGGAGGGCAAGTCGGTGCCGATGATGGGACAATGGTGAGCCCGGGGACTTTCTCCATCGTATCTTGGTACACTCTTATGTAAAACCTGGGTAGCTTTTGTATTTTCAACCCATACGCAATAGCTAATAGTCGTAACTGGAGTAGGACGAGTTCTATGACCGGTAAAGTATACCTGGGCTAATGAGCTCCCGGTATTGTTATGTTGATCAAATGATTAGTTGAATTTATTGGAATGGTACCTCTTGCTGATATTTATTTTATTATGTTGTTAAATAGAGCGCAAGAGGTCACCTTGAACTAGCCCTTAACAACATAACTGGATCTTTTAACAATATATGAATCTTGCAATCTAGATTAAACCCGAGCTGCATTCTGAAAACTCGCGCAAGGGTTTGTTTTCACGTTCTCTCCGCACTTGCAATCCCACGGGGCTATGAGTTTGTGTGGATTCCAGCAACTTCTTTGCATCTGTAAGTTTGGGGATCGTCTGAGTGTCACTGGTCGCGGTTCAAACGTGCGGAATGTTCATTACCTCCAGCTCCCACAGCCATGTCTCTCTTTCGTAAGGCGACTCTTCTTCATGCATATCAGACCTGCGCCCGTATCAACTTTCAGAAAAACCAATCCTATCTTAGTCTTATTGACTATGGTACCTGTTATGAAGTATTGCATTCTTTATCGGTTTGAATTGCGGCAGAGAAATCTTGCCCTTGTTGTCAGATGTCCGAGGCACGTGCGGCGTGATTATACGAGACTCCCTTAGAAGAGTCTTGATGACAGTAGCTCTCGTAATAGAAATTCCCTGCCACGCTTACGCATGAAGGAACAGGTCGTAATCAATAACAGGCGAGTCGAAAGCGTTGCGGGAGATGAGAGTGTCAGCCTTTTCATGCAGCGTCTGGCCACTACATGTCTCCTTTGGCACTATATATCCCCGAGACTGGCGCGAGATTATCAAGGCTGTTTCCCTCCTTACACCCATTACAAGATCTAACACTAGCTTTCAGATAGTGCCATTGTTGGCCCCAGGAGTGTCTGGTATCTGGATATCAGGTCTTGCGCATGTAGATGAATCAAGTTCTGCACCTTACTTTCTGATGGCTCGTAAGCAAGGCGATGTATCAATATCATTTGTAGTTACCAACGAGCCTCTCATGAGTATGTATTGGCTGTTTTGGCGACAGTTTCCATGTTCTGGCCCTACGGGGAAGATTGCATTGGAGGTTTCACTACAAAAGATTCGACTGTAGGATGGAACGAACTAGGTAAAGACGGTAGACTTGGAGAGCTTCGAAACGTCCATAATAATTACTCCAGTTGTAAGAAGATTCTTTGGATGGAAATGGACTGAGTGATAGCATAAAAAGTATTCCGAGCAGTGTATTTATCCATATCAATTCATTCCTCGAAGTCATAATTCAATAGTGAGCTCACTGCCTATGACTAGCCCGGAAGATTTTTCAGAGCGGCCAAACCCCGAGAATATAAATGAGAACTCAACAAAACGACCGAGGTTATGAAGAGATAGCTTGTGAAAAATCTCCAGCTCGATGCTGAGGCGGACCATGTCAGACCATGTCCCCTCCCCCTCCCTCCGGACCAGGACCGCAAATTCCGCACACCGACACGCAACAGAGTTCTTTTTCCTATGGACAAGTCCCAACACGGGCCATCGTCTATGATATCACCTTAGCCAGTTTGCACCCGTCTCTAGCGTTTCCCCCTTATGGACGAGGAGGCAGCGCCCCCGAGTTCGCGGCGGTGTGCATGCGAAGCGCTGCTTTAGCCGCAAATACAAAGTGGGTGTTGTCCATCTCTGGTAAACCTTCTCCGGGCCTCGTATGCTGATGAATCATTTCTAAGCGTGATAAATTGCTACCGAAGTGCTCCTCCCGTTTGAGCCACGGCGCAGAGTGTACAGGCCGAGCTCTGCGATTCGACGACGACCCTAATTGGGCTGTAACCATCAAGAGGGCCGCTTTGTTCCGTTAAGCGCTTCTCCTCGGTTAGCCTGGAACAGCAAAATTGCGTATCACACTCACTGTGATTATGTGTGTTCTCTCAAACATGAGATAGAGGATCTTGAACAAGGCGGCATTACCTTTCCCTCCCTTCAAAACAGCAATGACTAGCCTGCTCAAGTATGGAAGACGGTAGCGAGGAAGAGGGCACAGTGCCCATCACTGAGTTAGACATCCTATCTCGAAAAATGTCCCTGTACAGCCATGGTGACGGCAACCCTCGCTAGTACCGGCCCGGATCCCTCTATAGCCGGCATTGCGTAGCGTCACCGGTTGCAGAGTCAAATAGCTTTACGTTTGAAAAAATTCATCCGGGTCTAGAGACCCAGATGAAACTCTCCTCAGACCATGCGAATTCCGTACCCAAGTGTTGAGGGGTCAATGGACCAATACGCGTCCCTGTTTCTCGGAGATTCTACTCCCATCCCGAATCAGAGGCATCCTACTGATGGAAACCTAGTTGAGTAGTTCAACGCATATTTTGGTGTATAGCCTTGACATGGGGCATAACGCGGCCGTTGCTCCCGTGTCTAGAAACGGACCCAGCTCTTGTATCAGTATGAGTTAGATGGGGCTTGAATTAGAGGTGGCACTCCCACATGATCGCTGCTAGGGTGAGCTAGGCAGCCGTGTGCAAGTCAGGGAGGAGTGCTTCATGTCGATGAACATTCTATGAATTTCAGCCATCTGACAGGTCATGGTAGTTTAATTTCCGAACATCCACTTGACAAAATTGAAAAGGGAAGCCTCTCCCGCCATCATGCGGGATCTGAAAGGATCTGAGACCGTCGGAGGAGTGGCGTAGCTATGGTGAAAAGATAATGTCGACAATGCAATATTCGTCGGATCCAAGACAGGAATGAAGGCGACATAAATTCGAGTCTTCAATGGTAAAATTGACTATTTATATTGAAACCTACGCGGGTACCAAGACAGTGAGGCCCTATGTAAGATACGAACCATCCTCGGACTGGGACCGGTTCCTCCCCACCGAACTGACCGGTTCACATCAGGCCATTAAATCCGTGGGGATTAGGTTTGAAGCAATATTGTCGACAGTCATGCAGATATAAGGAAATACTTAAAAACACTAGAGGAAAAGGCGAAAGGCCGTGTTGACATACCCACTCAGCGACGATGTCATAAAAAATGGCATAAAACAACTGTCAACATAGTCTTGCGACATAATTCGGCCCAGAAAATACCAAAAAGATGATATAATTTATTTACAGCACACGAAATTATTATTAGCTCTATTTAATTCAACTATCCTAATGCGGTTACAGGTTGGAAGCTGATATTATTAGAGTTTTCAACGTTGTAAGTTGCGAATCTTTCCCTGTGATCAAATAGACTGTCTGGCAATGACTACGCAAAGTAAGTTTCGCACAAGTTTTCCGCAGGCTAGCATAAAATTCATCCAGAGGCCGCCGCTATATTCTTCATTAATTCTCCAAACATAAAATATGGCTGCAAACTGCCGTGTCAGACCTGGCACAAAATCAAAATCAGCCCCCTATTTTCTCGGCATTTGAATTCCCCAACATGGTAATGCCGTCCGCCAGACTGGTTTGATTACTCGCTCGAGTTATAAATAGCCCGACTGGGCCCAAATAGACACAATGGGTCTCTCAAGAGACTGGGCCCTCGACCAGGGCCAGCTCTCTGACATGTTGCTTGTCTTCGGGTTGCTCCGTTAAATTTCCTGAAACTGTGAGATTGGGTCCCAACGGAGGCCTACAGCTTTACTTCGCTAATCTCTCTCTGGTAATACATCACCCGTTCATGGGGTTTCACTTGGCAACTGAGGGATCAACCCGGAGCTATACTCAAATCAGTGAAGCTCGTGCCGGGCCTCATTCCACGAGATTTTTCTGTAGCGAACACCTGGTTCGTCCCGGACCCGAGAAACAGGTGCACGGTGCACGCAAGTGGCAACCCGGCATTATTATACCGTTGATAGCAAGTCTATGCCCAGGTAAACAACATGGATACGAGTAAGGTTCCGAATTCCTTCAATATCAATAAGTGGAACGTGATCATAACAAGGGAAAGTATAAATCCTCGAATCTCTTCATGCTCGACTGCAAGTATAGCCATCATCATCACACCATTCTACAACTTGTTTCCACCTCACAAAAATGCATTTCGTCAAGACCTTCATCTCACTCTTCGCCCTCTCCGGTTTTGCTATTGCCGAGCTGGGCGGTGACTTCGACGCCGAGTACGGCCTTGCTCGCCGCGAGGTCGAAACCGCCCGGGACGGATACCTCGCTGCCCGTGACGAGCTCCTCGTCGCCCGCGAGGAGTACATGGAGAAGCGTGACCTTTTGAAGGTAAGCCTCCAAAATTTCACTGTTTCTTCTAAACGCCTTGAATTTCTAACAGGATTGCAGAAGACGGGAAAGTGCTACAAGGACGGCATTATGAACTTGTGCGGGAGGCCGGTCAAGAAGAAGGGAGCTAAGAAGGTAGAGATGGAGCCATGTGGTCCTATCTGCCCCCGTGGTTTTGACGGAAAGTCATGCCCTTGCGCGAAGTAAATGTTTTTCTGATTTCTCAGAAATGTCTCGATGACACGGAGAGGCAGCGTTGTATTTACACAAAATTAGAGACATTTATATAAGGCAATCTGGATTCCTTGTTGCTTTGGCTGAGCAGGCGAACTTGTAGATGAATATTCTGGGATGTCGCTAAATCCCTGCCCGTGTACTCCGGGGCTGCCGGTGTAACACGACGCTCAAAGATGGTGATGCACCTGGCAAGCCCCGATCTCTTTGACTCAAATGGCTTCAACTCAATCAACAGCTGATCAACCGATATCATTGTCCCAGGGTCAACTCAGAAGCGTCATACTTAACAAACTATCCTTTACCGCGGACACGCGACATATTTCACACGCGTACCTTCCATATGGCGCAGCAGGTAAGCTTCTCACCAATCTTTCGTCATTGATCCAGTTTTCCTCACATGTCCAACACATAGTATGACCGAATAATGAAGCAATTACGGGGATGAGGGCCCCAGAAGGCACCTGGGGCATTGTCTACACTCCCACAAGCCCTCTATCTCAATCGACACCAGAGTCTCGAGATCAGCAAAGCTCAGACGAGTTGGTACGACCCTATCTGCGGGGTAGACATGATCTTCGAAAATTCAAAGGCGGGGGGAGACAGCACTGCGGTTAAGTTCTCTCCGCCCACCAACACACAAGTCACGCATATTAGATTTGGATTCAAGAAAGTGAGCATTAGGATATCCCATGATGAGAGGTTTGACATTCAAGACGTGTTTCTTCGTAGAAATAGAGCTAGTTACAAGCCAGATACAATCCCTCTAATAATCATCAATAGTCGTTACGTCAATGTTGCGCAAATTTTCGCGCGCCACAGCACTCCCCATCCGACAAATGCCATGTGTCCTCCTGTGACGGACCTATTTAGGCCCCAGCTGGAAGCCCACACAGGGCCAGAGTTATAGTGGTCATCTCTGGCTCGCCATTCAGGTCTCCAAGATACGCAGCTATGCCGTCTCCCACACGAGCAACAGCCACAGCCGCCTCGTTAGGATCATGAAGAATCTCGGGGGCGACGTCTTGCGCCTCGGTCGGTGAACTCGCGGTCGTCTGATACAACGCATGGTCTGGTCTGACGTTCTTGACGAACAGTGCCTTTTGGGTGTACTGCGCAGGCAGCGCCACGGCGTCAGGCGAAGGTTGCCAAACTTGGGGGTTCAGCGTATGCGTTAGCCTATGGGTAAGTCGCCTGTACGAGCCTGCCTCCCAAGGCAGATCAATCTGATTGAAAAAGTTCTTGAGGTCGGGCGGATTCACGCTAGACGCGAAGTGTCCCATGAAGATGCCCGTGCCGCCGTTGCGGATGTATCTGAAGACATGGCTTCGGACCATCATCTGTTCGTGCTTGATCAATGCCGGGTCGGTGACGATGACTGCTCTGGGCGGCGGGTCGTTTCCGAGAAAGCGCAAGGCTGAGTTGCTGGTTTTGGCGCGTTTCAACTTCGCGTCAGTCGACAGCCTGGCCAATAGGCCTTCAAACATGTCGTCGAAGAAATCCTTGTGGCCCAAGGAGATGAGCAGAATACGTCTGTTCTCTGTGTCCGCCATGGTATGCGCTTGTCAGGGCAAGGAAACCAGATGTGTGGGTGGGAGAAATCTCGCGAGGGCGCGGGGTGGCCGTCGGTCCTATGGAGGGATAAACGCGGAAAAGTGAGGCTGTTACACTGCCAATAAAAAATCTCGCTGCTTACGCGGTGCCAAAGTCAAAATCGGGGGGCGTGTAACGTCGTCGTTTCTCATAAAGTGTGTGCGGGACCATGATAGGAAAAAGCAATTCGCGTGCAATGGTGAGTCAGACGACTGGGCAATGTGCCAGACGATCAAACTCACCGCATGTGTGTCTTTCTGCTGTGTCCGAAGGGGGGGGGGGTAATACATGTAATTGGCAAAATCGAGCATCAATCACTTCTTTAGCAGGCCTCTTGACTCGAGCAGGCCGCCTAGGGCCTTCCACTTCACAGGCTTGGTTAGAAACAAATCCATACCACTGCCGAATGCCTCCTTCTGAGCATCCTCGGATGCAAGACCCGAGAGCGCAATGATACAGGCCGGCTCCAGTCCGTTGAGCAATTCGTGCGCCCGTATCCTCCTTGTCGCCTCGAATCCATCCATGACCGGCATGGATATATCCATCAAGATGCAAGAATATGCGAGAGGAGACTTTGAAAAACAGTCCAACGCATCCTGTCCATCCATTGCGGTCTCAAAGTCAAGGTCCGACTTCTTCATGTACGCCGAAAGTACTTTTATGTTGATGTGGTTGTCGTCAACAAGAAGAAATTTGGTGCGAAGAACTAAAGGTGCGGGCTCGGGCAAACGCGAGGGCGACGCCTCGTCACCAGAGCTGAAGCCGACTAGTGTATCATTAGAGCTTGTCGGTGCATCATGGCGTGGGGAAGAAGGGCCAGAGAACACGCTTTCCATCTCCGTCTCGCTGGTGCTGTCTCCCTTACCAATGGGGCTGCTTTCCACCACATCCGGTGAACTCTCACCCGACACGGTCACTTCGGGCACGGTGAAGCTGCTTGGTGTTCTCTTAGGGCCATCGGGCCGCTGGACCAGTAGAGGAGACGGCTTAGTCGTCGAACGCTTCTTTGTCGGGCCCATCCAGCGCCGGTAGGCCAGTAACAGCGTCTTTGCCAACTTACGAGGGCCGATTCTGGCGATTTTGTGAGTCAACCATCCGCTGGGAGCGTGGCCGGGAAGGGTTTGAACTTACGGCTGCGACATATATTCAAAGATGCCAAAATGGCCCTGTGTATCAAAGGCTTCGGATTTACGGTAGGCTTCAAGCGCATTCGAGGAAATAACAATATTCGGTGCTTCGGCCAGTATCTTGATTTCGGCGTAATCTTTGGGGATCGCGTCGTGTGCCCAAATGATGAGGTCGGGCATCACGTCCTTGTCCTCATCTGCTACGACCTCCATCTGAAGCCAGTGCACACACACATCCTTGATGTGGTTCTTAAGAAGCTCTATCTTTTCGAGATTCTCGGGTTCGGGGCAACACATAATCTTGACTCGAAGTCCTTTTAAATCTCGAAGCCAAACCTCGAATTCCTTATCGTCGTCTGAGTAGAATTGTGCGACCTGTGGTTTGGCCACTGGTTCCAAAGGGAGCTCAATCGTCACCGTTGTGCCAACATCTACTTGACTCTCAACGGCAATCCTGCCGCCAAGTTGCGTTGTAATGCGCTTCACGAGACTTAGACCGAGGCCGGTTCCCGGTGCAAGAGTGTCTTCCTGGCTGAAGGGCTTGAACAGTCCATGCCGTAAGTACTCGGGCCCAATACCTTTACCAGTGTCCTGTACCACGAATCTAACGGCGCGCTCGGACTTCTGTCCTCTGAAATGAATGGTGTCTTGAGTGAGTGATACCCTGATTGATCCTTGATGGGTGTATTTCAATGCGTTCCCGAATATATTCATGAGAATTCTTCGGAAAGCTCCTAGTTGCACGCAATACATCCAGTCGCAGCCGGGGTCAATGTGGAGGAATACCACCACATTGGCAAAACGAAATTCCACATCGTCGCTGTTCTTGCGTGAGAGGTTTCTCCCTCTCTCTTTTCTCCCCAGATGTCTGAGGGGCAGCGGCTGCTTGCTTGGCGAATTTTGAAATGTAAATCCAGCAAATACGCTTTCAATAACTTCTTCTGCAAGACCATCCAACCTGCAATTGGAAAACAAATTCTTTTTGCCAAAATTCCTCCAGTCGACTCCCGCAACAGCTATGGGCGACGGCTCTATTTTGCGGGCCCTCTTTCTCATCGTGAAACTATTGACCTTTGAAAAATCAAGTAAGTGGTCTATAGTATCCAGGAGAGTGCGGGAGCATGTCTCGATGGTATGTGCTGTATTGCCTTGAAAAACGTCCAGGTCGGTGTCAAGTAATAACTCGGAGCTTAATAAGATTCCATGAAGAGGAGACCGCAGCTCGTGGGAGAGCGATCCCAAGACGTCAGATTTGGCCTTTTCAGCCCGCGATGTGTGGAAACGTAAGACTTCTGCCATGGCAAGGGTTCCAAAAGCTCGAAGAAATCCCAAGTCTCCTAGGATCGTCAATGCTCGGGAGGGATCTTCGGTGTAGATAAAACCTCCAGCATACCATCTCTCCTTCCTAGGATCCCAAATGGGTATAAATGCGACACTCCGGGCGTTTGGGAAAGCTTGAAGGATAATATTCCCCTCATTTCTGCGGCTCCATGGATTCTTCCTCGGCTTATTCTTCTTCAAGTTTGCGCTCCTGTCAGAGGGCGACTTCGGCTGCTCTGTCGCTTTGTCTGTCGGAGACGAGACTGCCATCTCATCCTCCGAGGAGTCAGAAGTCTGCAATTCGCCGTCTTCGCCAAAATTGAAAACCTTGCCCCTGGGGTACCGATGTAATAATTTGCCGAGGAACCGCTCGGCGATAACAGCGACAGGCCGCTTTACAACCAAACCATCCGCATTGGAGGCACCTGACGTCGAGTATCCAAGAAGGTCGCTTGTTTGGCCATACGTCTGGCCGTTCTCGAGATCTTGGCTTTCATCGCTGCTGCTGCTGCTGCTGCTGGTAGACCTAAGCCCCATAGAGTCTGTCTCCCCGAGATTCAGTGTCGAATTTACTCTGTAAGACTCCATCGAAGCATCAAAAAAGAAGCACCCATCTACTTGTACCGACTCTCTGATGATGGTAGCCGCCTTTGTGAAAATGCTTGTGGGACTCTTGGCCTTGGATGGCTGATATTTTTCTCCCTCCTCTCTTTCTTCATCCCCTTCCTCGTCCTCGTCGAACTCCTCCCTTGGATCAATGCTCCTATCCTTGTCGAGCCTGTCCGTGACGGCTCTCGAGTCGCGGCCAACCTCGCATACAGAGTACACAGCCCGCTTTCCTTCAATAAAGGAGGCCAGGCCACGGTTCATACGCTCGCTTCGCCCGTAAAGATCGCGTAGCCTCTGGGCCTCGAGGTGTCCCATGATGGTCTGTGAAATCTCTCTCAATCGCTCGGTATGATCATCGGTCCAAGGCTTGTTTGGAGTCGAGTCGACAACACAATATACACCAATATTGATTCCTCGTCGAGTTCGGATCGGTACGGCGGCGTAAAAGCGAGCCGGCGATCCAGGACGGCAGAAGGGCGAGGCAGAAAATCGAGGGTCGGTAGTGAGGTCTTGCGACAAGGTGAGTGGGAGAAAGGGAGTTTCGTTCGGCTCCTGGGCAATTGGGGCCCCTTGGGGGGAAGGATCGTTCATCAGAGACACTTCGCAAACGCCATGGATTCGAGGTATTGAGGTTCCGCATAACCATAGAGGCTCGCGACACTTGTCGCTTGGAAGAGAAGCGTAGAGGGGCTGGCGGACAGTTGCTTCGGCGACAATGTGCTGGGCCGAGCTATCGAATAGTGATACTAGCGATCGTTCGGTGCCGGTTTGGCAAGCGCCCAGCTGGGCAAGGGCAGTGAGGACAGCATCACCCGAGGAGACCAGCTCGCGACTGGGGATGCCTTCACCGGAGTCGTTGAATCGGCTGGTGAGAGAGAGGGTGGGGTCGTACCTGGTCGCATTTCCAAGGTCAGCCTTTTGGGATCGTATTTCCAAGCGAGGGGACGGGTGGTAGTGGGGGAGGGGGCCAACTTGAAGGTTTCACGCTCTCGAACGCCCTCTGAGACCGCTTTGTGAGGCTTCACGCCGGGCATGATGGGAACCTGTCGCTTTCACGGCCTTGACAGGTTTTTGGGGAGAGTAGGCCGACGCTGCATTGCGACGGACAAAATGCTGGCCCTCCTGCCTAGCTGCGAGTAGGGTTTACCTAAGACAGCAGGATGGGCGTGGTCTTGACTCGATCTGATCCTCCATAGGTATCTTCGATCTCGATCCCGCGCCTCACTCTCCACTTATCGGGCCTGCCTTGTGCGGCGAGAGGCGCGGAGCGAGTGCTCCAGGGCCGTGGATCGCTGTGGCACAGTGGAGTGGTGGTGTGTTTTGGCGCTGTAGCCTCGACTCTTGGCCACGGTGTGCAGGGTTATGGCATGCTCGCCTTTTTCTTCCCGGGCTACAGGGCCAATCACACGCCCCGGATCGCTGCCCTTTGTCGCTCGCTCACCCACAACGGCTGGCGATCACAGTGCTTCTAGGGGCGCGATCCCTGTAGCTGACCGAGCCAGAAATGCATGACGCACCCGTGTCACTCGCTCATTGCATGCCCACGCGTTGAGACCAGTGGCATTCGCGCATGAAGCTCATCTCGAAAACTGTGTGTGCATGGAAAATACCGAGAGCTAAACAGGTGTGTTTTGAAGTGCCCCAAGCGCGGATCCAAGCCGACCAGGCACCCTTGCACCTGCACCGTTGGCCACAACACTGATTAGTAATCCTCAATGCTACCTTCTCTCCAATAGCGCCACCTACGACCGATTCTCCCCGTTCCAGACTCCCGGTGATTCTGACATTTGGGGGCAAGGCTAGCCAGTTCCGTGCCTTGAATAAGCATGTCTGCGGATATTAATTTTTAGCCTTTCCCAGTTCCAGACTCTGATCCGTGGTCGAATGGGCCTTTATACGATGTTGACTCCGTGATCTCGAATTCGACACGCTCCACCTCGGGTCATGGGACTTGTCGATCTCCTTACCCGTTTGCGCAACTCAGAGCTCTAGCGTGAGCCCTGTCTCCGTTTTCATCGATCATCAGAGGGTCTCCGATCATCACCCGTCTCGTATCTTGCCTGCCTGTACAAATAAGAGTGGCGAAAACAAATTTAGATGGAATGGGTACCTGAACACAACGGCGAAGTGAGAGTCGGCTTGTAGTCTAATGTCTCAATATCACACAACGCACATAACTTACCTAGAAATATATCAACTTGACCCTGTTCACATATCCTTAGGCAAGCTAGTATACGAAGTGATCCCCCAGTGATTGGCTCGTTTATAGTAGCCCCAACGGGAAAGTTTCCATAAAGCGTATCCCGCCGTGACCATTGCAACCACACTCGCAGGCCTTGGCACATCATTGTACAGAAAATATATATATTAAATTTACAATTATTATACAAGTGCAGGGATAAGCTACAACACGGCAATTGCCTCGCACTTCTCACAGCAAGTTGATGCGAAACCTCGGTTCATAAGAGCTACCCTACACTCTCAACACCTGGAGATTCTTTTGCCTGCTGCTCCCCGTGAATTCTTCTAATGCCTCATCATCCGCTCCACCAAATTCCGTAAACGTGACTTTAGGCGCTCAAGTTTATGTATCACACGATTGCGCATGGAAACTTGTCCGTTGTGAGTGTTAGTTTTCTTCATACTGCAACTCTCGGCATTGGTTGTATTGAGAAACTCCGAAGGGTTTTTTTCCATGAAGTCAATTGATCTCTTGAATTCATCGCTTTCGTTGCTGTGCGCGCTTCCAAGTCGTGTTTCCGCATTAGAAATGGCATCTGAAGGAGAGAGGAAAGGGCGGCTCTGCCTCTGCGTCGGCTGCGATATAGACCCTCGTCTAATTGTCGAAGGCGCTCTGCTGATGGTCGTGGTTTCCATGGATGTCCGCTCACTCGATATACCCGGGGGTTCTAGTAGCTTTTGCGAGAATATCCTTTCGTCCAAGTCGTTGATGCTGGCTTCATTGGGCCTGGTTTGGGACCGAGTTTCCAGTGGGACCTTGCAAAAGCTGTCAAGATATTTCTCGGTCTGTTGTTCTTGTTAGTGGAATTTGACCTCATAGAAGACTCAGTTGGCTTACATCGGATGTAAATAGAGGGATGCAGGTGTCAATCTCGCCCAAAGGGGGATCGAGACGACATTCGTTACCGTCGGCGGGGTTCGCAAGAATATAATTCATCTCACTGCATATTCTATCAATCTTATATCGCTGGCCGGGCTTTGCCCTAAGCATATGGTTCTTGATTAGATCTAGAAATAGACCAAGCTGCTTAGAGCAATGCCGCTGCTGGCGAAGAAATTTGAACCACTAGATAGGTAAGGCAGTCAGGGCATGTGCTTGTAATATAGGAGAGGGGAGCAGGAGCGTTTCGTAAGCAAAAAACCTACCCTTTGGACCGAGGGTTTCACACTAGGTCCTCCCACTCCGTCTATGTTGAAGAACTTGTCCTCAACATAGACATATTGTTTATTGTCCTCCAGCCTCCGTAGAGTCTGAAAACCTTGAAGCACTTGGGTTTGGGGTCCATTTGCGCTGTTGAACTTCTCGTAAATGGCCTGGGATCCGAGCAAATGCCAAGTTATTAGTTCGAGATAAACACAGCCTAATGTCCACACGTCGTACATCTGGTTGACCGGCTCCTCGCCGCCCATCCTGGTTTCGGGTGGCTGATAGGTTCGAGAGTATCCAACTTTGGAAGCCGTGCCCTGATCAACAGAATGAGGGGAGTGGAATCTCATAAGTGTAAAGTCAGCAATGACGAGCCGATATTTGGTAGGGTCAGCAGCATCATCATCGCCCTCTTGAGATTGAGAGCTAAAGCAAAGGATATTGAGCGGCTTGATATCTCCATGTCGACCCCGGTTCTGGAGACCGTTCCAACTCTCATGTGTGTGAACTTTCTGTAGAGCCTTGGCTAGACCATGGCATTGTTTTATCATCCAATTTAGCGACTTACTGGAGTCTGGCCGATTTGGGACCTTCTCCCAGAACTGCTCAAGATTGTGTCTAGCCCAGGGAAAAACCATGTAATATGTGGTTTCAGTTTCATAAGACATCAGTAGAGGAATGAGATGTATATGACCTGATTGGGATCCGCTAAATCGTTCTAAAGCTGCTCGCTCATTGTAAAAGTCGTCCTTTTTAGATTGGCGATCACGATGAAATTTTTTCAACGCATAGTACGGCCCAGGTATTCCCCAATTCTGTGAAATCAGTTAGTCAATAAACGAAGTACGGGGGCCATGTTGTATCATCAAGTATATGAAAGCGGCTTCTGTACCTCGTGCTCTTCACAATAGTAGTGATCATGGTGGAACAACACTTTCCACACCCGCCCATGCGTCCCCGATCCTCCCTCAACCTGCTCTTTGGACAGAAGAGGTATCGGTGTCTCATTGTTGAGCTTATAGTGTTTGATCTTTTGGGAGTTGAAATGGAAAAAGGGAGCAAGGACCATATCCTGCTTTTCAACAAATAAATCTGCATCCCTGTCGGTAAACCCTTCCGCTTGAAACACCGCGTGAGTTCGTAAGAGAGGAAGCGACGAGTCGAACAACTCGTGAGAACGAAATAACGTGATGTGTTGGGGCTTCTCTAGCCGTAAGAGAAGCACAAATATCCGGGCACGACTCGTCTGAAAGCCACTTCCCCATATCTGGTTGTACCATAGAAGACGGTCTTCACCCGGAAACCAACACTTCCTCATCTCTTCCAAGTTTTTGTGGCTGAGAACGTACTTCAAACCAGAAAGGGGAAGGTAATGGTTTTTTGTTTTTAGAGAAGACTCCTTTGGACGGAGCTTGGGGGTAATCATGCTATAGTAATGATTCTCCTGAAAACCCCTTGCTTTAGTGGGAGGCTCGCCCATTAATCATCGTGTTCACTCACAAGGGTTCCTTTAATGAGTATGCTATCTTCCACACGCTCACAAACTTGCGATTCCTGCTCATTTGCAGCAGGGGGAAACTTGCACCCGCCGTTAAGTAATCTCTCCCACTCGCTAAACCCCCGATCTATGACGATATCATCTAGATCCATGGAGGGAATTTCTTAAGAGCCAAGAAAGAAACAAACAAATGAAGAATAGAATAGGGCAACACAAGATCAATATCCAGAATATTCGAATTCTCGAATGTTGTAGTTGCCTTACAGACCGCCTTGTAGATTAGCAACTGAATAGATAACTACTCTCTATCTTCATATGGAATCACGCCAGAAGTGCGGTAGCAATGATACTAAATAACCCCTCGCCTATCGATCCTATGAAATCCACATCCTAGCACAGGAACACAGTGCGAGCCTTATTTTCAACAAACCGTCGCAGTTAGATTCCTAGACGGTGTTGGCCTGCTGCCTCTTGGGGTTGTAGCTGATCACCCCTGCTCCTCTCAGCGGCAATCCTGCGGGCTGCCATTTGCCTTGCAGCAACTAGGGTTGGAGGCGGAGGCTATTATCGGCCCCGTATGACAATGCAACCAATATCCGTTCTATATTTGTAAATATCCTCGAGGGATGGTTCCCGGAGGCGGGGAACGCGCCAAAGACCCTTCACAGCCGCAAGTTCGGGAAGTCTAGAATCATCTGCCTTCTTTTGCTTGGCATCTGGCTGTCCATACGGCTGATCAGCTGTAAAAGATCATCTCCGAACCGAAAGTGCAGCGTGATGCTACATTATTAGGATGTGCCCCCCTGCAGTGGCTTGAAGCTGAAGACACCGAAGCGGCGAAGGGCCCTTCGCCACTGTAACATGCAGGAAAATATGACAAGAGACGGTCACTCCGTCAGCGACCACCACCTTCTGAGGTGTCATTGGATGGCTTGGCTGTCCTACGCCATACGTAATATCGAATCATGCTTCCAATAAGCCTCTAGCCCTTTACCGACCGTATGATCGTAGGGGGCAAGACATGAATACCTGATTCATGCTTAGGCTGAGGCGCAGCGTAGATAAGGTATTCATAAAGACCGCCACTCCTCCCCCGCTCCCCAGCCTAACACTTCTCTCAAACAGATTCTTCACATATTTCCCGCTTGTTTCCTTCTTGTTTTTACACAAATTCAAGATGCCGGTCGAAGAGTGTCGCATTCAGTGCCGGCATATCAAGAATCCTCAAAGCCTGGTCAGGAATCTCCAAATATTCTGCAGTAAAAACAACATTGAGATTCAGAGCCTTGAGATGAGAAACGACGAATACATCATTGGGATCAGGCGGCTGCACACTGTCTGCGCATAGACTGGGACGATACAGGTAAGATACACCGCAGGCAACGGCTTATGATCAACCCCTCAGCTGACCGTATGCCTGCAGAGAGTAAGCATGCATGTATGTGTTTTCGGGGAAATAATTGCACATTGGTAATGAGTGGAGGGTCAGCAAGGCGCAGCCGATCAGAAATAAATAGCTGAAAACGCTCTGGGACATGCCACAGGGGTAGATGCCCTGCGGATGTGCGAAGAGCTGAAAAAAAATAAGCATATTCATCCAACAATAATTGGGCAGCGTAACAGCTCACATGTGAGAGGCGCTCTTGGCACCTGTAGGTTATAGTCTCGTGTCTCATCCTCGTAGCATTCTCGCATCATCCGCCCACGAGTTCCTCAGTCTCTCAGCCAATAGTCTCATCCACTGCCTAATATATAAAGCCACTGACGCTGTACGGCTTGTCGAGGTGGAGTTCTCACCAGCAGGCGCGCTGTAACATCGCATAAGGCAACCTGCATGATGACTGGTCCGCATCGGTAATGCTTGAAAAGCCACAGCGGTTCTGCAAGTTATCGGAGGGCAGATTGGCGGCGTATTCCTCAGACCATTGGTTTGCATTTTCCTTCCTCGTTGTAATCCACACCTCGAGTCTCAACCCCTTCACATATTGCGGGCATGTTAATTAGTGAGGGAACAATAGAACCTGAGGGAGAAAAGCCGCGATGCTTTGACGAGTAATGTGTATTTATACGCAAATATGATTGCGGAGCGTATGACTATATTATTCCCGGAGATCCCCCCATACTTCACCAGAGGCCAAAGAAGCTTCATCACTCTTCAATTAAGACATCAGATCGATCCATCTAGTAATCCNNNCCCCCCCCCCATAAACTGCAACGTTGAAAACTATCAACAATGGCTCCTGCAAATCCTCTATCGCCTGTGACCTATGGCGTGGTAAAGCGACGCATAGAGAATTTTCAGCCGAAAGACGAATTTCCTCGCTTTTTGCCACAAAAAGCCATTTCAGAACTCGCCAGTGAAGAAAGGGTAGCAACTACTTTGTCGTCCTTGAACCTGTTCAACCCTGACAAGGTCAATGAGGTTGCACGCTTTGTGGCGGAAAACGCACCAAGACTGTTTCTGTCTCTAATTTTCGCCACGTACCCTTCTCTAATTAAAGATATATTCGAGAACAAGTTGACGGATGAAGACCTGCTGCCTACTCCTTCTGCGGAAACACTAGATAACGCAAGCGACGTCCAAAGACTGTGCGATAACGACCAACTTCATATCCAGTTCAATTCAACCCGCCCTTCGACATTTTTCCATCAGCTTGGCGAGAAGCCTTATGACGACTTCGTTGAAGATCAAGGGGCATTCATTGCCCCTGTATTCCCAAGGGAATTCTCAACCTACGTTTTCCACCCCAGTCGCCACTTGCCATACTCGCGTCCGGAAAACGAAGTTCGGCATGGCGGTTCCTTTTTCAGTGTCGTGTGGAAAGCCATTTTGGATGAGTCTCATTTGAGCCGCGAGTACAGTTTCTTATATGTACGCCTTTACGTTTTCCTTTCATTATCAAGAATACGTTTTCTGATCTGAGTATAATCTAGCCCTACAAGGTGCAAAACGGATTCGAAGTCGCAGTCAAATCTTTAACTACAGCAGAGAGCGACTCTGGTGTCAAAGTCGACGAGTTCTACAAACGAGAGGTCGAGACCCTCGAAAAAATGGCAAAGATGGCCGAAGAAGGTGAAAAACATCTCATTCGGGCCATCGCAGCTTACGGAAGCGGAGAAAAGAGACAATTTGTTTTTCCTTGGGCCAAAGGCGGCAATCTCGATGAGTTTTGGGACAAATTTGACTCGAAAAACTCAGACGGCAAAGACAATCGCATCACGTGGTCCTTGGAGCAGATGGTTGGGATTGCTCGAGCTTTGTCAAAACTCCACGAGCGCAAAGTCCGCCACGGTGACATCAAGCCACAGAACATTTTGCACTTTACGGCAAACAAGCCCGGTTCAGCATCGGGAACCCTGGTGATTTCTGACGTTGGACTTGCGAAATATCATGAAGCTTATACAGTGGATCGAACCAAGTATACAACAACCACGAGCGTCACGGTTGACTATCAGCCACCTGAACCTGAGAAGTTGAAGCGTTCGCGAGTCTATGACAACTGGTCGTTGGGCTGCGTGTTCCTCGAGTTCATAATCTGGCTTGTCAAAGGGTATCACAACCTGTCCGAATTCCGGGCAAAGCTCAAAGACAAGCACAAATTTAAAAGGTTCTGGGAGTATGGGGACGAAGATGTGCCAAAGGTCCATCATGTTGTTTTGGAGAAAATGGAAGAATTGGAAAAAGAGGGGCCTTTGGCTCACTTGACCCGGCCTATGGTTGCCCTTATCAGGACAAAACTTCTGATCACTACTGGCAATACTTATGACTCAAACGAAGAGCAGAACATATTGCAAGATCTCGTCGAGATCCAACGTCTCTCGCGACTTGGGCCTGAGCCACCCCAGACAAGAGACAGAAATCAGCAAGTTGGATCCTCCAGTTCGAAGGACCAGGAGAGAACTGGGATTTCAAACAAAGTGAGAAGAACCCGTCGCAATTCAAAGAAGCATCAACGGAATCACTAACAATACCAAAATAAGTATGTAAGTAGGTCAATCTGGCGCTGTTTTTGGTGTTAAACTACTAATGTGAGTCCTTCTTGGTGCAAAGAATGTAAGCAAACACCCTTCTTCCCGAATTTCTTCCAATCTAATACTAACATCTATCAGCCAGTAAGTATACCATACATACATAGGGGTACCTTAAGCAATATATACCAAGTTACTAATGCCATCAGCATACAACCAAACTCAAAGATGAATGGCAGAACACCACGGACAGAAATTTAGCAGACCGAATAATAAAAAAGCTTGGTTGGCCATCTGTTAAGCCCCCGCCAGAGCCGTCAGTCTTTTGTGAATCGTGCAAAAACTTGAATCCTGAGACGCCTATATGGGAACTTAGTCGTGACATTGACGAATTGACACGAGGTTCTCATACGTGTAGTCTGTGTCGGCTTCTGCTCCAATGTCTTTCAAGCGCTGATTTGAAGAGCGGCGAGTTGATAACACTGTTCCGGGATGAGCAATCCTATGGTTTTCGACTTCTGCCTCAAGGCCCTTCTTTGATATCGTTGTATTCTGACCCAGGTATTTCTGACCCAGTGAGCCTCTCAGTGTGTTCTTACTACAAGCTAACAAGTTTCCAGGTCCAGCCAGTGAAGATCGATCATACCCACCACCTGGCCTTCCGCTACTCCCTAGCCCAGCCAGTCCCCAGCAATTCCAATTGCTAAATAGTTGGATACACGAATGCAATGGAAAGCACAACTGTATGATTGAAACGCAAGATGGGCGTGCTTCTCACGGGCAGATGCCCACAAGAGTGATTGCTGTCGGGAAGGATGAGAACTCCACCATCAAACTTGTGGAATCTGCACTGCTCCCTAAGGACACCAAGGACACCAAGGACACCAAGGACAAATACGTTGCCTTGAGCCACCGTTGGGGAGATCTTTCAAGAAATGATCAATTTCGTACTCTCGACAGCAACATCGGCGACTTCAAGGAAAGCATTCCCTACGACGACCTCCCGAAGAGCTTCCAGGATGCTATACGGGTCACCCGCGCGATCGGTGTTACTTATCTGTGGATCGACTCATTGTGTATCATTCAAGGGAACGATCAAGATTGGGGGAAGGAATCGTGTCGCATGGAAGACGTGTTCAATTCCGCGTACTGCGTTCTGGCGGCCACTTCCGCTGCCTCGTCACTAGAAGGGTTTCTTGGGGATAGACAAGCGCGTGAGTCCGTCACTGTACAGACTCCTAAAGGTCCTATCTACATATGCAGAGCCATCGATGACTTCGACTCCCATGTACAGCGAGGTCTTCTCAACTCCCGCGGATGGGTACTTCAGGAGAGAGCGCTAGCTCGCCGTACTCTGCATTTCACCTCAACGCAGATATATTGGGAATGCGGCGAGACAATTCATTGCGAAACCTTGGCCCAGCTGAAAAAGTAAGCATCTCAAACTCAACCAGCAAAGAATAAGTAGTCAAAGCTTTGAGCCGTCCATGACTAACTCTAGTTGCGTGATAGTCCTCAGTCGCAGTTTCTCGGAGACGCAGATTTCCCCAATTCCGGTCTCCAGTACTACAAGGATGAAAGGATCCGACTTATCCAACATCTCTATGAGCTTTACAGTGGTCTCGGCTTGTCCTATCCAACAGACCGCCCCAAGGCCATTCTAGGACTTGAGCGACGATTAGCTCGTGTCTTCAAGTCCCAGGCTCGGCATGGCATCTTTAGTCAATTCTTCTTCAGAATGCTTCTTTGGCGAGGCCAAGAACGTGGGAAACTTACTCAGATTTTCCGACCAGAAGAAGGACGTGTCCCGTCCTGGTCTTGGATGTCTTGCGCTGGGGCAATCACTTACATGGATGTGCCCTTCAACGGAGTGATTTGGCTGGACAACCTGACGAACCCTTTCACCTTTACGGAAATGCAATTAACCGATGAATGGGATGGTCGCCTCTTCGCTTTGGCAAATGACTTCCTCACTTATTCCTGGAGTAAGCAAGTTGATCTTGTTCTCGACTTCGAGGTTCCGAAGGAGGGTTTCAGCAATTGGAAATGTGTGTTGCTCGGCATAGACAAAGGGGACAGTTCGCCTGGCGCACCAGATTGTTATGTTTTATTGATAAAGGTTGTACCGGACACCGTTCCACTCATCTGGGAGAGAATAGGTGTTGCTAAAGTCAACCACGCACTGATCTCTCCCAAGACCATTCAAGTTATTATCGGTTAAAACCTCATCAAAGGCCTTTAGACCTTGAAAATCCACAATTAACTATTTTCTGACTCTGTCAGATGTCTAGGACGGATATTATTAACAAATTCATTTGTTCACAGTCCATCTCACTTCACCCTTCATCTCATTTTGGACCGCGGCTTAAGCAATCTTGCAATCCGCTTCGATTGTAGCATCATATCTGAAAATAGCCATGTAGTTCTTCGAGTTGATATACCAGCATCTTACGTATCTGAGCTCTGATGGTGAAAAAAGACGATCGGTGGCGTCGTTTTGAGTGTCATCCTCGTCTACCCAGAAGGCGTCGCTGTCATCGTCCGCAACACCAGCCTTGGCCATCAAAGCCTTGGCTTTGATTCGGGCATCATCGCAATCTAACCCAAAAGCGGGGTTGAGCTTTTGAATGAGAAAGAAATTTTGGGTTGATCCGTATTTGCTCTCCAGCCACTGAACTTGCTTTGGAGAAAAAATGTAGTTAGTCTCAAGCATGGGCTCTTGGTATGAATGTTCGCTATCTGCAAGGTCGTCATCGCTATCGTCAGAGTCGTTCTTGATGAAGGTATCTTCGAAGGCTTTCGCAATCACCGGGGCCTTTTTACAGTCCTCGTCTTTGTAGACTTTGAGCTCAAATGCGAGCATAAAATTAATCGAGCTGCCAAAGACGGCTTTGATCCACTGCAGTTGCTTCTCCGTAAACAAATGATCAGCACACTGCGCGTCAGGATCAGATTCATCTCCGCCCATGGAGGAGTCACTCTCGTCCTCATCCTCGTCGTTTTCGTCATCGTCTTCATGGGCAGGGCGCTTTTCTGACATTAGGTTCTGCAGCATAGATCGAGCTACCTCGGAATCCTCATTTTCGCCGAAGAAGCCGGATGATGTCGGTTTCATGTCATTGCGTTTGATTTCAGTGACGATCCGTGTCTGCTCGCTTTCAGGCCAATAGGCGCCGATCACATGCACAACTAATGGTGATGGATCAAAGGGCGAGGGACCAACTTCGGGCCCGATTGGGGGCCCACTGAGTTGGATTTCACAGAGCTTTGTGTCAGGCTTACAATATGCCACTTGACGGCCAGTGGCGGGATCCGTGAATGCTCTGCTCCTGACCGAGAAATTGTAGTCCTCAAACATGGGAGCTCCTATAATGTTGCAGAGGATGCTAGGGACATGCAGCACACCTTCCAATCGAATGGTTCCATGCGAGGTTGAGCCAGTCTTGTCGGCGGCAACTTTGATGGGAAGATTGACTGTGCCCATGCCGATGACCGGCAGTGTCCCTCCGAACTGGATCTCTACAAACGATTTAACCGGCGTGTAGTCATCAGCGAACCATGATCTATCCTTGGCGACGCTGAAGGAGCCGGTCAGTCGAAGAGCGAAACTATTGTGCAGCACTTGGGGTGGGGCATACTGAATGTTGGTCCCATTGGAGACAATCCACGAGGGACAGGGGAGAGGGTCTTCCTTTTCCGTTGGAGGCGCCATCCCAAGAGTTACAACTCGGAGAAGAGATGTCTAGAGAGAAGCCGATGGGAGAACGACCATTGAGGAAAGGGAAGAAATCGAAGTCGACGATGGAAACGAAGTGGAGACTGGTTCGTTTTTGTAGAGCTGCCTGGTGAACCTGAGGCAGGTACACCCCAGAGGCAGGTACAACCCAGAGGATGGACACAAGTGCAAAGCGTATCTTACCCTATATCTAAGAAGTAGGCAATCCCATTCTGCTCGTCAATTTATTTATCTGGAATATTTGGTATGCGTAGGAGTAAGGCCTGATATCTTTGGGAGAACAGTGGAAAGCTTCAATGTCCTCGTCTCTAAGCCGTCAACTGCTGCGGTATATCCACCTCGACTTCCGTCCCTTCACGCTGAGGATTATTTAAAATACCAAGATGAGAAGCCTGAGGTTCGCCTTGGCGACTTTATGTTCCATGCTATTGTGATAATTCAAGTTCTTGTTCCCTCTACCTATGAGCAGGAGATAGGCTACGTGATTTACTTCCAACAGGCCATTCAAAGCGTACAATCTGAATTTAGGGTTTGATTTCTCTCATTCTCAAAGATCCCTGCTGGAAAAGAAAGAACGATGGGGTTAGCGATGCTGCCGGTAGAGTATCAGATCAAGCTGCCTGATGTTGTTGTAGCGAAGTGCCTAGCCTACGTTCGGAGCTCTAGCGAAAGCTACGTTCTGTATTTCCTATGTGAGTAGAATAATAGTAAGCAATTGAATTTAGGCTAGATTTTCTCGGCCGACCCTGGGATCTCAACTGCGACCCGAAGTGCTTCGACGTTTATGCCTCGGGTTGAAGGACCCATACACTGTTTTCATGTTCTTCAGATTGACGAGCTGGAGAAACTCTGTTTTATGATTCTGCTTCGCTCACGTGGCTAGAATTATAGACTGGAGTCGCTGAAGGCAGACTCTAGTCTTGAGGAATACCAGGTAATCATTCGCCCCGGTAGCTAAGGCAGTAGGAGAGTTTAGCAGCCACCGTCAAGATCAGGCCACAACATAGGAACATTAAGTCATAATACCTAGCCCATACAGCAGTGAGGAGATGGTGGACTACGGGTAGGGGGAGAAGTGTCACTGGCGCATAGTTAGTGTGCGGCACTCGGTTGCGTTTGTTTCAGATGCCAACCATTGCGATTGCTTGGTGAAATAGAAGCAAATCGGAACCTTTCCAAGTTGAAAAACAACCCTAGGGGATTCCCAGTCTAAAAGGATTTGCGATCGATGTTTCAGAATATCAATAAAAGCAATTTTGGGTTTAGAACTAGCAAGTCCACGCAAGCTCAGGGAAAGCCGATGATGGTTCAAATTTGGACAAACCTCGGCAAGCTTGTGAAGTATCAGAGGTATCACGGTAGCATCAGACGTGCCCAAAATACCAGTCGCTATACCTAACAGAGTCTATAACACCATATCGAGGGAGTTGTTATCGTTTGTGGGTATCTTCACAGGAACTTTTGCACCTGAGGATGGGGAAAGCCACAAACATGGAATAATTTGGAGATACACACAAAGCAGACGGTGAATATCCCGATGCTGAACCAGTCGGAAATGAAGTGTTCATAGTCGTCAATGTATTAACATATGTGGCACATATACTCTATTTTAGACAGAAATCCAATAGCCATGTTGCTTCAATCCCAAATATCTGACGAATTCACAGGCTGCAAAATCGTCTACGGTCTACCTGCCTTCAGTAAAACCAAGACAAAGCAATTAAGCGGTTGTTGATGATGCAGGCACGGCGCTTATGCCAACTAAGATATTATTTTCAGACTAAAGAGGCCCCTTTCCTTTGGATTCTGATTGCTCACCATCCCGGGAAATTTAGGCTTCGATACAGGTCGAACGCCAGGGTTGGGATATCGATGTTGCTCGGAACTCCACCCTCAGAGCTCGCGGACCATAGCCGGTTGATGCCTCACAAAAGTAGCCTTATCCCGCCCGTGGTGTGTACTATTTAATCGTGGAACTAATGTTCGGGATTATCTTGAGACGAACTAAAGCACTGTGACAAGCTAAAGGGGGCGGATCGCAACGATGTTCGGCACTACGTCGCGTGCCGTTAAGTTGTGGCTAAAAACTGACGTTATCCCTTCAATCTCCCGGACCAAGGCCTTCCTTGACGAATCTTCCACGTGTGGCACCTGGTCTGCCACAAAATCTCTGTTTGTTTCTCTAGCGCGGGCGATGATGATACCTCGTTCTGTGCGATTTGTTTCAGCCTATTCCTTGAACCCTGCAACGCATCAATGATCACTCACCGGCCCCGCACGTCCTCCCCCAGTGGCTTCAACTTCAATTTCACTCATGCCCTGCCTCAGTTTGAGCCGGCTGGTGCGGGAAGAAACAATGCCTAACCTAGTGTACTACGTCCATAGTCCCCTATCCCATCTAGGACTATACTGTCTAACAAACTATCGACCCTGCGCAAACTGACATGTGTTGAACTGGGTTGGCATGGCAGAGTATGGAATTGACCTCAAATTCATCCGGCTCGGTTCAGTTTTGCACGCGGTATGAAAATGCTGGCACCAGACCTCGCTAATGCAGCTTGGTGGCTGCCGGCTTTGAACCTTCGCCAGCAACAGGGCCAAATGATGATGCTACCATGTACTACATGACATACACGGGCATCCTAGTCTATCTGTGATGGCGACAGCGCAGATCATCTCTTTCTGGCATCCGTACGAGGCGCGTTAAGCTGCGGCCTCTAGCACTACTAGTTAGAAGAATGTCCATGCATGACATTGATATGCAACATCTACACCTAGTGATTTTGCGAATCATCCCAGTCCCTGCTCTGCTTTGTGATTACTTGACTCGGGCCAGGTATTTCTGTTAGAGGTACTTTGATTTACCATCTGCATAGCTGCCTTGGTCGTTTGAACTTGGTGGATCAGCCCAACGGCACTCCTATTCCTAACTCACCTCACCCTGGCAGGACCCTCTTCCCCTCCCTGCTATTTTCAAAATATGCAATAAGAGGATACGACGGTTCCTATGTCATTATTACTCCAAGTGCTCGCTGGAACTTCCCGTTTTCTTTTAGTGAACGGTGTTGGTGTACATCAGTCACGTCTCCTCCAGGCGCTGATAAGTTGAGTTTTGCTTTTTCCAACGTTCTTTATTTGGTTGATTTTTTCCGCCGTTTTCTTTCATGCACGCTCGTTTCAAGCAATCGATAATTTTATTATCATATTTAATCTCGTGAGGTTCGAGCACGATTGAACATCGGAATTAACCCTTTAGGAACTCACTCTACGCGAGCAAACGAAGGCATCTCAGTGATTTCCGCCTACGATACTTTGCCACGATATTCCCGGAATGGCTCGACTTCGAGCATTTGTGACAGCCCTCGTTCTCTTTCTTTTTTTTCCTCACAATGTCCGAGGGGATAATAATTCTTTAACCGAGCTCACGAAGCTGCCTTCTTGTGGTGTACGTCAATTCAATCCTCCGTCACAATACCTTCGATAACTTCCGAAGACCTAACCCATCAGCAGCTCGATTGCTTCATGGCTACTACTCCGAATACAACGTGCGGTCCGGCAGACCTAAATTGCATTTGCACTGATTCGACTTTCCAAACCTTGGCATCTCAGTGTATTCAGAGCAAGTGTACAATACGCGAGACTTTTGGTATGTTTGTCGGGGTCCCATCACATCTGTTATAGCATGTGCTGACGATGTTCTCAAGAGATCAAGAAGATCGAAGACGAAGCCTGCGATCGACCTACTCGAAGCCGGAAAGGTTTCCTACTGATACCCCTAGCAGCCGAGATACCTGCTTGGGCATGTCCTTGGGTCCATCTTTACTCGAGGTTAACCACCAGCAACCGATTAGAAGTTGGTGACTGGATAATAATTGTTGTTGGGGTATGTAGCCAGTTGTTTGCATTTACAACCTCGAGCCGAAGGGAATCACAAGCTGACTAGTGGTGTAGATACTGTACAGCGCATTCATGGTGCTAGGACAATACGGTATGTGGTCTGTGCTGCCTACCGGTAGTATTGCTTGACGTGCCACATAGCTTTTGCTAACGCCATCTTTACTTTAGTTGGTCAAAGGTCTTTTGGTGTTGACATATGGACTTTAAATCCAGATGCCTTAACCATGTCATTCAAGGTCAGTGGCCCCTACTCTTCATACGGTAGCACCGACTCGATACCAAGAGCCTATTATAGCTGTTCTATGTGAACGAGTCCTTCTACGTAGTAACTTTGTGCTTATGCAAAGTTTCTATACTCTTCTTTTACCTGCGGACTTTTCCTAGTCGAAAATTTCGCTTAGCCGTAAACGGCGCCTTACTATTAACAATCCTTCCTACCTTCGTAATTATGTTTCTACAAATATTCCAGTGTATTCCGATTGCATACATCTGGGAGGGCTGGCAGAAGCCAGATTACGTTGGCTACTGTTTGAACCTCAATCATCTGACCTTCATCTCAACTGGGTTCAGCATCGTCCAAGATTTAGTCATTCTTATCCTCCCTCTTCCTTCTTTATTCCAACTCAACATTAATATTCGGGACAAGATTGGGTTGGTCTTCATGTTCAGCTTCGGCCTCTTCGCCACGGCCATCTCGTGTCTCCGAACTCTCTACATCATAAAGTTCGACCGCTCCAACGCCAACCCCACATGGGAATATGTCGATCTCATAGTTTGGACCGGCCTCGAGGTAGCCGTTGCCCTCATTGTGGCGTGCCTACCAGCCATTTGGGTTCTCCTGAAGCGGTCCGTCCCGTGGCTTGCTGGCTCGGATCGCAGTGGATACATAAAGACACCGAGCAGGACAGATGTCGATTCCGTAGGCACGAGGAGGCCAATAACCAAGGGCGACATACGACATTTGGTCATGCCCCACGATAGCCATGATAGAAAAGAAGACGGGGCGATGGCTGAGTTAGCACCACCGCCATCGGCAGCACATGCAAATTACTCGCCGAGGCATAGTCCGCTAAGAAGATATGGAAGCTCCCCGACTTTGGGCTCCGGTATTTTGGCTATGAATCGGCCAAAAAGCATTGGTACGAACACGATTGGGTCGGGTTTGTCTAGCTACCACGAAAACAATCACTTTTGAAGGCTTGAAGTCTTTTGGAAAGGGAAGGAAAAGGGCAGATAACAGAACGAAAGAAGGGACGATCATTTACATGTAACGAAATACTTTTTAAAGAAATAATACTGTACAACTATCTCTTAAAACGATTGATAATTCTTAAATAAATCGATGCCTAAATCGGATACAGTAGGAGTTAGATATTGAAGATCAGGGTGGCCGCAGCTTATTAGTGTCATGGACATTTTCAACGTGCAGCTTTACTTGTCAGTAAGATGGCTTCAATAGATTAAGACCGCATCAAACATATACCTTGGCCATGGAAAGATGTATCTGCTCAAATAATCACGGAATATATGATCACCAGCACATGCCCGGATGGTTTGAAAGTAGGTTGGTGTGCACACTCTCTTTAAATTAGTCTATAATAGAAAATCAACAGAACAAAAAGGAGAATCTAAACAAGGCTCAAGATGTTCCAAAAGAACGGCTGCGCAACCGTTCTTAAGATGCTATTCCCGCCATTATCCCCTCGATCGTGTATCGAACGGTCTGTGTGAAGTCGCTTGCTGGCTTCGACTTGACACGCTTTACGCGGTCTTGCAAACAATGCTGCCCACGACAACGGTGTTGGTGGAGAGGTAAGAAGGAGTCTCCTTGGTGAACGGAAGGCCGCTGCTGCCAGTGCCATCGTTGTTCTTGTAAGGTGTGCAGGTAACAGTGTTCTCGTCAACACCGTTAGCTCCCTTCAGGCGGAGGGTGGAAACCGTGGCGAGGTCCTCCACGTTGGTGTAGACGGATCCAATGGGGACTATAACGGTCTTCTGGCAGACGTCGCCAAAGGCATTGCCGCGGTTGGTCTCGATGGTGACGTAGGCTTCGGGAGCGTCACGGGCGACAGCAGGCTGAGCAGCAGCCAAGCTGAGGGCGGAGAGAGCGGCAACGGCGACGGTGGAAGTAGAGAAGAGCATCTTGAAGGTTTGGGAGGAAGTTGGTTGTGTTGAAAGGTTTTGGTGTTTTGAGAAGATTGAGTGGTATGAGTTGAGGTTTGTATTGGATGCGAGTGATGAAGTTGTGATGGATGAGTGCTGTAGGAATTCGTGGCGTTGGGCATCAGTATTTATAAGCTTTGCAACGCAACAGATTATGTCGGTAGACGTTGTGTCTAACTCGCTGTGGCGTCTAATTAAAGCAACGGGCTATGCAGAAATGCCGATCAACAATGTCATGATGCAATTTTCTCGTATCGACACGAACTAGCCGCCAGTTGTCCTGGGGTTTGGGACGGCAACTAAACTGCTTCCCCTCGTCAGCCCTAGTCATGTCGATCATTTGAATGCTACGTTGCGAATTGTCGGGGAATATATCTGTCTGCGTACATACCGCCCATACTGGCCCGTCAGCACTAGCAAGTATCTGATGCCGCTGCTAGGGCAATTGCTGCACGTTGCTCGTATTGAGGTACCTGCATGATTTCCACGGGACAGTCGGCTTGCACGGACCTATTGCTATACCCTTGAACGTACGACTGGCGGATGATCACTGGCGCCAAGTACTGCATAGCCGCCCAGGAGCCTCCTATCCTATGGCCCGGCATCTGGCATTGGATCGTGTCACATTACACATAGTGCAGACAGCTGGGATATGTCCAATAGGCAAAGTTTTCGGACACACAACTTCACGGCCAAGCCCGACGCGAGACTAATGCACTGCTGAGCTGACCCAAGAGTTGAATACGATGTTGATCAATGCTCATACCCAGAATTTCGATACGTGAGCTTCTCTTCTAGGATACCAGAATGCCTCTCTCCTCCAGGCAACGGAGTTTTTAGAGAATCCCGGGTAGTCAAACCCCAGAAGTCATCATACGCTCGAGCCCACATGAGCCTACAAGGTCATTTCTGACACGAACAAGACAAGCTTGACAAGTTACAAACCAGAGACCTGCTTCTTAATAGTCAGTGTGAGAATTCCGTTCTAAGCACCGTCCGCTTGAACTTTGTCATGAATCCGTTTGACACGGTTGGAAGTTTTCAACTGCTTTCCCCCGAACCTCACTACGAAGAGCTACCGCATCTTTTTAAGGGGTATTGGATCGAATGCATCTCTTAATATCATCTAGGTAGATCCCTGCCGAATCCTCTGTTTCTTATATCTCGCCTTCCAAAATCGAGGATTGGATATATTCAGGCCAGTTGAGTGAACTAGTTGCTGACGTCTGCCCCTGAGATACCCAGTATTTCGATATTTATAAGCGGGAAAATGCCCTTTTATTCTTTTATGTGAGGTAATGTTTGGTGTTCTTCCCCAATTTCGCCACTTTTGCCACATCATGCAGTCCCCCTCTGCCCTCGGTCGAATGAAAGAAGCAACAAGCTCTCGAATGCAGAGACATTTGCTGACTGCCGCCGGAGAGACGTAAATTCATGTATTGTCACGAGAGATGGCCCCCGGCTTACCGATGACGCAGTCAGCCAGTCATCTTCAGTATTAGCGTCCCATAGTTGGGTGCGCATATCAAAAGGTAAGGCCTCAACACACAGCGCTTGAAATGCATGGCCGCGTTGTAAAACATCGTAGGTAATCAGAACGATGCTGCACACCATTATGGTCCGGCGCACGCTCTCGGCGAAGACCCAAGCCCTCCAGGGGCTCATTTCGGCTGGTAGACGTGAAGGTGCCTCCTCCCATAGCTGGTATGAAAGATTTTGCATCAATTTGTTGTCTCTTTCAACACTGTGCAGATTGACCTCGTCTTGACCTTCAAGAAGGCGAACCAGCTGTGCTAACACGAGGGCCTGGGCGCAAGCTAGGAGCTCTATGAATGACTTTGCTTGCTTTACTTGACGTAATAATAGCTTGATTTCGAGCTGAAGAATGCGGTGTAACGTGCCAGTTAGGTGACCTTTCTGGCTGAAATAGTACCCGAAAATATAACGGACTTTTTGTAGCGGAGGGGGCAGCTGCATGTCGTATAAGGCCGGATGAACAAATGATGTGGCACCACTCTTAGCAAAATCAGCAGAGAAGCTCTGCAAGACCTTGACCAGCTGTTGGGTTGTTTCTGGATCGAATGACCGGACAATCGTAGGGATTGGAGGATGGTCGAAATGTGAGCTGCAACGGTCCAAATACTGTACAGTGATTGGGGCAGATACGCCCAGTTCGAAGCCTAAACGTCGGTCCCATCCATCAACGTATTTGGGCTGCTTATGCGGGTGATAAACTGCGGTTTCTGCGGGCTCGTTGATGTAGGAGCAGTTGATTCCCCTTTGGTCGCATCTTACACACCTAGGAAAGCCAAGATTGCACCTACGCTTAGCACGAGCGCAGGCTTCGCAGGATCGTTTCAACAAGGGCATATCCGTACTGTTAGCTAAGAGAAGCTAATCTCACTAGGCGAGCTTAACAGGTGAGAAAAAACGAACGGGCTCCCAGTCGCGTAGAACCAGCCAAACTTGATCATGCCACCCAGCCTTTGTAAGACTCGAACCTCGCCGCAGTTCATGAGACAAGCTCAGACGAGGTAGTAATCCGACGGAGATATTGCAACCCTGGTGCCGAAAGTGTCTTAGTCTCCGCAGCGGCAGCAGGGGGACCACACAGAGATGAGGACCGAATAGGGCTTAGACTCCACGCATTATCACAGGTGAGGCATGACTTACAAGAGTCAAGATAGCAAAGAAAGTAGCTGATATCGCAAACGATACATATGAGAACTGGACGGGCTGAATAATATGTAGTAAGTCATTCCGGATTGAAAGCATAAATAGGGATTGTTTCTCCCATCAAGACTTACCAGTTTCCCGACTTGAATCAATACTTCTACTTCAACGATACTCCTCTATACCTGCAAATTAAAAACTTCCAAAGTTACCTAGCCTCACCAATTTCAAGATGGTTCAAGATATCAAGACAGTCATGGTACTCGGGGTATGTAAATCTTGCACTTGTCTGAATTATAGGAACACACGATGCAACCCGGATAGTATAGGGTATGTGCTCATGCTAATGAAATAATAAGGGCCTCGGAAACCTAGGCTCCTACCTAGTCCCATCTCTCTTGAATGCTGGTTTCAGTGTTTCAATTCTAAGTCGGGGCTCGGCGGCCGCATCTGCTCACGGATTCGAAAACGTCCCGGTGGTGCACTCCGACTACACCTTTCCATCTCTTGTCGAAGCCTTCACTGGGCAAAACGCAGTTATCTCGACCATTGCCACTGTCGCTACCATGGACATCAATGACCAGAAAACAGTCATCGATGCCGCTGTCGCTGCAAAAGTCAAGAGAATCCTTCCTAGTGAATTTGGGAGTGACACTTCAGTAGAGGACCTGGAAAAGCACGCCCCGTTTCTTAAAGGCAGACAGGAGGTGGTTCAATATCTTCGAACCAAGGAGGCAGAAGGCCTTTCGTGGACCTCCCTATGCACAGGAGCATGGATAGATTGGGTTAGTGATTATTCTTCCTCCTCAACAAAATCATTTGAATCTAACAGGACATATTCCCACATTTTAACCTTTGCTAACCAAACCGTTGTTTCTTTAAGATGTTGGAAGAAGGCCGCGGCTTGCTTGGTTGGGACATCGAAACGACTTCGGGCACACTATTTGATTCAGGCAACCAGAAATTCACGGCAACAACTCTGAGTAAAGTGGCGGAAGCCATTACCTCAGTCCTGGTGCATGCAGATGAAACTAAAAATCAATATGTTCAAGTCGCTTCCTTCAACTTGACCCAGAACATAGTGTGGGAAGCTCTGGAAAAGGTTTCTGGGAAAACCTTCTCGATGAAGAGGATGAGCACCGCGGATTTGCAGTCGCGAGCAACAAAGCACTTAGCAAATGGGGATTTGGATTCGGCTTATTACGAGTTGGTCACTGCGGCTGTTTATAGCGGCTCAGAAGTTATTCATTTTCCAGAGCGTGCCGCTCACTGGAACTCCGTTTTAGGCCTTGCCCAAGACGAGAGCCTGGATGAGATGGTTGAGCGAGTGTTCAGAAAGACAATTGGTTGACTATGTAACAATACATATAAGCAGTTCATCTGATACATAGCTTTTCTTGTTACTACCATATGAAACAATTTATCTACCTATTCGGAAATATGACCAGTGCCTGTTTGAATATATGTGTGAGATCGTCATATTAAACATATCAGACTACACCATGCTGCCGTTTTTTCTCATCAGCAGGACTTGAAGAGAATCGCGAGGGAAGGCCTCATTTGGTGCATTTGTTGCCCGGAAATAATAACTCTATGCATTCCCGGTGTCATCGTGGATCTGACTGAGCTCTCCCTTTTTACTAGCTGCTACTCCTCGAATTTTGCACATCTATTCAGGGTAGCAGTTGGAATTGAGCTCGATTGAAATTACAACACGAGGCAGCTTGCTAGCGGGATCAAGGGACCTTAAGGACACCCTCCCTCATATCTACGTAATTGCCAGTTGAGTTCAAACCGCGCCTAATATCGGCGGGTCCAAGCCGTTCGCTGTGTTGTTTCCCCGTGCTGACAGAACGGCTTTCAGTAGTCATTGCGGACTGTCCACTGTCGATCCATTGACTTCCAGAAACCGTATTCACCTTCATTTTTTTGGGCGACGATAGAACATGCCACTATACATAACAATAGCTAATATGGAATTAACTTTATGGAACACACAGCGATAGAATAGATGCTCGGCAGTTTTACGGACGCAAGACACGGAACGGACGGTACGGGTCCGCACCAGCTTCAGCCAATGGTAAGCCAGGAGTTGTAATATGCCGACCGCCAGTCATTACGGTAGGGTAATATTTTTGAATTAAAACGCAACTAAGGAGCAAATATGCAGGGAAATACAGCGTCTGTGCGCCAAGATACAGCCGTAGCCCGTTCTAGCCCCGACATCGCTCTCTGCCCCACGGTTTTCCCTCATGACTTTTTCCAATTCCTGGCTGCCCTCGTTGACTCAATCCGATTGACTTTATCAGCAGCTGCCAGACATTGCCAGTGATAAAGAGCTTGGCCTGCCGGGACACCGCTGCTCCTCAATTGCGCCGTGTCTCATCACTCGTCCGTGTTTTCCGGCTTGTCTTTGTCAATTGCAGAAATCATGCTGTCCAGAGCTTTACGTCTGAGCGCCTCGGCGCCCCGAGCTGGAAGCTTGGCCACCGCTGCGAGGAGACAGAGGTAAGGATATCTCCCAAATCACTCCAGACAGCCTTTTTATTTGCATTTTCCCTCCTTTTTTTTTTTTTCTTTTCTTTTTTCTTTTTACCAGTTGTATATCAATACTAACATTCCACTTCCTCCCACAGCCGTCTCTTCTCGTCGACCGCCGCTTTCCGCAAGGATGAGACCCTCAACAAAGTCTCCTCCAACATCACCCAGCCCAAGTCCCAGGGTGCCTCTCAGGCCATGTTGTACGCCACTGGCCTGTCCGAGGATGACATGAACAAGGCGCAGGTCGGTATCTCCTCTGTCTGGTACGAGGGCAACCCCTGCAACATGCACTTGCTTGACCTCTCGAGCATCGTCGCCAAGTCCGTCAAGGACGTTGGGCTCGTCGGCTACCGCTTCAACACCATCGGTGTCAGTGACGGTATCTCCATGGGTACTACAGGAATGAGGTACTCCCTTCAGAGCCGAGAGATCATCGCCGACAGTATCGAGACCGTCATGAACGGCCAGTGGTACGACGGCAACATCAGCTTGCCCGGCTGCGACAAGAACATGCCCGGTGTCGCCATGGCCATGGGCCGAGTCAACCGTCCCAGCATCATGGTCTACGGCGGCACCATCCAGCCCGGCTGCTCCAAGTCCGGCGAGTCCATTGACATCGTTTCCGCCTTCCAGGCCTACGGTCAATACATCTCCGGCCAGATCACCGAGGAGGAGCGCTTCGACATCATCCGAAACGCCTGCCCCGGCGGCGGTGCCTGCGGCGGCATGTACACTGCCAACACCATGGCCACCGCCATCGAGACCCTGGGCCTGACCCTCCCCGGCAGCAGCAGCTACCCCGCCGAGTCCAAGGAGAAGAAGCTCGAGTGCGAGAACGTCGGCCCCGCCATCCGCAACATCCTCAAGGAGGACATCCGCCCCCGCGACATCCTCACCCGCGAGGCCTTCGAGGACGCCATGGTCATCACCACCATCCTCGGCGGCAGCACCAACGCCGTCCTCCACCTCATCGCCATCGCTCACTCCGTCGGCATCAAGCTGACTATCGACGACTTCCAGGCCGTCACCGACCGCACCCCCTTCCTGGCCGACCTCAAGCCCTCGGGCAAGTACGTCATGGCCGACATGCACAAGATCGGCGGCACCCCGGGCGTCCTCAAGTTCCTCCTCAAGGAAGGGCTCATCAAGGGCGACCGCATCACCGTCACGGGCAAGACCCTCAAGGAGAACGTCAAGGACGCACCCGACGTCACCGAGGACCAGGACATCCTCCGCCCCATGAGCAACCCCATCAAGGCCACGGGTCACCTGGCCATCCTGCGCGGCTCCCTCGCCCCCGGCGGCGCCGTCGGCAAGATCACCGGCAAGGAGGGCACGCGCTTCGAGGGCAAGGCGCGCGTGTACGAGTCCGAGTCCGAGTTCATCGCCAGCCTCGAGCGCAACGAGATCAAGAAGGGCGAGAAGACCGTCGTCATCATCCGCAACGACGGGCCCAAGGGCGGGCCGGGCATGCCCGAGATGCTGAAGCCCTCGTCCGCCATCATGGGCGCCGGCCTGGGCAAGGACTGCGCCCTGCTGACCGACGGTCGCTTCTCCGGTGGCTCCCACGGGTTCCTGATCGGCCACATCGTGCCTGAGGCCATGGAGGGTGGCCCCATCGGTCTCGTCAAGGACGGCGACGTCATCGTCATCGACGCGGATAAGAGGGTCGTCGACCTGGAGGTCCCCGAGGAGGAGATGGAGCGCAGGAGGAAAGCATGGGTCCAGCCTGAGCCCAGATACACCAGGGGCACACTGAGCAAGTACGCCGCTCTCGTCAGCGACGCCAGTCACGGGTGCGTGACGGATGGCAAGCTGGAGTAAAAAAACCAATAAAAAATAAGGAAAAGGATGGCAACTGGCTCAGGAACGTAGGAAAGAGGAGGCGTCTTCCAATTGTTTATAAGTTATGTATTCTCAGGGTGCGGCAAGCCCGCGTTTGGTTAAAATTGGGGGCGTTTTGCCCTGTATGTGATACCGCAATGCAAGATTCATTCGACTTGATTTTACATTCACAAACCTAGGCTACTGATAACAAGTAATAGATTCGGTCTTCCATCTCTTAACCCCAACAATATAATTGCAAACTCCAATCCTTCCACAAGCCAAAAATGTCAAGGGCAGACACATACACTCCTCCGGAATATGATTTTTCTTGCTATAATGTCAGAAGGTATTGATATCTTCTTCCCCTTCTTTCCTCGTTTTAGATTTTTTATTTTATTTTTATCTCTTCACCCCTGAAATCCTTCGCATTGCTTAGGCTTTCTTGGAATGGATAGCATTCACGAACGCTTGCTTCTCCTTCATCGTCAACCCCACTCTCTTAACCCGACCAAGTCGTGCCAGAGCCTCTCCAACACGATCAAGAACCCGCTGCTCAGTCTCTGAAAGGGGTTCGCCACCGTCCCTCCGCCTCAGATTGCCCTGGCCATTGACGGCAGGAGAGGAGTCCCCATTAACCTGGACAGCGGAGGTGTTGACCTGGCCTTCAGCAATACGGACCCGAATACAAGTCGTTGGGCGAGATAAGAGGTGCCACAGGAATGAAACCCATCGCCCAGGAATTGGGGTGGTGACCTCGGGAGGCGTGTAGCGAAGACTGACAGGAAATATGCTAACATCGGCCGGCGTCTGGAGAAGAGAAGGGCTGAATGGAAGGATCGCTTTGCCGTTGGTAGTACCGCACTCGGGAAAGACGAGAATGACGCGAGTAGGGTTCTGAGCCAGAAGATCTTTGATATCGGTAAGGTTGGCATCTTTGGGAGGGGCCGTCTTCACCGGCCCCAGGGCGTTGGAGATTGCGCCGAGGAGGCCGACCCGCTGAACCTCTTTGGTGTTGGGGTAGGAGATAGTAAAGATGGGATCGAAGATAGCGGCGAGGTATACGGCGTCGATGGCACTCGTGAAGTTGGCGGCAATGACAGATCCGGGGTGCGGGAATCGATGACGGGGTTGTTCGGCAAGGGTGCCACGTTTGACACCGTCGAGCTGGAGATCGATCCACCAGATACCTGGAATAGCCATCAAGCCCCAAAGAGCAATCTTCCGGAGGAAGACGGGTAGCGGCAGCCAGTGGAAGAAGAGGAAGTAGCAAAAGACGTAGGAGAGGAAGAATGGGAGGCGGAAGATAAAGAGGACAGTATGGGTGATGGCTGAAATCGGAGAGAGGGACGTCGAGACGGGGAGAAAAGGCGCAATGCCCGTGCCTATGCAGAACTGTCAGCCAAGTAATGGATTATAGAAGCGAAGCCCGTACCTCGATCGCGAAACTGGCTGAACTTTTCCATCGTGGCTGGTTTGGACTGCGTGTCGCGTGCAGGGTCTTAGTGACGTTGAGGATAGGTAGCTCTCTATGACAGTTGCAGTGGGGGGAACGTAGACAGGGCTACCGAGACATTTGACTGCTATAAGTTGCGCACGCGAAGTTGATTATGTTGAACATGCAAGCAGAAGGAAGCGACGAAGATGTCAGGATCGAAACGGTGAGGCGCATGCAGAGAGTTTGGGAAATGGACGCAATGGCCTGGGTCCAAGCCAGCTGGTGCTGACTGACATGTGAAGTGAGCTGAGAGAATGTGGGCGAATGAATGTGGGGCCAACCACACACAAGCGTCAAGGTGTGGTGGGCTGGAGCTTGTGCTTAGTCATCCATGTGCACTGGCCTGGTGCAGCCAAGTGCTGATAAGGCCACGGGAGCTATCGGGGCGAGGCTGCAGGGATGGAGCACTGAAGCACAGCGCCCGGATGCCGCAGGCCATAACACGGTTGCCGGGCAGCCACAAACAGGACGGGGGCTCCCACGCATCGAGACGGACGGAACGTAAACACGCCTCTTCACTAGGCGTATATCCAGACGCCGGTTCCACTCTTTGTCGAGGCGCAACTCTGTCAAGCATCTCTAACGGTTTTCAACGACGGGACCGGCTTGCTTTGCTTTGCCTTCGCTTCCCAGCACACGGCCTCGCTTTACAAGCTGGACTCACGGCGCCACAGCTCGACGCGCACCTCACGATCGACGAAACATCCGATACTCCTGCCTTCCATCCGCCGCGAGCGAACTCGATGATCTAACCAATACTCAACTCCTACGTTGCCTTACCCTTCCCCGATAAACACCAATAGACCCGTCGACGCAATGGAGGTCTCGGAACAGCAGGTTGGTCAATGGCTGTCGTGAGGCGCTGCCGCAGAGTTGGGAAGCTGACCTCCTTTCAGCGCATCATGCGAAGCTCCAAGATTAGCCGCCTTCCAGGTCCCAAATCTTCCCAGGAATCCGGAGGACTCGTCGAAATGACCGAGTCGCAAAACAATTCTCGAATTCAATATACCGGCCCGACCTACGGGAAATCGTCAATCCAGGGCGTTAAGCGCGAGACGCCCCAGCCAGGTAATGACGTACCGCCCTCACCAAAGAAAGCATCCAACGGCATGGCGAGAACAGTCACTAACCCTATCATTTCGTGAGCAGCAATCAATCCAGAACCAAAACGAAAACAATTGGCAGAGCGGGTTGGGGAATATCCGCGCAAGACTGGGCTCACGGGGCCTGCAGCGGGGACCCGATCGAACGTACAGGGTATCGCGCTGAATGCGGTGTCTGGTGCGTCTGGGGTGAGTGACTATTCCGATCGCCTCAACATCTTTTTTCCCCTCCCACGACTGCGGTCATTCATGAATTTTTGTCCCCCTCCACGCCCTTGTTCTTCTCTTAAAATATTTCCCTCCCTCGCTTGGTCCTCCCCTCCCACCGGCTAAATTGTTCTGCGGTTCAATTTATTATGCCCGCGTCCTGTGACCAGGGGATTGCCGATTCTGTGTGTGACCGCCTATTGCCGTGCAGCTGCATAATGGTGTGCACACATTTTGAGGTCTTCTCTTGCGAATAGTGTCACAACCGCCACGGCTGGAAAAGCCTCCGCGTCGCTGGCCAAGCGTCATGCAGATGCAGGCTGCCTTGAGGTCGACAACCGAATTATGCATGAAGACTCGTCCTCGACAGACGAACCGCAATCTCCTCTGGGCATTCTGCAGCTCTTGCGGAATGTCCAGCGGAGGCTAGCATTGCATGATGAAGACCACAGTCCTCGGGTCAGCCTCTACATCGAGGCTGCGATTCGAAACTGCCTCATGACCCAGCACCACAATCACAGAACAGTACTGCCGCCTTTCCCCAAATCACAATACCTTGCGTCCACTTTGAACTTTTTGCGTCATTCGCCCGCAACGCGTTTACTGACCCCTCCACAGCTTAAGCCGCCAACAACGTACCAACCATCTCGACAAGCATCTAGTACATCCAGCACATCCTCGTCGTCGACCAACAGCTTCAACAAGAGCATCGGTCCCCCTCGCAGCAACACTCTCGATCGTCCGAAGACGTCCCGCAACAACAATGCCCGCCCCATTCACACCCGATCCAAGAGCCAGGCCGCCACAAGACCCCGCACCGCACATGGGCTATATGAGGAGGAAAGGCATGAGCCACCCTCCAAGACTCAGAGTACGAGACTTCTATCCCAATCCCTACAGACAACACAACAGCTGCACAACCCTAAAACGAGATCGGAGCCGGCCGCTACGACTCGCCTACCACCCATCACCAAATCGAGAGAAAGCTCTCTCAACAAATGGTTTGCGGGGCTCAGTCTCGAAGACCGAAATCCGTCCCACGGGGGTCAAGTGATCCCACCAGCCTCGTCTCGCCACCGATCTGAAATTCCATGTCCTCCCACCCTGCCCCAGGCTACTCCTAGGCGGTTCGTCAAGGAAAAGGGGAGCGGCATCGGCAACATCAAGCTCTCACGCCCGACCACGACGCCTGAGCCCTAGAATGCACCTCAACAAAAGTCGCCGAGCAAGAAGCAGTTTGATGAAAAATTTCAGCGGTTCGGCGAGACAATCACCACACTCAGATCATGCAACTCGCCCTTGAAACAGCCCTCCCCCACAGCGTTTTTGTTGAAGACATCTGACTTACGTGGTTTTACAGCTTTCGATGTGGATGGCCGAGTAGGCGACATGGAGAATCAGTTCAAGGAGCTAAAGGACATGGTCAATAACACCCTCAGCGAGAGAAAAGGCCATGTTGACGCCCTTGAACTGGCCAAAGGCAGAGGTGGGTAGTTGTCGGCAATGAAGTGAAGAAGCGTCTCACGAGCTAACGTATGTCAGTAACCGAACTTGAACGTGAAAGAGACAGGCTTGAAAGCCGAAACGAGCGTCTTAGAACCGAAGTTGATGGAGCCAAGGATGACCTTCGCCATCTCCATCACGAATTAGAGAGACAAAAATGGGAATCAAATCGCCAGATTGAGGACCTAAACCGCCAACACCGAGAAACCGTCGAGGATCTCTCCCGCCAACATCGCAGTGCCGTCGACGATCTGAGCAAAGAGCTTGATTATCTCAAAGACCAGGAATCCAAGGAGCACCAACAACGAATAGAAGGACTTACACGCCACTACCAACAGGAGCTCGATGATGAGCGCCAAAAGAAGGAGCGCGAGATTAAAGATCTGCGGCTACGATTGGGTAATGAGCATGACGACATGAATAGCGCCATGCAGCGCAAAGACAGAGAGATGCAAGAAATGCGTTCTGCAATGGAGGGTTTACGATCTGATCTAGAGCGTGAGAGGGCTCTCAAGAGCAGCTTGCAGACGAACATCGCAGAGTTGTCCGCATCAAATACAACTCTGGAGGCCAAGATCAACTCACTTCGCTCGCAAGTCGAGTTTCTCGAGTCAGACAGCAAGGCACAGTCTGATTCATTCGCCAATATGGAGGCTCGCCTTCAAGATGCCATGCGCATTGCCGAGGAAGCTCGACAGAAACTCATCAAGGAAGAGACGGAGAGACGTGTGCTTTTCAACAAGTATCAAGAGCTCAAGGGAAACATCCGAGTCATGTGCAGAGTTCGACCTATTCTGCATCAGTCAGAAGGAGAACAGGCCGGCATGTCCTTCCCTGATGAAAAGACTTCTGCTGAAATCGTTCTGGCCGGGCCAGAGGAGAAGAGCAGCCTCGGGCACATTACTCGAAAGAACTATCCCTTTGAGTTTGACCGTGTATTCGTCCCCGGCACGCAGAACGAAGAGGTCTTTGGAGAAATTTCCCAGCTTGTGCAGAGCGCCTTGGACGGGTACAATGTATGTATCTTCTGTTACGGTCAGACCGGATCAGGAAAGACACACACCATGTCATCAAGCGATGGCATGATTCCCAAAGCCACGCACATGATTTACGACACCATCACCAAACTCAGGGAGAAATCGTGGGAGTACAGCATGGAGGGCTCATTCGTGGAGGTTTACAACGAAGAGCTGAACGATCTTCTCACTCCAAACGATCACCATCATAAGTCCAAGAAGCTGGAAATCCGACACGATGATGCCCGCAAGCAGACAACCATCCTCAACTGCAAGACGGTGCCTCTGGATTCTGCATCCAGTGTCGAGACGATGCTCCAGGAAGCGCAAAAGAATCGATCGGTGGCAGCCACCAAGGCCAATGAGCGATCATCACGGTCTCATAGCATATTCATTCTGAAGCTCATTGGCGAGAACTATGCCACCGGCGAGCGCTGCGAAGGTACCCTGAACCTGGTTGATTTGGCCGGTTCAGAGCGATTGAAGCACTCACAAGCCGAGGGTGATCGAAAGAGAGAGACTCAGAACATCAACAAGAGTTTGAGCTGTCTAGGCGATGTCATCGAAGCCCTTGGCAAAGGGTCCGGGCATATCCCTTACCGGAACTCCAAGTTGACGCATCTTCTGCAATACAGTCTAGGAGGGAACAGCAAGACGCTCATGTTCGTAATGGTCTCCCCTCTGGAGACTCATTTGAAGGAAACCTTAACCAGTTTAAGGTTCGCAACAAAGGTGAGATTGATACACGTCGGTCGGGGTGAATAAATCGGTTTGCTAACAAATATCTCCCAGGTCCACAATACCCATATTGGTACCGCAAAAGCAACAAAAAAGATAAAGGCCAGCGACTACTAGGAGCAGCTGGAATCAGATATGAGAAAATTGACAATCTTCAAAAGGAGTTGATAGACTCCATCACGCTCGAGCTCAGCACAATGAGGTTTTTTGTTTTAGCGACGGTGTGGCTGGGCGGCGCTACGAATCAGGGGAACCACCTTGGCACAGGATGGTAGGAGGAATCAAGGGATGATTGGCGAATTAAAGAAAGCAGGCGGACAATTGTTGGTATATGTTTTACTTTTGGACGGAGTTGTCGGAGCATTTGGCTGCAGTCTGCATCATTTGTTTTGGAGCGTTTCTTTCATGCGGTTCATCGGCGCACTCAAGAGAGAAAGGCACAAGATCATTTGCACCTTTGTAATGTTCTTCGATGGAGTTGGAAAATATGGTAGAAGAAATGATTATGACATGACATATATACATCATATGCCACAAGGCCAGTAGCGCGATTAAGTTGGACTGGCTTGATCAATGGGCCATATAATGAAAAGCTGAGAGCTGTAGTCTCGAGCGAATTCTACAGTCCTCACTTTTAGATTGACTGGCAGGAGATCTTGTGGTCATGAGCGCGTTCGTGCAGCCTTTGTGCCTACCCTAGACCCCATACATGTGCAACTCTATTCGACAATGGGAACATTGGGGCATCGCTTGATTCATTACTGAAGGCAGATTTTTCATGCCCCATGAAGGCTTCGGGAAACTTTTATCCAATTTGACTAACCTCTTATTATTGGCTGTCAAGGTCGGGCAATCATCCACGGGTGCCTGCTTGGGGGTAACAAACCGCGAACCTTTCTCTCTCGGAGGCCGCTGTTTAGGCATCGCATTTAGACCTGAAGAAAATTCCCGACATACCTACCTGGGTAATACTAGTACCTACCCACCCAAGGTAGCATATATAATGATAACAAGCTTCTAATTCCATCAGCGAAGTAGCAACACTTACTATTAACGCAGTTGGGATGCTAAAAATCGTTCCTCTCGCGAGGAGCCTTCGCTTTTGTTTTGCACTGGTGACCCTGATTCGAATCCCATCGCATTTGCTTTTATTTTTTTTAATTTTTTTTAACAATTCGCTGTCGATATTTTAATTACTTTTAGAAGAGAGAATGCACTTTTAAATAGGGTATGTATTTATCGATGTATAAAAAAGTGAATGAATGTTAATGAATGTTGCTTAGGGATGCGCAGTGCCTCGATAGAAGTCAGGTAGGTATATATACTAGAAAGTTGCTTCAACGCCCAGTGAAGTAGCGAGCATGAACATTTCTCCTTAGAGAACTCGTTGAGCCTTGCTTTCCCGTTTCGGGAAAAGCCTTCGCTTTTGTCATTTTTTTGGTCCCTCTAAGCCACCACTTCGAATCCGGAGCAAGCCAAATTTTTTTTCCCTTTGTTTTTTTTTCTTCAAATCTCGCACTTTGGTTTAAATATTGATTGAATAGCTTGCAATGTGGAATGTTTTTATTGAGATGTTCCTCATTCAGTCTGCATTTGCCTATAGAGGGCCTCACAGGGTTGTCCAGTAGTGGCACGGGGGTGACATTGAAAGGTTCGCCCTGCTGGCCCTTTGGACCCTTGCAACCAGCTTTATGATGTGAATTTTGCTGTGCAGATGCCTTGCAACCGGTTCTATGATTTAAATTTCGCTGGCCGTTTTACCGAAGCGTCGAACCCAATGAGTTCAGCCTAGATGACGAGGTTGGGTGGGATTGCTTGGCGCGATGCATGTGCATTGATGAGTCCTAGGAGTAGGCCTGAAGGCTACCAACGGCACTTGGTAAAAAGAAAACTGTTTATCTGCAACGTTGATGACATTGTTCAAATCTGTTGAAAATCGCATTAGCCTTGATTGAGTATGAAATGAATCCTCTCTCCTGTTGGCCTCTCAGGCTGGGGTTGCACCTGCCCGCGCCTAGAGCTGTTGTGCCTACGGTAAGTGCCGACGCCAAAATTTAGATGTTGGCCAACAGATCGTCACCAACCAACAATCACTTCTCACCAACCTCAAGCTCCATTATTACCACGCTCCCTCGTTCCCCCAGCTTTAGCCGCTATGGGACGTTGTTTCCTATACCACAGTTGGGCGTGAACAGGTTCTTTTCATTTAGCACGACCATTGCCATCCTGCATTGGTTATATTTCTTTTGACGCAGATGGAGATGTCGATTCAGCCGCCTTGACGTGCCTCCCAATTCTCTTGTCTCGACACGCGAACGTATCATCAACCTCCACGATAGGCAGCCACAACGGGCCTCCCAAACCGTGCAATTCCGAAAACCATGAGCGAAGCAAGCTCCAACGGCCTCAAGGGGTCCATGTGGGCTTCCAGCAGCACCCGACCGTACACATACTACAGACCAGATCCGCGCCCGCGATCCGTCCCCCTCTCGCCGTCCCCCCACGACGCCCACCGGACGAGTAGCAATAACGGCCCGGCCCCAAACGGCTCGACGACATTCCTCACCCCCGCGCCGGCTCCCACCATCGCTACAGCCCCGACCAGATCCTCGGCGGTCCTGCCCCCCAGCCTCGCCCTGCACCGGCTGGAGCAGACGTGCCTGCGGCTGCGGTGGAAGTCGATCGACCTGGACAACGCGTGGCGGCGCGCGCAGAGCCCCGGAGAGGGCGGGTGGACGCCCGAGCACGCCGAGGGGAACTTCAAGGTGGATTTCTACGAGTTCTACGCCTGGATCGAGCAGGCCCTCGTGCTGCTGCAGCGCATCTTCGGGGTGGAGATCTCGTCCGGGCGAGGGGGTCGCTCGTGGTCGGGCACGGCGGACCATTCGTTCCACCACAACGTGCTGGCGGCGTTGGAGGAGGAGGGGAACCCGCTGAGGGGTGTGCTGGGGTCCGGGGAGGTGCGGCACGCGCTGTGGAAGGCCAAGGAGCTGCGGAACAGGTGGAAGGACGCGGCGGCAGGGGAAAAGGAGACGCCGCCCTTGAGGATGTACGACTTGAGTTGGATCGTGGGGAATATCTTAGCGGGGCTGGAGGCGGCGTATGGGGTCGCGGCTGGCAAGGTGACGGAGCTGGAGGAGGCTGAGAAGGGTGGCTCGGTCGAGGCGACGGCTGAGGATCAAGGGTGGGATTGGATGGTGGAAGATAGCATGGACTGGGAGGCATAGGAGAGCCCAGGACGCTCAAGAACGATGCGGTCGGGCTTTGGATGGGAACTGAATGTCAGGTTAGCCTTTGAAAAAACTGAGTGTTGGAGTTTGGGAAGTGCAAGGCGTTTTTGTTGGAATATTGGGAATTTGGGTTCATGAGCGAGCGAGCGAGCGGCGGTATCTCTGTTCTTTGGGCATCTAGATTGGCGATGGAACTTATTCATACACAAAGGCATATAGAGAGGTGTATCTAGCACAGCCAGACCGAGAAAGTGTCCCCTATACTGCTTCCGAGTGGTCTGGAAACAATCTCCAGGAAAACTTTTGTAATATTACATTGGATTCTAAGATACAACATATTTATCTTTCCTCCTCCTCTTTCTTGATTTCTTCTTCCTCTTTCTTGATAACCTCTTTCTTAATAGCATCCAACTCTTCATGCTTAGCTACCTCGCCTGCCTCCCCCTTCACCTTCGACTTCCGAAACGCCTTACGTAGCTCACACCGACCCAGATTCTTCCCCCCCGCCTTACACTCCTCACACTTCTTCCCATGCGTGATGAGCAGAACGTGGAGGGGATACTTGTCCCCGTCCGGTATCCTCGCATCCAGATGCGCATGCGCCTCCTCCCTCCCCGCCCCCTCGGGCCGCCACCCCAACAAGCCCGTGATCCTGTGCACGTGCGTATCGACGGCGAAGCTCTCCCTCCTCAGACAAAAGAGCAACACACAGCTCGCCGTCTTGGGGCCAATCCCCTTGAAGGAGAGCAGCTCGCGCATACACGCCGCGTCGTCGCGCTCGGCGAAGAGGTGGTCGAGCGAGTAGGCGCCGTATTTTGCGTGGACCTGCTCGAGGACGTCGATGATGACGCGGGATTTCACGGCCGCGAGCCCGCCCGAGCGGATGGCCTCCTCGAGTTTGGGTCTCCCGCCCTCAACGATGGCGGCCCAGTTGTCGGAGCGGGAGTAGGCGGCGTCCATGGAGAGCTTGGCGCGGGAGGAGTTGCGGTCCGAGGTGTTCTGGGAGAGGATGGTGCGGACGAGGGCGTCGAGGACGGAGGGGGAGGCGCCGCAGCCGGCCGAGGTGGACGAGGCCTTTGGGGTTGAGGCAGGGCGGGAGCGGGCGCCGTGGAGGGAGGAGAGGATGGAGAGGGCGAGGGAGCACTCTTGCGGCGTGGGGTGGGGGAAGTTGGGGTAGGGGGAGGTTCTGGTGAAGGAGTAGGCTGAGAGCTTCTTGGACTGGAGGGCGGCGTCCTTGTCTTTTGGTGATTTTGCTTTGGGAGTTGAGGCTGTCTTCTTGGTCGGGGAGGGTTCAGGCTCGGGGGAGTGATGCTCTGTCTTGATGCGCTTGCGGGGGCTGGGTGAGGTTTTGGGCGGTTTGAGAGGAGAGCTGTTATCGACCAGTTCGCGCTTGATGTTCCTGGAACTTCTCCTGAGAGTGTTCAGCTTAGCCTTGAGCGGCGATGCTGCGGCAGCCGCCATCGTATAGTGTGGTTTGTTGGTCAATTTGAATACTGCAGGCAAAGAGATGGTGAGCAGGCTCGATGTATGGAACTCGGGATTTAAATGTGTGTATGTCTATGAATGGTAATGAGCGATTGACCTATGCCGAGTGATTCTTGTATTTATTTGTGTTTGTATGGACAGTCGTCGCTTCACTAATGATGTGCTGATGTCACCAGTCGGGAGCTTCATCGGACCAGACCCCAGATGCTGCTAATAGGCGGAAAGGCGGGTAGCTGGAAAGGCGGGTAGCTGGAATTAAAGACCTGCCCCACTGGCCAAGCGGAGATCGATGCTGCTCAATCTGAAACGCCAAAGGGAGATCAGGTCACAGTGAGATCGTGCTCCTTCGAGGGACACGAGTGTTGGATGAGGACCAGACCGCATCTAGTTGAATTAGTCCATCATCCGCCATGGCCCAATTGTGTGATAATAGGTGATTATGTATTCCAGAACCTTCATCCCAGCCGAGGCCTGAGCGAAAGTTCCAGGTGGTCTGAGCCAAGCCTCAGGGGCTTCAGCGCGCTTCAGCTTCAATTCGTGCTCGCTCATAGGGCTGGCCCCTGGTTGATCATAATACGAGAGGATCGTATTACGCCAATATTACCTGCATACAAGGTCGTTATACATCTCACTAGGCAGACAGACTTTCATCGACCTGTCATCTTCATCGTGGCATTCCCTCATTTTTCTTCATCAGCCATGTATCTGTAACGAACTACAGCCAGCTGCTCTTCCATGACCCATTCCTCCACACGGCAGGCCAAGCAGATGAATAGCGCCATCAGCCAAAGAAGCAGCTACTCCGGCTCCACTAGCTGATCCGCTTTTACTCGACTTATCTCTGACGATCAAGCTTCGGAAGGATGAATCTACCGACAAATCTGTTCCTGGCCCTCGCCCTCTTCACCTCCAGCTCGCTACAGTGCCACTCCTGGGCAGGGCACTACTACCAGGATCCCTCGTCTCCGGCCTTCCCCTTCCCCTTCCCCTACGTCGGTGGCAACGGGTCTGTTCAGAATCTTGACACAATGGCGCCGGCGGCCCAATGCAGCCGCGCTGAGCGGGTGGCTTCGCTCTTGCTTTCCAAGCATTCTCTTGAGCTTGTCTCCTACCGCGAGATCCAATCCCTCTGGGCGGGATACGGCTCAATTAGTGCAATCACAGCTCGTGCCACCACTGATGCCGCTGCAGAGCAGATGGACAACCTCCTCGGCCGCCGTTCGGACCGGACCTACCCGCTGGTGTTAAAATTGATCGCGCCACCGCCACCGAGCAGTTCGGCCAAGGTGGTTCAGGATGAGGGACACCTGCGCAAGATGCTGAGCTACGGCGTGGAGCAGTACTTTTACACAAGGATTGCTCCGGAACTCGCGGACGATGTGCCCGTGGCTAAGATTGTTGCCACAGCTCAGGCCGACGATGTGACGGGGCTCGAGGTGGATGAGAAGGCGGAGCTCAAAGGGGTCACGGCCACTGTTATGGCTGATTTACGGTCTGAATTCCCCGTCCCAGGGGGCAGACGAGAAAGCTTGAATCAAACCCAGGTGAGCTCCGCCCTAGGCTGGTTGGCGAGGTTCCACGGCAGTTCGTGGGAATGGCTTCCAACAGAGCTGGATGAGTTTCTTTCACCGCCACTGCAGGAGGCCAAGATAAGGAGCGAGCAAGGGGAGGACAAGGGCGGACGGAGCATATGGCTGAATGGAGGGTACACGTACCTTGCAACGCGGCGGAAAGAGTACCAATCTCTCGTCGAAGATAAGAGCTCGGAGTGGTCTGATGCGCTGTGCAAACCCGTCAAAGGCTCGTGCGAGTCCATCGCAGAGATTGTCGCCGCCTTCCTCACGCCCAGCGGCCGGCCATTTGAGACGTATATCCACGGCGATGTCAAGTCGGACAACCTCTTCACCACGCGTTCCGGCGATAGGGTGGCTTTTGTCGACTTCCAGTATGTTGGTCTCGGTCTCGGGGTAAGCGATTTGGCAAAGCTATTCACCTGCTCAGTGCCGCAGGACTTGCTTGTCAGCGAGGACGACGGATCACTGCCGGAGGAGCTGGCAATGGAGAGCGGCGAGAGGAAGCTGTTGGAGGAATACCTCAACACGCTGCACGAATTCGCCGACATGGCCGATATAGACTACCCGTGGGATCTCTTCGTGCGGCATTGGGAGACGGCGCTGGTGGACTGGTGTCGGTTCCAGGCATCGTGGGGATTCTGGGGAAATACGGAGTGGCTCGAGGCACGGGTTCGGTCGATTCTCAAGGACGAGGGATGGAGAGAGTGGCTTCTAGCGCAACGCGACACCGGCGAAATTTGAATAGACAGGAAAAGAATTTGATGATTTCCAGCTGCTCTCTGCTGTGTACTTGGTGGTTGTGCCGATCATCTGTTGGAGGTGTTGTGCATGCAGAGTGGGTGATGACATCATCCACGTCGCCGCCAGACCACCACTTCGACTTGGTGGGTGTGTGTAAACTGCTTCTTCGGGCTAGAACATGATGTTATGCAGTGGATGGTGAGTGATACGGTGGATCGCGATTGATGCGGCTGTTGGATCTGGATGGCAAAACAGGAAATGAGATGGGAGGGAGCCTGTGATGATTTTTATCGTCATCCCGTAGAAGGTGTGCAAGATCCCGGGCAGGTACGACCAACGCGAGAAACAGATGCAAATGCTGGAAAAATACCTTTAAGATCCTGGGCATTTCTCATTGTTCCACCTACCAAATCACCGGAGACCCGAAGTAATTCACCCACTCCAAGAGGCATCGAGAGAACACCATGTCGCGAGTATTGCTGCTTTGTTTCATCCATGGATTCAAGGTACAATCAAACTGCCTCCTGCTAGGGCCCGTCATCGACTAACCAAGCCACAGGGGACTGACAACACATTCAAAGAGTTTCCCGAAGTATGTTTAATCCAGCCACTTCGCATTTATTTCAGAATAGTATATGCTCACGCCTCGCCTTAGCATCTCCAACATCATGTAGGCAAACAGCTCCCCGATCACCATGTGGAGTCTGTCGTCTATCCCAAATACGAAACGAAAGGCGAATTGGAGCAGGCCACAGAGGCCTTTGTGGAATGGTATGCAGACGTATCAAGCTGGAAAAATCCCCAAGCTGACACGATAATCCAAAAGGCTCAAAGAACGAGTGATTGATTGTCGTCAACGCCATTTCAACAACCCATGGCCGCCAGTCGACCGCAAAGTTGGTGTGATTCTCGTCGCACACTCCATGGGGTGAGTGGCCGTCCGGCTTTAACTAGGCCTTGTCTTGCAAACTTCACTTGCTAACAATACCCATAGAGGATTTGTGGCAGCTGATGCTCTTTTCCTAACTCTGAACGAGCGTGCTGCCAAGGGTGTCCCCAACGAGGGCGATGAGAATGACATTGCTCCCTTCCCTCTCATCCAAGGCATCCTCACATTCGACACCCCATACAATGGTTTGGCCCGGTCCATGTTTGTCTACGGCGCCTTTTCAAATTACTCCAAGGTCAGTGGGGTCTTCAATGCCATGACGGCACTCTCAGCCGCTGCTCCTGCCACCTTCGCACGACTGGGAAGCCGAGCCGCTGCAACAACCCGAGCGGCGAGCTCAGGCTCTAGGCTCTCCAGAAGCCCGGCTTGGACCACCTGGCAGCTCGTTGCCGTCAGGACAGGAACTGTCGGAGCCATCGCCGCTGGTGGTGTTGCCGCGTACGTGCACCGGGAAGCCATCATGAAAGGTGTAAAGAGCATCCGGAATCTCAACAAGGACTCCGTCATCGACGGCTACCACCAAGGAATGGACGCCATCGGACAAGGGCTCGCATACATCAACCGTGGGAACGTGGGCAAGTCGTTTGCCTGGCTGGCCGATCATTTCACCTTTGTCGGGGCTCTGATGAAGCAGAAGGAACTGAGCCGTCGCTTGGAGCGCCTCGCCGCCGTCAAGGGAGTGGGGGTTCATGACTTTTACTGCTCCCTAGGGGAAAATGGATACTGGAGTGGCGGGTACTTTGTGCCTGAGAGAACGTTTTGCGCAGTGCCCGAGGAGGACCATGCCGCGTACCCCATATTCGAGAGAAGAGTAATGAGAGAGTCCGACGACGAGATCAAGGCGCATATGAGTATATTCAAACCCGAGAAGCACAAAGGGTACGACATTATGATGGAGAAGTCGGCCCAACTTATCTGCGCATGGTTCCTGAATGAGGCTCCGATTGTCGACGAACCTGCACTCCGGGAAGGCGCACCTGATGAGAAAGAGGAAGACAAGGTCGTGGATGAAGCGCTGGAGAAAGTAGAGAAGGAGACTGAAGCAGTAGAAGAAGGAGAAGAACTTGGCCAGAAAGAAGAAGGCGGCGATGCCCTACCGGACGAGTCTCCCATCGACATTGCAGCAGCCGCCGCGCTAGTTCCGCTGCCTGGGAGCGAAGGGGATCTGGTCGACAGTGCTGATACTGACGATAAGCAAACAGATGAGAAGAGAACATATTTACAGCATCTATTTCGGGTCGCCGAGCAAGCTGGGTCGGGAGCCAAAACCTGGTGGCCAGCAAAGGTACCGGCTGTACCTTCGTCATTGCCCAAAGTACCCAATCTGCCCAATGTCTCTTCTGCCATATCGTCGCTGGGACAAGTGTCTATGCCACAAGTGTCTATGCCAAGTGTCAATCTATTTGGAAAGAAGGATGGCTCTCCCGCGAAGAAGACAGAAGAAGAGAAGACTGTCAGCCCGATTGTCGAGGGTGATCCGGCAAATACTGATTCTTCTGCTCAGAAAACGGCACAGGAGACCAGCAAGCCATCCCAGGAATGAGTGGTTGAAAAAAAAACATGTTTGTGATATATATCTATCTAATTAATATTTTGACCTTGGAATTTAGACTGAATTCATCCAGTCTTCTAAATATCTTCTTTAATGTCTTCTTTTATTTCGGCACCTCCCGTATCATCGCCCACCCCTTCTCTACAGTCCCTCTATACTTCTCAGCCAATGTCTCGTCCCTGCTCATCCCCAAGCTCTTCAGATGCTCCAGCACCTTGACCGTCCATGCGCCATCATCCAGCGTGAACTCGGCAAGAGACACAAATCCCAGCCTCACGTACAACCCATACCCTTTCTCCGAGGACGTGAGAATCGACGGCACGCCCTGCGCATCCGCCTCGTCTAGCGCCTTCTGCAGCAGCTTCTTCCCAATCCCTTGCCGCTGACGATCCGGGAGGATCATGACCTGCTGGACCCCTAGAACATGAAGTAACTATCAGCAAACTGACTTCCAAGGTTTGTGGTCGTTAAAATACAATGGCTTACACAGATGCCGCCTCCCCGCAATCACCCCCTCAACCACCGCCTCCGCAGCATTCTGATCAGCATTGAACTGCTCCCACAGCTCCTCCATGTGCCCCGGCCGATCCCACACCGTCGACGTCGGAGGCGCAGGCGCAGACGTAGACTCCTTTGCAGCATCATCTGCCGCCCCGATAATCGTGTATCGCACATAGCCAACGACCTCCCTGCCCGCCGCCCCATCCGTCCTCTCCTCCTCCGCAACGAGGAAGGTAAACTTGTCAGGCTTGCCGAGCGCCTGCCTTATAGCGATCGGCGCCAGCTTCCGCGGGTGGTCCTTGAAGAAGAGCTCGTAGAACTCGTGCAGAGGCTCCTGGGCGTCCATCATCACGGCGCAGATGGCGTCCGTGTCGGCCACCGTGGCCGGCCTAATGGATATTTGACTCATCGTCGTGTTATTTGTGAGGTGGGAGTAGTATGTAGAGTGAGTTGGCACGTCGGTTGAAGTCTCTGCGATCAGGATGCCCGTATTATAGGGAACTCTCTGGAGCCGGATTTACTTCACTCGTTCAAAGGGCCAAATCTTTAGCGCTCAATTAGGAAGCTCAAAATGTGAGGACGGGTCTGGTGGAGTGAAATCTGCGGTAGTTCAATCCCGCGTCTTTCGCTGTGACTCACGCCGTGCATCCACGAGCGGTACTTCATTCGGTTTCGAATAGTCAATCCCGGGGATTTCTAAAAAGTAATAATCTATATTGTATACACCTGGAATTACAGTAGAAACAATGCAGGGAAGGATAATACACAAAGTCGGGGATGGAGTCATCGGGGAGCCACCAGACATCTTTAAATTCTTTTCCTGTCGTAAAGCTTCCGTAATTCCGATGATGGCTGTGCCAATAACTCTTCAGGTGACCCGGTTTCCAGTATTTCGCCATGTCCCATTACAATTACCAGGTCAAAGTCTCGTACAGTCTCCAACCGATGGACGACTTCTAGGACGGTGCGACCCCTCAGCTCATCTCTAAAGATCCGTCGGACCTCTTCATCTGTGGTCCTATCAATACTGCTTGTGGCTTCATCAAGTAGCACCACTTTGCTACGTGATAGAAGGGCTCTCGCTAGAGAGAAGAGCTGCATTTGACCCACTGAGAAACCAAGATCTGTGAGCTGCGCGTCTAAACCGCCTCGCTCCTCGATCATGGGCCAGACCATCGCTTTATTTAAAGCCTCAATAAGAAGATCATCTGACTGTATTCTACCTTCTGGGTCAAGGTTGAGGCGAACATTGCCTCCAACGCGAACGGGATCTTGCGGGACCGTGTTGAGACATGAACGAATATGTTGGCGAGGCACGGTGGACAGGTCGACACCGTCAATTAGTACTTTGCCGGAGCGTAGTTCAACAAGACGAAGCAGAGTGAGAATGAGTGATGATTTGCCACTGTGTGTAAGATACTGGTGTTAGACGTGATGCTCTCAAATTACAACTTTGGGATGAGGCTTTGGTGGCAACTAACCTTCCTGACCGACCACAGATGCATACTTTTTGCCCAGGTGAAATGAACAGTGATATGTTGCGCAGCACAACATCACCGGTATCACTGTAGCAAGCGGAAATGTCTTCAAACTCGATAGCTCCCTGAGCAGGCCAATCGCTCAACGGCAGCGTTGTCTCAGTTTCATCGTCTTCGTTTGGAGTGTCTCGCATGAATATCTTGAGACGGGTGACAGCGCCAAGGGAAGTTTCCACTTGGGTCCACTGGCCGACGAACAGTGCGAGAGTGTGATTGAAGCCGAGGAGGGTCACCATAGCTAGGGCAATACGGCCTTGGGAAGTAGACCTCGACATCGTCGTAGCCATGGAGACCAGGGCAAGGGCCATGCCGGCAACGAATAAATCCAATACAACATGGAGCCACATTTGGATGCAAAACATAAAGTAAAAGGGCTTCTGAGACATGTTTAGGCGTCTCGTGTTTTCTTCTAGGAAGGCATCTGACCAACCAAAGGCTCGGATGGTGGAGAGGCCGGCGAGTGTCTCTGTAAAGTGTGTATACAGTGGGGCTGTCATCTCCAAATCCATAAGTCTTAGTTGTTTGGATGTCCTCAGGTAGAATTTTTGAATAAAGAAGAGGATGAGAAAGCCTGGGAGGATCAAGGCGCCGACATAGGAAGCGCCAGAAGCGATTATGCCAGCGCGGGTGATAGCTGAGAGAAGCACTAGAAATTGACCATTAATCTCTGATATAATTTTTATATGGAACGAATACTAACGAGACACAGTCATATATAACGCCAGGGGGAGGATTTGGTCGAAGATTGACATATCCTGGCTGAAGCTGTTTTCATTACATTAGTACAGTCCCGGCAAGAGGTCTCAGATAGCAATGCCATACCGATTGATTGTCGAGCCACTATCGGTAGCCGCAAAAAAGTACAAAGGTGCGCTATTTATTTCATTTTAGCATATAGATTTTCATCTCTTGCGTCATAAATACTCACCGGCAAACAGATTGAAGAAGTTTCTCGTGTAGATGTGCCGCTGATCTGGGGATCCCAACAATCATGAAAAGTCTACACATATGATTAGACTCAGCCGCCGGAATTAAAAACAGGGAAGATCTCATTTACCCTATCCCGATGCTTGCAAGTATGATGGAGGCACAGGCAAGGCTGGCATAGCCAAGGGGCCAGCCTATACTTTCAGGGACTTCGAGAGTTTGGTCTTGGTGAGTTGGGTCTTGGTGAGTCAATGTTTCCATCCAAAATTTCAAAAAGATCTCTGAGTCATCCGCGTTAATTTCGATTGCAAAAAAACCAGTACATTAATGCTCGAGAACATAACTTACGGGGCATTGATTCGAGCACGGTGTGTAGTAGCATGAGTATAAGAACTACGACTAGGAGTTTCCATCCAAATGAATTGAGGTAGATCTTGTAGCAATCCAAATCGCTGTTTTGGCGGGTGTTGTCGGTGTCAGCAGTCGGCGTGGCTTTTTCAACCTTTTCTTCGGGCTCTTGTGCCGGCCTAAATGTTTTTGCGTCATCGTCGTCTCCGTCGCCGTCATTTGGCATGGTGGTTTCATCATCAAAGGTACCCCATTCATCAGTTTGGAGACTCGGGTAAGCCACTTGGTTGCGGATAATGCTACCATGATGGAGGATTGTGATGTAGTCGGCCCCGGGTAGGAAATGGACTATTTAGGGGATCAGTAAGAATTTTAAAAACAGACGAAAAGCGATGCACAAACCGTTGCTTGTGGCAAGAACAATCGTAGTCCTGTTCTGGCGAAGGAGGCCACTTGGACCCATCAGACGATGGAATATGTTCCGAGAGGTTCTATTGTCAAGTCCACTGAAAACATCGTCAAGAATCAGAATGTCCCGTTTTTGGTAAATGGCTCGAGCCAATGCCTATGATGAATTAAGGTGAGAATGATTCTTCTGATATGTCACGCCATGAGGTGGGCGTTGAGGCGGATTACTTACCACACGTTGCCTTTGGCCTCCACTCAAAGCCACGCCATTCGACCCAACAAAGGTTTGATCACCTAGAGGAAATGCTGCGAGATCTTCATCAAGAGCGCAGCATTGCACCACTTGAGAGAACCATTTGTCGTCCAGAGGAGATTGACCGACAATGTTTGCTTTGATAGAGGTGTTTTGAACCCACGGAGTCTGGTCGCAGTATCCGACACGATGATCCAAGACAGAGATGTACCCAGTGTCTGGGACTATCTCACCTACAATCGCTTTGAGAAGCGAGGTTTTGCCACAGCCAACCCGGCCGGTGATGATAGTAAATGCCCCTTGCGGGATTTTCAAATGGATATCATGAAGGATGGGAAGACCATCATCGCTTTGAAAACTTGCGTGGCTAATCGTGATCGCTAGTGTGCCGGCTTCCGTGTCATTTTGTATCTGGCATTCGAGGGGAGAAAGCTCTATCGGCTCATCTTCCAAAGGGGCAATGGTACCCAGAGTCGATTCACTAGAATATCTGAGAGTCGACCCAGAGCTCATGGAGGCGACCGGAGACTTTCCGCGGAAATCTTCCTGCTCATCCAGATGAAGAAACGCTTGTATGCGCGAGAAACTTCCAAAGAAACCTGCTATTTGCATCATGGAAGCGAGGATCAATACAAGAGGCTGTGTAACCAAAGAGATTATTGCTAGTGAGGTGAATGCTTTGCTCATGCTGAGTGAGCTGCTCCCGTTGGGCAAGTATTTCGCAGAAATGATCATCACCACGGGAGAGATCTCGGAGGAGAAGGTTGCTGGGAGCCATGTTAGCGATTTCAAAGTACGAACCTGGGTTTGTGGAGCGATTTACATAAAATCATTATGCCGACCATCCGCCGTCGGTAACCATAGGAAATTTTGATCTCATCTAGTCTCAATGTGCGGATCAGAGAGTGAAAGAATCCTGTCAGCCCTATCATCTTGATGCCTTTCATTTGGCCAAGCATGTCAGATGCCTTGGCCACTCTCCTCTCAGTTGCTGCTTTCCAATCCACCAACGCTGCCTCCGTCGCTCGGCCAATGACACTAATGAGGACCGTGGTGACTGTGAAATGTTAATCCATACATACGCGACATAAGATTCACGGGGATGTGTCGTACGTGTTGCGGGAACCAATAAAAGGAGGCTTTGAAGGCCAACTTCACGATAGAGAAGGTACATTCCAATCCCGAGGTCGAAGAAGCTGCACCACATGTCATGGAGCGACTCTCCAGCGGCGACGATTTGACCAATATCTGTCGACATGAGCGTGATCGACGCATTATCCTCCGCACAGCAGGTCCTTAAGCTCAATGTCTTTTTGAAAATCAGCGACACGAGTCCGCCGCGCCACATGGTAACCATCTGATTTGAAAGGTGCCTGTACCAGGTGGCGGTAAAAGCTAGGCCGACGTAAATGAAGAAAGTGATGGCAATCAGGAAACCGGCCATTTGAGGAGCGAAGTCTCCTTCTGGATTTTGTACGTGGGCGATAACCGCATTGATGAGGAACGGTTGCGCGAACCCAAACGCACTGTACAAGAGTCGCGGGATAATTCCTGCGAAAAACTGCCATTTGTATGCCGCAAAGGTGCATCTCATCAAAGCCGTCTTGCTTGTTTGGGGGTCTGTATGATAAGTTGTGAGTCCCAAATGCACTTGGTAGGCCTGGTTGTCTGTTGTGATGCTTCACTAACCTTTGTTCCAATGCGTCTCGAGCCTTTCCAACAAGGCATGAGAATCGAACTTGTCATACATATTCCCCAAGTCGTTAACATCAATAGCACGGCGGAACCCAAGGTATAACAGAGGATTGAGCCACCAGAAAAATGTTCTGCTAACCATCCCTGCCCACGGTTCTCCTGCATATTTTGTAGGGCTAGCCATCGCGCCTGACCTCGGGATTTCTTCGAACACGAGAAGAACAGCCTTGACCACGAGCTGAAATGTGAAGAAACTGGCAAGGAATACTGTATTCTCTCTTATCCAGAGTGATCTGGTGATAGGAAAATGTAATAGCAACGAAAGAAATAGGTAGAGACTTAGTAGCAATGAATGTTTTGGCGATCGCACGTGCTCGGTTAAGAAGAGGGCGGCGATAACGATGGCTTCGACGATGCCCACAGCAGACTCGGCGACGGACGTCCGAACCTTTGGACCGGAGCCAAATATCCATAATATAAGCAATGAAAGTCGTGCGCCTCCGTATATGGACGTCAAAAACTATTCCACGCTCATCGATTAGCCATAGCCCAAGCTCAAAAAACCAACACGTCTTGGGACTCACCAGTTTAGCCCAGAGCAAACGCCCCTTCCCCTTGAACGAGGTGCGCTCTCCGTGATTGATATACAGGATTCGAATTATACCCAAGACGATAAAAATTGACGCTGGTAACAGGGAAAAAAAGCTCTGCTGGAATAAAAGAGTGAAGTCGAAAATCTCGTCAAGCCCAGGGCCGAAGTCGTTATCACTGGCCATAGCAGGACCTATACTGCATTACCTGGAGAAGGATGACCGAACGATTGCATGCAGAAGAAGGACCGACATTGTCGCGGGGAGTATCTGCGAAGGAGAAAGGGTTTGTTGATGCTGCCGCACGAGAAAAGGGAGCGACGCAATCGCAGATAGGTAGAGGCGGCATTGGGAACTGGAAGACGATGTGAGGTCATGGACGCCATTCCAGGCATGTCAAGGGCGAGGTGGTCTGTCCCGCCTTCCTTGATACCGAGGGGTTGGAAAGCAGGTCGATAGAGTTTAGTTCAACGCTGAACGAGAGGACCGTAGAAGATGGAGACAGACAGACCCCGAGACATTTGCGACCTTGCCATAGAATTGACGTCTGAAGTTCGGCCAGTTGTTGCCATCCCTTTGAAGACACGCAAACTCCCATTCGGCATATCTGGGATCTGAGACATGGCCGGAGCTTGCCTGGCTTGGGAGGAGGATCACGGCCAGCGAGAATCGGTGCCGTGGTGTTCGTGAGACGGACCGTCAAGAGAAGGAAAAAGCCAACCCGAAAAGATGGCAAGATGGATGGATTGAACAAAAGCCATTGCATCGAGGCGTAGAAACTGAGGATGGCGCAAGAGAAGGGCAGGTGCGTGCGTGAAGTGCAAGAGCTTGACTCCTTCCTGTTGTCGGCGATAAGATAGACCGATTACACGTTCCCACATCAACATTCCGGTCGAAGGCATCAGAGAGCGCGCATATGCTTGGGTACTGCGACACCTACCTCCTTGGGCAATGGTAGAACGAGTCAAGGCCGACATCGCACTGCCGCGGGACTGCAACATCTTGGTAGGGACGTTATCTGGAAGTCCGTTCAAGCTCGGGTTTACCAGCCTCTCTTGGAAAGAGAGCCACTCAAATGCACTACACTTCCTCTCTGCTATTCTGCCATGTTCCCTGCCCCTCTGCTAATTGAATGTTTGGCTGAGCTGCAGTCCTTATTCAAGATTGGCATGACGACTGGGGAGTTGTGGTGCTGGCCAGCGGGAGAATTGCATGGTAGCATGGTATTGTTTATTACGTGCAAACATGGAGAAGGCTCGCCGAATAGCAAAAACCAGTACTCAAGCATCAGACTTCACCGATAACACACTTCGAATTGACGCAATTCTTTCTGTAAAGCCTTTGATCTCGGGATATACCATAGCAGTTGGTCCCTCCGATGAAAATAATTTGGGAGTAAATATCACACTGGGAAACGCGCGACTGTTGACCCAGATTGAAGGCACTGCCCGAAAGAAAGCTCTTACAAACTCCCCTCCGCCCTGATATCGCTCTGCTGCCCATGTAGTAAAGCTTCCAGCTACTTCGTCGCTTCGTTACGCTCGACTTGGCGTTGGATTTGGGCAGCGAGTGACCGTGGGGTGCGAGCGCCGCCGCCTAGAACTCGATCCTGCCAGCCAACTCGGTCAGTCAACTGCGGCATCAACGATCAGCAAAATTAGAGGATGAACAAACCTGTCGCGGGTCATTGGCGGCTTTATGGGCGGTTTCTTTGGTTGGCGCTGTGTAATTTGCTGCAAATTTGCGATGGCTGTCGAGCAGACTCTGGGATGGAGCTGGATGGCTGTTAGAATGGCTTGCAGGGGCACCGTGAAGATGCAGAGGTGAAGTAGCAACACACCGGGATCATCGCGATGAACTGGCCCAACGATGTTGGCCCGCGATCCAAATTTGGAAGGCTCGGATGCGGCGGCGGTGGAAGTCATGATTGCTAGATTTGTTGCAAGGAACTTGATAACTTGTGGTGCGGCGTGATGCGAGGTGATAGGAACATGGTCTAGATAATGAGGGTGGGTGAGGAGGTAGAACAAATGACGGGAAACAAAGTGTAGGCGTCACAGGCGGCACATGATGCGCGCACATCTCACGTGGCTGGTGTTGTTCGTGACACGCGCCTTGCTGAGAGGTAAGTCGAGGTGGACGGTGAGCGCAACGAGGGAAGGAGCTCCCCTCGGTGAGAGTTTCGGTGATGTTATCGATCACCATTGCGAACGATCAGATTTTACAAAGGGCCCAATGACTGGAGGTGATCTCACGATATTTATACATGCTGATAAATGATTCAATCTGATGCAAAGGCGAAAGAAATTATATTTCTATGCTAGTAACAGAGCTATATGTGCTTGCACCTACTCACCCTTGTGATTTTCGGGGATAACCTCCATCCTAATGTTCACTCTCCATTTTTTCCAAATGACAAGTTCTCAAGAAGTAAAAGCTTTTCACACCTCCATACACCCGCCAGTCTCCTTCATCCAAGACTCATCTGCCCAGCTCACTTCTCCAGCACGAAGGGCATGATGTGCCATTGCCATCCTCGCAAGCTTTCTTAAGCCTGGAAAGGAATGGGGACAGGCTCACCCGTAATCTTGGGGAGAGTAGAGGCAATGGGGGTGATTTTAGTGGCAACGAGATCGAGAAGAGAAGAAAGAGCAGCAGTAGGGATAGCAGTAGGAACGGAAGTAGGAAGACCAGTAGGAATGGAAATGGGCTTCTCACCCTGCTCAATAGCCTTGGCACGGAAGTTGGAAATGCCCTGACCGAAGGAGTTGTGCAGGAGATCCAACTTCTTCTCAATGCGTTCCTTGCATCCGGGGACAATTTTGACGGCCGACCGGGCCAGCTGCTCGATGCCATCGGCAGCAACGCTCAGAACTTGGGCGATGATGCTCACAAGGGGTGTTCGGCCGAGAATGCTGTCCTTTCCGATGATGGAGTCGACGGCGTCGCGCGCCTTGTCAACAAACTGGAGTATCATTGTCAGCAAGACGATTCAAAAAACAGATTCTCATGGTCATCTCTCACATTCTCAAGGGCATCGCAGATCTTGTCTTGGTCGCTCTTCCCAATGTCCTTGAATTGGTCGGGGTTTCCGATGATATCGACAGCATCGACAACTCCCTCAACTAGTTTACCAAACTCGCCTGCAATTCTCTGCACCATGATTGTTAGCTTTCAATCTTCACGTAGGGATTAAAATTGAAGTACATACTGGGACGCTTGTAATGATCTTTGTGCTATCTAGACTCGCAACCGTCTGGATAATGTCGCTGGCGATGTTGGTCAGATTCTCGAAGGTCTCCGCGACCTCGCCTGGGCTGACAGTCGCATGAGCCTGGCTTGCAGACAGAGCAAAAGTGACGCCGGCGAAAAACTTGGTGAAACGCATTTTGGATGGATTGTAGAAGAATTGGTAAGTTGTGATGTGTGTTTGTGATTGAGTGGATGAGTTGAGTAGGATGGGATTATCGTGGGAGCTCGCTTGACTTAAATATCCCGAGATGGACTTACTTGACTTCTTCTATAAATCATATCTATCTATTCCCTGAGACTTTCAAGGTGAAGTTCGCAGTAGCATCCGTAATCTGCGATCGGACTGAGAATGTGATGGAACCAGGCTCGGAATGTCTAAATTGCTGATATTCTTGAGACATCTCCGCTACGGACCCTCTTTAGGTCCAGGACAGCCATAGATATTACTTCTTCTCCACCAATTAGTCTCGAAAATTGAAAGAGATGATGTACAAATAATGTGACGGAGGCTATCCCGCGGGCCGGGAGGGTTGTGTTATTCCGGCAGGACACTCCCCATTCCTTGTCACCCCCTTGCCTCCACCACATCACCTGTGAAGCTCGCATTGCCGGAGCCGCGAATTCTCTTCGAGCCTCAACTTGATATGATAAATGCCTCCTGGTATGTGGCAGCATGCATGGTTGGAGAAGTGATCAACAGGCATGATTGAACACGGCAATTGACGAGAGAAAGCTCCACCAAGAACCAACAAAAACGAGTCATATGTACAATATCCTCATTGAGGATCTCATTTCGCAGTAATTAGAGGAGGCGCAGAATTCCATCGTTATAGTATTTCTCCGTAGAGTAAATGATTGATTGTAGGATTTTAACTACTTAATTTTACGGAAGCAACCCCCAACGACGCACACATTGACACACATTAATACCTGCATTACACCTGCGTTTGGAACATCGCATCGTGGAAGATTCGGAGTGAAGCGAAAATAAAGTGATACAAGCCCAGATAGCCAGTTCATTCTCTAGAATCAACATTTATAACCACGCCAGCAAGACGCATGCATAATTGCTAGTTTGCTTAGAGAGCTTCTAGTGATGAACAGGAGATAGGCTTCTGGTACTGTGATATCTTAAATGGCGAGCAGGACGGCAAAGGAACCGGCCAGGGCGACAATACCGAAGCTCGTAGTAGAGAGGCCGGCAGCCATGGCTGTGGGAACGGTGGTGGTGATGGTACCGTTGCTGCTGGGAGTAGGGATGTTAGAAACCACGGAGGTGAGGCCGCTGGAGGTCACGCGGGGGCCATCGCAATGCCTGGGGAGATTGTTAGACATTTATCCTAGTGTATTGACTATGGAGGGCAAGTTATCTTACCAGTGGTCGCCATGGGGCTCGCAGCCAACGGACTCGATGGGCGATGGCTTTGTAGGGGTTGCGGAACCATGGCTGTGATCGTCGTGGTCGGCAGAGGTGGTTGTGACAACAGCGGCAGAGCTGGAGGGGACGCCGGAAGAAGCACCAGAGGTCACAGCAGGACCCTCACAGTGCCTAGAAGTAACGTAGATCATTGTTAGTTATGACACAGATTACAAGTCAGTAGCTAAAGGGCCTTGATCTTCTCACCAGTGGTCTCCATGGGGCTGGCAACCGACAGACTCGGTGGGAGATGGGCCAGGGTCAACAGTAGAGCTGTGGTCGTGATCATGGTCTTCGCTGGCAGAGGTAGTGACGGCAGCAGAGGTAGCAGGGCCTTCGCAGTGCCTGGTTCGATGGTTAGTGAGTCTATACGGGATGTACTATAGGTTAGGGTTCGTCTTTACCAATGATCACCGTGAGGTTGGCAGCCGACAGACTCAGTGGGAGATGGACCAGGGTCGGCAGCAGAGCTCACAGCAGAGCTGACGGCGGCTGAAGTAGGGCGAGGTCCCTCGCAGTGCCTAAGAGGGCGGTAGTGTAAGTCTCCATCTCACTTGAGTTGCTGAATATCAGAGTGGAAGGTTTCGTTACTGACCAGTGGTCACCATGGGGTTCACATCCAATCGACTCAGTAGGGGAAGGCGCCTGAGCATATGAAAGGGATGCAAATCCAAGGAGAGCGACAACCTGAGCGGCCTTCATTTTGATTGTTGTTGAGTTGAGTGAGTGCGAGAATCGGATGTACTCTGAAAGAACGAACAAGAGCCAAGCGAGTGTAGGCTGACTTTCAACGCAGATACTGGAGCTGTAGAGACAGAAAAGAGCGGCAGCCAGTTTGCAAGAAGACAGAGAGCTCAAATTTATACGAACGCCTACCCATCAATATGTGACCAGGTCCCACTCAACTGCACTTTACAGCAGGTCTTGTGCATTCAGCTGTACCCGATCTTGGCATCCCGATGAAGTACCATCTGGAGTCACTTGATGGGTGGGTGGTCAGTCCACCACTGGGATCTCCCCATGCTGATGGTTGGGAGGATGCATGTTAGTAGATGAAGGGGGCTACCACGCCGAATGGGCGTGGGTCGTTGCATCTTGGCAATGCAAGATTCAAGGGAACGGAATCATTAGATTCGTCCAAGTAAGGTTAATATTACGCTCTTTTTAGTTTTTGAGCGGCTTCTGCGGGTCTGATCACCAATCTGGGAAGTTCAGTTTGGTGGTGGAGGATCAAGATGAGGCCAAGCTGATGGACATCAAGGTTCTCACTACAGCCGAGGAACGCCACAACGGATCAAGATGCCTGGTCCTATGTTGCTCTCTGCATTGGGTAGAAAGTTTGGGCAATGTTTGATCAAGTTTGCCGAAGTCAGGGCTTGTCTTTTGCTTTTGGTAGATTTATGGTCGAGTGACAGTTCATCGCCAAGCATCAGCATTAGACGCCCTACTCATGGTTTGGACACCATTGGTTCAAATTTACAGATTAAACAGCTCCTAGTAATTTATAACGTGATATTTGCGCGATGAGCACAAGAGTCTAACAGCTGTTCCACCATTTGACGCCATCCTATCAATCTACTAGGCCGGTTGGAGAGTGGCGGCCGCCGTCCGAGCCTACTTATCCTAGGTAGCTTCAATTTTCAAGGAAGTCTCTGAGAAGATCTTTAGCCCTCGTAACTTCCTAACATGTGAGAGTGGGTGTCTTTGAATTTACGAGAACCCCAATGGCCCATCCTCTACCTCCGGTCCTGCAAGGTACCCGGCGATCTCCGTACGGCAGGAACTAGATGTCGGCCCTCCCATTCTCTGTCTCCTTCTCTGCCCGCCCAATAGTATACCTGGAATTAAATTGTTGGTTTTTCCTTTCTAATCTATATTTGGACTCTCGATTTCAAGAATTTGGTGTAAGACTAGATCTTAGTGTCCCCGTAACTTTCTCAAGTGGAAACCTCACCAAGTTATTTGCTCACTGCATCCTTTCTTCATTGATACAGACATTTTCACTACTACGACCTTTCTTGATCAATCTTACTCATTTAATACTAAGGAGAATAAAAGAAAGTGCCGAGCCCAGGGAGATCCAGCCCCACGCTTCTCATCAATTCTCACTCAGTTTAACGAAAATTATCGAAACATCTAGAAAACGCTCACATCGAAGATGGGAGATGATTGAGTCTGAAATGAAAGGCTCAGTATGCCAAATTAACGGTTTCGATTTGCCTTATGCTTTTCATACAGTATTCGTTGGCTATGCCTTTGTCTTTCAAGAATGTACACAGTGATCGGGTTTCGGAGGTTTCTCCGAAGAATTCAGCTTCATCACTGCCTTGGAGATTTGTGTCACCGAGTGAGTGCCTATTGCCGTAAACTTTTATTGAGATACAGTTGAAAGAAATCCAAGTCCTTGTCGCGCAGCAAGACATCTACCGAGCCTCTTGTCCTTAGTTCTCTATGTGCAGACATCGGCTTAAGAAGGTCCCTTTACCGATTGAGTACCGACAAACACCATCCCCAACTTCCAACGCCAAACCTGGCTCTCCATTTCCACCGATCCTGACCGAATGTAACACGTTGTTCTCCAAGTCTAATGCATATGGTTACCTTCAAGCTTGAACTCCAACATCCATCTGCCGGTCCGAGTCGCTCGGTCTGACCGATCAGCGCCGACTGACCGACCCATTTCCGCCCGTCGGAAAACAAACCGTGGTCATGAGGCTGGTTAAACCACTCAAATTGACAACTTACTCCACTCCAAGTTGCTTCTCCTCCAGATTTTCCGCCCATTCGGCAGGGATCATTTCAACTTGGGGTTGAAGCGACGGCTAAAAGCGACCTTTCCCCATCCCCCGCACTTTGCTTAGGAGAATGTAGCATTGGATAAATAAAGAGGTCCGACCCCGGAATGAGTCCCCAATGTTGATCGACATTATCTTTTTTCCCCCTAGTCTAGAGAGTTTGCGGCCATAAAGTCGGGCTCCTCGACAACTCTCCCAAACCATGTTCCGCGCTGTAGAGGACCGGCCTACGCCGAAGGAGGTGTACAACTGGAGGCTGTATTTCGAGGCTTCGGTGATTGCGACTGGTTCTTTCCTGTGAGTCCATTTGCCTCATAATTCTGAGTGAGACTGGGTAACACTGACATCAAAACCCTCGGCTAGGTTTGGCTACGACTCGGCATTCATCGGTACTACGATCGCAAGAAAGAGCTTCAAGGATGATTTCAACGTCTACGGGCCCGAGGCCAACAACATCTCAAGCAACATCACCGCTTCATTCCAAGCAGGCGCTTTTTTCGGTGCTATATTCTGCTTTCTCAGTAAGAATCACCAGAATCTTACAGTTGACACACATTCCTGACGTAGTCTATGGGTAGTCACCGAGAAGCTTGGTCGAAAATGGGCACTTCAGATCTCAAACGTCGTCTTCATGCTCGGCGCTGTCATTATGACTGCTGCGACAAACCAGCTGTCCTTTATTTGTGAGTTTCACTTTCTCTGCCCATTGTGCAGAGAGTTAGCTGACTTCTTTAGACGCTGGACGCGTTCTCACGGGTTTGGCCTGTGGTGCTATCACCGCAACCGTCCCATCTTATATCGCCGAGATTTCAGTTACATCCATTAGAGGTATCTTGACTGGCTTGTTCGAAGTCACATACCAGTCCGGTTCTCTAATTGGCTTTTGGATCAACTACGGCATCAACGTTAACATGGATCTCACTTCTACGGCGACTTGGAGGATCCCAATGGCGATTCAGATAATCCCATCCGGCCTGTTGCTCATTTTTGGATGGTTCCTTCATGAAAGCCCGCTCTGGCTTTTCCGGAATGATCGAGATGATCTAGCGTTACAAGCCTTGCAGGATCTGCGTAATCTCCCATCAGATCACCAATGTAGGTTTATATGTGTTGAATACTGGCAATTCACCAGCAGGAGATCATTGCTAATCGTAATAGACCTCCAAGAAGAGATTCTCCAAATCCGCATCCGGCTCGAAGAAGAGGCCATCATTGCTAAGAAGTACGGTTCTGGTTCATGGTCATATTTTCGCGGTGCTCTGTTTGAACTCTCCCGCAAGGGAATGTGGAACCGTGTTCTGCTGGTCTTTTGTTCCTTTGCACTCCAGAACATGTCTGGCGCAGCTGGTACGTCTTCTCCGATTTTGCATTCTTTTGACATGATCCTTACTAACATTTGCGAACTTCAAAGCAATCAACTACTATTCACCCACACTTTTTGGTTCTCTTGGTATCACCGACGTGAGCTTGTGGACCGGAATCTACGGCTTGGTCAAGGCGGTGGCCTCAATCATATTCTATGGCGCTCTGATCGATATCTGGGGTCGCAGGAACCCGACCATTATCTCGTCGCTGGCTTGCTCCCTCTGTCTGTGGTTCGTGGGCGCGTATGTCAAGATTGGACACCCAGCCGACATCATCAAGGCTGGCGAGGAGCTCTCTCCTTCAACTGCGGCCGGTGGAAAAGCTGCAACAGCCATGATCATGATATACAGTGTGTTCTGGTCTTTTGGTCTGAATGGAATTCCTTGGATCGTCTCAGCCGAAATCTTCCCTGGAGCGCTGCGTAACTTGACGGGAACATGGGCGGCCCTCTGCCAATGGTGAGCCATCCTAGCACGCCTTGCACATAAATATCCTGTCACCGAGATTCTTGTTAACGATTACCCTTCAGGCTTGTTCAATTTGTGCTCACAAAAGCCCTCCCTTACATTTTCTCGTCCTTCAATTACGGGACTTGGTTCTTCTTTGCCTGTTGGATGCTTCTCGCTACCATCTGGGCGTTCTTCTTCCTTCCCGAGACCAAGGGAAAGACCCTCGAGGAGTTTGATATCATCTTGTAAGTTGGCACAAGGCTCGTACGAAGCCTTTTGTAATTGACACTGTACTAACACCTACCTCCCAGTGGCTACACAGAAAACAGAACCACCCCGATGCTGGCTTCAAAGATGATGCAAGGAGATGATAAAGACGATGGAGTTGAGGAGACAGAGCACAGGCTTTCCTAATGGGAATATGTAGTACATTGTAGCAAGACCTTGGATCCCTTGGGTCAAGTTCACAGAACAGTCATTGCAAAGCATATTAACTTGGTAGTAAGGCTAGGTTGCTATAGCTAACATTAATGTGTCATTTTCACACTGCTCGCCACTGTAAAGCTGCGATTTACTGCTGGGAAAGGTGCCCTTCGGCTTTTGCGGATATAATACAGGTGGCCCACGCTATTTAAAACAAATTCCAGACCTCACCGGACTTCGGAAATCGACCAACTTGGCACCCATCACGCTTTTACGCGTTTTTTCACGATGTTCCGGATTGAGCAGTACTCGCGGCCGGGAATACGGAGAAATCGCGCTGTATGTTCATATTCCTACATATGCATGCTCCAATAAACCGTCCATGCACGCTGCTAGATTCAACTGACTTCTCGGCAGTGTGACTCGTGTTCGGAAAGAAAGGTCAGAGCTACCCAAACATGGTCGCTTGGTATAATCGCCTAACCTCAGGGAATAGATACGATGCGACCGACAAACAACATGTCGCCAATGTGCCATGGCGCGGACCCCGTGCTTGCGGAAGCGCCCGAATAGAAGGGGGCTCCCTAATCATATACCTAGAAGCAGGTGATTCTTCCTGACCGTTCCCATTGTACACGAAGGAGCCATTGACAAATTACCTACATCTCCTATAAAGGCCAGGGGATCCGCCTTCATCCTCCCCTCGTGTTGGCTCAGTTCCAGGCATCTCTCCGCAGAGCACTTGTGTTGCAACAACTACAAATCCTGGTCAGCAACCTACAACCGGCAACAGTTGGGATCCCGCATCTTCCTCGCAGATTTATCAAAGTCCTCGTGTCTCTTCCGGGAGACCTGCATCAACCGTGCCCGACCTACCTGGCACTATCAGCGGAGCTGAATCGAATCTCTCTCACTCTCGCACTCAGGAGCCGCAGCATGCATTTGATCACAATAATCCCGGCCGAGGGGTCACCCTTGTCACGTCACAAGCCTTGTCTTTCCTCGAATCGTCGCTCCGGCTGGAGCCCAAGTGTGCAGAGAGTCGCAAATTCCAAGTCTTGGAAGCAGCCGCAGACGTTGCTCGATCACAAGCCGGAACGCTAGGCAACGGAGAGGATAAAATCTCCAATCCCGAGTTCCTCTCGGAGACTCCGTTCCCTGATACCGTAATATTGGATAGCGTCCTTAACTGTTCGTACCGTCTTAGTTGATGCCATAGCCGCGATAACTTAATCTGACTACTGTTGATAGGGTCGCCAAAGTCGTCAGGCGCAGCATATCTACGAAAGCTGGGGTCTGTAATTGCTCCTTCAACGCTGGAGTCGCAGGGACGGGCCTTGATAGAGAACAAGATATCAGGTCCGGCTAGGGTGCATTATATCGTGTCCGTGGATTATGCTACCTGGTTCTTTCTAGGCTTCAAGGCCGGTGAATCGCCCAATGAGGAAACACGCAGTCAGCTCAACATGACCAGACAGTATTACGAGTACAACATCATCGCTGGCATCCAGAGATTGGGTGTGGCGGACCTGCCATCCTTGGCTTTGTTCCAGGCTCTCCTCTGAGGCGTGAGACCTCTCTAGCTTACAATCTCCCTACGGAAAGCACACAAAAGGCTAACTAGCGAATGTCAGGCTATGTTTGCGTATGCTCTCGGTTGCTTTGAACGGTGCTGGCTATTGGTTGCCGCGGCATCTCGAACCTACTCGACCCTCGGGGGTCCGAATTTTATCAACATCTCATCAGCAAGCGACAACCCAGAGTTACAGGAAATGCGCCACTGCCTGCGACTCTGCTTCATGCTCGATAAGGCTCTCTCGCATTCAATGAACCGACCGCCATGTCTCCCGACGATAGACTTCGGTACGTGTATGTCAGCCATCGCCCCATACAAGCTTGATGATCCTGAGTCCTGCTTTATCAACATTTTCACGCGGCTCGCCAAAGTCCAGGACGAAGTTCGACAACTAGCAAAGCCATTGGAGAAGAATGAAGTACAGCTTCAGGCAATTACTAGTATTCAGTACTCCATGTGGAGAATTAAGAATAGCATCGACGAGGTTCGTGAAAATTTCCCCCTTCCATAAGATCAAAGAACACTGCTTAAAATCCCCTGACTACGAAGTCGCAAAAATTCCTTGATGGCGCTTCATTTTGGGCGGCAGAATGGAAAGGTGCCAACTTGGCGTATTTTGCTGTGATGACTTCCATCATGGGACACCATCCTTTCCTAGACTGTGATATCGTTCTGCGGCAGCAAATGGTTGCCTATGCCCGTGAATCCATAAAATCCCTCATTGAAATGCTAGCCTATGTCTCGGTTGGTCCAAATGAGCATGTGATCAAGTCGTCTATCTCCTGGTATATTGGCACAGATCTAAGCAACTCTTCAGAGGTAGCCACTAATGACTGGTTGTGATAGGAAAGCTTTATTTTACCCCTCCTGTCCTTTCTTTGTCCTCTACCTCCATATGGTAAATAATAAGGACATAGAGGCCTACCGATTTCTAATGGAAGCCACCGAAAAATTAACAGCGGTGGCCTGGGAGGAATTCCCTTTGGGGAAGGTCATTCCAGTGTTCAGCGTCTTTCTACGCATTGGAATCTCGCTTTTCCGCGGAGAATCACAGGCTAGCAGTATTAGTGAAGGTGAAGTAGACCTGAGATTTGTAGAACCTACACTGAGGCTGATCGTTTTTAAAGACTCTACTGAAGACACAGCAATATCCAACGAGCCTGAGCCAACAAACGCTACATCGATTCCAGTAGAGGATAGGGAGCTTCGCCCAACTGAAGCCGTCTCAAACTGGCCGGGTCTCCAGAGCCTTGATCCAGCACTAGTGGCTACATTTGACATGACGGATCAAGGCCTTTCGTTCTTTTGATTTTTAGGCGATCCCAAAGGAAACGTTTACATGCTAGTGACGTGATGTCTTTATGAAAGCACTTACCTGCGTATCTTCTATAAGTAGGCAAGGTGAAAACACGAGACTAAGCAGCTGGTACATGATCTTTCCATTAACCAACGTACTAAAGTGCGGTTTCTAACTTCCTATCCTGGACCCTGATGTGGGCCTTGATGAAGTCCTCCAGGTCGTGCAGCAAAGTTTCTGGCCGTTCCAGCGCAGCGAAATGTCCGCCCTAGGCACAGACATCATTAGCTTAGGTACTTTATAAGTTGGAAGAGGCAGCAAATTGTACTAACATCCTCGTGTGGCCCGTAGAACTTCATGTTTGGGTATAGCTTTGCCCAGGCCTTCGGCAAGAAAGAGTTATCCTTGTAAAAGCAAGAGTAACCGTAGGGTTTCGTAAGCGTAATGATGCCCCAAGGCTCCTTAGATCCTTGAAAGGAGGCCACTAGAGAGCGGTAAGGATACAGAGACCGTGAAATCGTGTCTGTAAACCAATACAAACTGATCATCTCTAGTATGGTCTCCAACGGTGGCGTGATATCGCTCCATTCGACCAATTTCTCGCCAACCCTACTCTCCATAAGCGCATGAACTCCCATGGATGTAATCAAATCTTCAGATGTAATGACTTACCATGCGAGAAGTGCCAAAGGGCTTGACGAGAGGACCAGTCCCGTCGTGGCTGGTCGTGTGCCTTGTTGTACGGCGTAGCCACCTCCGTCCGCCTGCCATTTCTTCAAGCGAGCCATAGCCTCACGATCCTTCTCGGTCAACTCATCATCAGACACAGATGATGGAACCAAGGATAGGTCCCCCATCCAAAGGTTCACTAAGAATTTGTTAGAAGCAGGATCCCGAGGATCTGTTCGAAGGGTGCGTACCATACTGAGCCACGCATGCATCGAAATTCACTGCCATGACATTTGCAATAGCACAGCCAAAATCACCACCTTGAGCCACATATCCCTTCCCAAAGCCCAGATCAAGCATCAGTTGGTTGATAACCGAGGCGCAACCTGTAGTAGTCAAGTCCCGATCCTGTAGTGGGCCAGACGAGAACGCAAAACCAGGTAAACTGGGAACAATGACATGGTAAGGAATATCAGCCGGTGTGTACTTATTCCGTAGAATAGAAAGTATAGGAAGAAACTCCAAGAATGATCCTAGCTTGCTGTCATCAGAGTTTGCCTCCGAGAATATCATCTTTCCGTTTACCCTCTACTCACCTGGCCAGCCGTGCAACATCACGATGGGAATGGCGTCAGGCATCTCCGAAAACAAGGCGCAAAAATGCAAGTCGAACTCCCCGATTTCTGCATGTTTAACGATGTGTCGGAAGTGGGGGAAGGAATTGATTGCGGCCTCTTTACGGCGCCAGTCAAAGTCGTGCAGCCAAACGGATCTGGCGTTGGCGAGCCATGAGCGGCTAACGCCGAATCTACCATCAGTCTGTTTGTTTTCCCATGTTTCTACGCCAAGGGGAGCCGCATCCAGCAACACCTTGAGCTTTTTGAGGTCATCATCGGGGATGTTCACCTTGAAGGGACGCGATGTGGCCTTGGAGGCGTTGGGGTTGTGGTAAAATGGCAGAGACATTGGAATAGACTGCATTTTACTTGAGAGAGACCAGCAGGAGGAACTTCAAACCGATATGGGCCTTTATATCTGGAGTTTGACATTTGCTAATCGCGATATTGCCCATCATTAGCTTTGGTAGCCAAGAGGCCCTAGAGCGAGGCCGATGTCACATTTGATATCCGAAGGGGTTCGGATCTAACATGACTGATGAGACGTAAATGCTGATAAATCATCGACTATTAGAGGAATTCGGCTATTGGCATTTCCAAAAAAGTAATAGACAATGATCCCCTTCAATAGGAAAGGAGATTTCTGTTTAGACACCAGAGCCAACCTCACCGCAAGACAAACTATTAGTCCCCTTTTCGTACGTATCAAACCTCTTGGGAATCAACAGAAATGGCAGCAGACCGAGCCCTCGACCCTCGAGTCTCGCATCACGAAGTCGCAATACGGGGCAGAACATACTACTACATTGTCGGAACACCTACCGAGGCATGCAAAGATACGGTTCTACTCATGCATGGGTTTCCGGACCTTGGCTTCGGCTGGCGCAATCAGATTCCATATCTCATGTCTCTCGGCTACAGAGTAATTGTGCCGGATTCTCTAGGATTTGGCAAGACAGATGCTCCTATTGATCCTAGCTCTTACACCTTTAAGAGCGTGGGAGATGACATTGCGCAGCTGGTAAGAGGTATTGTGCCAACAGGCAAGATTATTCTCGGCGGCCACGACTGGGGAGGCACCTTGGTCTGCCGCATGGCGGTTTGGCACAAGGACCTGGTGAAGGCGGTTTTCGCGGTCGGCATATCTTACACACCCTTCCTCACTAAATACGTTGATCTAGCCGAGCTCGTTGAGTCAGGGGCCGAGCCTTATAGCGGATACCAGCTGCAATTCCGCGGAACACGGGTTGAAGAAGAAATCAAGGGGAAGGCAGGGTTGCGGCTTTTCTTCAGCGCCATGTTCTGGGGCAAGACACAGAACGGCGAGCTCGGCTTCTCTCTCACCGATGGTCTTTTATTCGACAAGCTCTCGTCGCTTAACCGCCCAAAGATCCTGAGCGTTGAGGAATTCGAATTCTATGTCAATGAGTACAACCGCCACGGGATACATGAGCCTTTGAACTGGTATCGAAATAAGAGGTTCAACTTTGATGATGAGAAAATATTAGCAGAGACCAACAGTTTTGCGATTGACATTCCGGTGCTTCTTGTCAAACCGACGGGAGACGGCATAATCACGGACAAAGAGATGGAGGGCTTTCATTTGCAGTTCTCTCAGCTCACGATACGTATGACTGACTCTACACATTGGGCGTTGGTTGAGGCTTCCCAGGAAGTGAACTTATATATAGGGGAGTTTTTGGAAACTTTTGAGATGCTCAGACCTTAAGTCTACTATAATTGATACTTGTCCTTGAAATCAACCTACGCTAGTTATGCTGAATTTGGTACTGCCGTTTATTCGTTGCCAACCATTTGCCTATAAGTTTGATGATGTGAAGGGAAGAGCTTGTGTCGGGCATACATCTAGGCCATATGGACTCACGGTACATGGGCAGATGGGTTCCTCAGTCCTCAGAATACGGCAAATGATGTGAAGAGTGGAGATCTACCGGATTTCGGCTATCATACCTGGCCGACTCAATCCGAAGCATCTCGGCCTTTATTCTGGAAACCACAGTCCATGACACTCGTGGTCGGAATTTACCATTTATGGAACGCAAGGAGTCTCCAGACTAGAGAGAGGGTTAGTTGTAAATGGGGGGGATTTATTTGAAGAGGTCTTCCTCACACAAGACGTTATCATCAAGTCCGCGTTGTCTCATTTACTCGCGTTCCTCCCTTCTACGCACCCATCCTGAGATAGCTTTTTATCTACTGTACATTGTTTCGATCGCTTCCTCATGGCAAACAAAAAGGTGTTCCATGTCGGAATTGCCGTCTACGAGCATCTCGAGCTTTCTGATGTCGCTCCCGTTGACATGCTCAATTCTATCGGATATGACTTTATCAAGCCGTTGACCAGCGGAGGATACGCCCCTATTGAGGCTCTGGCAGAGGCACCGAGGATTAAAATTGATTGGATTCACACGAACCTCAATGTGGTCGAGGCCACAGCGGGCTTGTTTCTGAAGCCAACTGCCACTTACGCCACTGCGCCAAGAGACCTGGATTTGCTTCTGGTCCCCGGGCTCTCAATAGTTGGAAACCACCCAGAGGGTTCAGCAGAGTTCCTCAAGGAAGCCTCTGAGAAGTCAGCGATCGTGATGACCACTTGTGGTGGCGGCCTGTGGCTGGCGTCTTTGGGTATCCTGGACGGCAAGAACGCGACAACAAATAGCGGCGCCCTCACCACTGCCAGACAACTTTCGCCTGGGGTCGTCTGGAAAGACAATAACTGGGTTGTGGACGGCAAGTTTTGGACATCAGGCGCTGCTGGATTCGGTGAGTCGATCAACTACCATTAGGCACTCAAGTGCACCAACTTGCTCACAGTCCTTGTATAATACAGGTTTCGGCATGATGGCAGCCTTTTGCCGCGAGAAATTTCCCGTGGGACACGTGGACAGAGCCCTCGCTGGACTAGGCTTTGGTAGACTCGGTGTTGGAGCTTTCGGTACTGTCGAGTAGACGTCACAGCTCTCATATGCATAACGAACGGGGGCTTATTATGCATTGTGCGTGGTAAGACCTGTGTAATAATGGTGAACATGCCGTTTCTGCCCTTGTTTATTATCTATACACCTAGGCTAGTCTATGTTAATCACAACATGAAAGAATAAGTTAACTCCTGAAGGGCACTTGTTTCTCTTCTCCACAAACTTACAGGCCGAGCCAAGTGTCGTGAATTCTTTTTATATGAGGTTTAGCCAAAAGCAACAGCCCAACTGGGATGTGACTTAACCGTCATGTCATTCTCAGTCCCTTGACTAACGTTTCATCCATTTCCCAAGGAATCTCGACTCGAAGAAACTCGGCTCGAGCAATATGTGGGTAGCTTGCCCTCTTACAAAAAGCAGACAATCCTGGAGTGGATGAAGAGCCTGGTGGGTAACATGGGGCCAAGATTAGGGCTCTCCGGAGATTGTCTAAACCATCGAATTACGCTAGGACTTGATGGTATGATCATATAGTTTCTTATCATCATTGATGGGGGGGTTGTGAGTTGCGTCATAAGCGGGGGTCAAATTTGTTATCTCGGCACATGAGGCAGGCTCATGTTCCAATACTAGACATTCAACATACTTTTGCTGAGCTATCTTTCGGCATCATTAATTATTGTCACCTCCCAGATTGAATTGAATCTCATTGAGATGTCTGAGCTAGCTGGGAAAATCGTCCTCCTGGTATTGCTTCAGTGCCCCCATTCCATTTAACGAGCGCGTACTTATATCCATCCAGACTGGTGCCTCTATGGGCATTGGTGAAGCTATCGCGCACGAGCTCGCAGCCGCAGGAAGCCACCTAATCTTAGTGTCGCGATCTCAAGTAGGCAACTGTGGTCCATTGAGCTGGTGCGAGCTTGGGGTAACAGTTCAAGCTAACGTGGCGCCTTCAACCAGGATAAACTGTCTGCCTTGGCCAAGACCCTCACCGACAAGTACAATTCGATCAAGGTTATCGTCAAAGCTGCAGACATTGCCGACTATAACGCCGTCGACAAGGCCGTGGACTCTGCCATCGCCGAACTTGGCCAGATTGATATCCTCATCAACAATGTACGCCTTTTACTTACTTCCATGATCCAACAAATTCAACCCCGACACGCTGATTGCTCTAGGCTGGACTTGCTCTTGGAGCCCCGGCGGCCTTCCAAGACCTCAAGATCAACGACATCGTCACTATGAACAACACCAACATCAACGGCCTCATGTGGGTCACCCACGTTGTGCTCAACCGATCCTTCATGCCCCGAAAGGCCGGCACCATCCTAAACATCACCTCTATCACCGGTCTAGAGGTGCCTCCGTTCCCCGGAGAGTCCGTGTACCACGCCAACAAAGCCTGCCAGGAGGGCTTCACCAATGCCCTGCGTAACGAGCTCAGCCAGACTAACATCAAGGTCCTGGCCCTACGCCCCGGATGCGTCGCAACCAACTTCCACTCATTACGCGTAGGCCACGACAAGGAGATGTACGATTCGTTTTTCGAGGGTTTTGAGTAAGCAACATGACTTTTCCCGACTGTTAAAAAGGTTGTGAAGCTTGGTTGTTGATCGTGCTAGGCCTCTGGTGTCCGAGAGCGTCGCAAATGCCGCCATCTTCATGCTTAGTCAACCCCTGAATACCTCGATCAAAGCTCTGGATGTAGTTCCAACTGGTATGTTATAGGTTTAACTTCCTTCAGTTATATCCGTTACTTGCCTAGGATAAGGCCTCTCCAGCTGTGCATCAGTTGAGAGTTGCGATGGGGTTTCTGCGGTTGAGTTTGTGTAGTTTATTTACTAATAGTGGTGCAGCCCAACGTTCGATCAACGTCTTCGATCGCACATGGAATGACCGTAACAAGACCCATACAGCTATCAACTCAGATGATAGTTAGACGCTCCATGAGGTGGATATACTAGTTATCAATTTGCAAGAGTGAAACGCCCCGTCTGAGGATGGCGATACCACATCTGAGTGTTGTGTGTCGAAACGAAAAGATGGGGCGCCAGCGCTCAACTTCAACACGACTTTTGATGTGGAACTAAGACCATCCACCTTGGCGTGTCACGGCACGAGCATAGAGTGGACCATCTAACTATCTCGGCGATGTATTGGCGTAGGGCAACTCTCAATTATTGGTTCGGTCTAGGAGGTAATACCGAAGACGATCGGGCTCGGAATGCAGGCTGTTTCGGAAGTCGGGTTTCGCAAAGTCCGCACCAAAGATCATGGGCTGACTAGTCGGACCATAAACAAGAGCGATGCCGGATAACGCATGTGGGCGGGAATGTAATGCGGCATGGCAGAGTTACGATAAGATCATGAATCGGAGTTAGGTATCAAAACGATGTGGAGCGACTGTATGATCAATTTTCACGAATACTGCGACTTGTATTTCCCAAGTAGTCGGCTAGACTCAATCAAATGATACTGGGCATTGTGACGATTAATAGCTATTCGAATAGTATACCAAGAAGCTCGTAGCATTTCAGATCAGTCTATTACTAGCAAGACCGGGCAAGGAGACCATAATGCGTATCGTTGCGTCAAAATGTCCATTCTGAATTCAACTCGTTCAATATCTTGACTATACTCAATTCAGTATGTTGCGAAACCCGAATAGCTGTGGAAATGCCTAAAGAGGCATTTTCCGGATAACAAACCCGGCTTAATCGTCTATCTAGACAGTATGGGTTCGTACCCAGAAATGCATCAAAAACTTTCGATCAAGTTTTCCTCTTGCTTTAAATTATGAACTCAGTTCTTTTGCATATTACTCAGTTGTAACAACTAGAGATCCATATTCTATTCCCAACGACCGCAACCATGCCGCTATCAACAGAAGCTCTTGTAATGAGCCTGGCTGGCTTCATGTCCGGTAAAATCCCACCATGCCTCCTCGGGCCTGCTCACATTACTAAAGGGTATCAAATTTTAGGATACTATTTCAGCGGTGCCTTCGTGTTCATGCCCGCCGTTCTTCGAGCACCACCTCCTCTCGTCGCCCAGCAGTGGAAACGCGCCTGGGACGTTGGCCGCATCGTTGGCAAAGTCATCGTCACCTCATCCGCCGCGGGCTTCGCGTACCTTGCGTACACCGAGAAAGACAATATTGGAAGTCTCAGGTTCCAGCTTTTGACAGCGGCCGCCGGGATTGTGGGCTCTATAGTGCCGTTCACCGTCATCACCTCGTATCCTTTCAACGAGGCCATCAACAGCCAGCTCTTCAATAGCAATGGCGCGTCCAAGAAGAGTGATGACGCTCCTGCGACGGATCTAAAGGCACTCGTCGCACAGTGGGGACAGACTGACTTCAAGCGCAGCCTGCTGGCTTTTCTAGGAACTGCGGTCGGACTTGCTGGAGTTCTTGCTTAACCGCCGAGTCCCCTTAGCATATATACTGACCCCGATTTGCAGAAGGCGCGTCCGCGAAGGATAGGTTGAATGCTTCTAGCCGTATGGTGAAACTGGAACATGGCTGTTAAGGGTCTTCTAGACCAACGCCACCTAGGTATCTACACAACGAGGTACAGACTCATAGCATTTCATCCCTTCAATTAGTTACCTCACAATCAGTCTTAGCACCCCTACATCTTTTAGATGTAATCAGAAACGATAGGACGTGGTACTTGTAAATAGACCTGTAGCTAAACTTGTTATCGTTATGGAAGATCCTACAAATGCGGAATGAGGGTATGAGCGAGCGCCTATGTCCACAGAAGCCCAACTCGAGCAGGATAATATATAAAAGAGTGACAGGGAAGCCCAACACCGACAAGATAGCCTGATACCACCCACACCCTTTATATTTCGTCTCTGTTGTATGCACCAAAGCCCCCGGAACTGCAATATCCCCGTCCACACAACAGGAATTCTCAATTCCGCGTTATGGGAGGCGCATCGACGTGCTACTGAAATTCCCTCCTTCTAACCTGAGACTAGCAACATAGCTCTGGAGATACGGATTACTCCTTCTCCAAGGGTAGCGGCGATCAGATATACTGACCTTTTATCACCAAGTGTGTCCATACCGCGGTCCCATGTCGCTAAACACTTCTCGATTTCAACCTTCGAGAAACAACTATGCCTTGAAATGCATTGCAAAGAACTTGCGGCAGTCTTCCGTAATAACATCTGGTCGCTCCAGCGCAGCAAAGTGACCACCGTCGTCACATTCTCCACAAACAATAATTAGTGTCTCTGGCTGCAAGTCAGGTCGTGTCGCAAAATGCTCTAAACGTACCGTTGTAAAAGACAAGGTTGCAGGTTCCTTTGACCGCACGAAAGCTTCCCGGTCTAGTGTCGTACAGGAACGACGTGTATCCCGTGGGCTTTGTGATATAATTCTCCTCTCGCTGGAAGAACGCTCCAAACTCGGCGTGCTTGACGTTCTCGTAGTACGGCAGCGTAGAGGTCATGATGCAGTCGGTGAAGTAGTACAAGGCACTGGTGGTGAGGATGGCCTCATCCCAGGACGGATCAGTGAGGCGCGCGGGGGCAGCAGCCTCCTCGAACTTCTCTCCGACCCAGGACAGAATGCCCACGGGGTTGTCCGTCAGCGCGACGCCGATCGTCTGCGGCCTGGTACGCATGCACACGGCATATCCCAGGTGGTTGTCGAGCCAATCGTCGTAGCGCGCCTTGACCTTGAGCTCCCTGTCGCTGAGATCAGAGACATCGCCGCCCAGCTCGACGGGGCAAAAGTTGAGGTGCACGGCCTTGCACTCGGGGAACCTGGCACCCATCTCGCGGGCGACGAACGAGCCCCAATCGCCAGCCTGGACACCATAGGCCGTATATCCGAGCTCCTTCATCAGGGTATTGAACACACGGCCGTCATCCTGCAGGGTCCATCCTCGGCGTGGCGGATCCGCGGACCAGCAGAAGCCGGGTAGACTGGGGACAACGACGTGGAAGGCTTGGACGCCCTCGGGAGGGTTGGCCAGGCCGTCGACGACCCGGTCGAACTCATAAAAGGAGCCCGGCCAGCCGTGCACCAGGATGAGCGGGATGGCGTCGGGGCGCGGGGACCGGACGTGCGTGAAATGGATCTGCAGCTTGCGGCCTTCGTCGTCGAGCTGTGCGAGGAAGTGAGGATGGCGGTTCAGGTGCGCCTGGATCTTGGACCAGTCGAAGTCGTTGATCCACTTGTTATACAGTCGGTGAAACCACTCAATTGAAGGGCCTAAATGCCATGTTCTTGAGTAGATGTCCCGAGTGGGTTCTCGTGAGATTATATCATGAAGCACATACCATAGTCACTCCCAGCGCCAGGAACGATCTCCTTCTTGGGAATCCTGGTGTCCTTCAGCTTCCTGATGAGGCGGTCGACCTCGTCCTGAGGAACGTCGACCTTGAATGGCTCTATCGTGGCAGGCATCGCGAAAAGTCCGTCTTGTTAAGTCTACTGCGTCAAGTGATGATCACGACACCTACATCAAAGATAATACTGGATGAGCAGCAACTGCGGCGTCTTGAGATATCGCTGCAACTCGACGTTGACGTCGCCTACTCAGAGCACTGGGCAAGGTTAATAACCCCGCAAGAGGTGCATACGAGCTAAAGGCACATGTCAATGTTTGGTATGGTGTTGATTCGGTCTGCGCATTCGCCCAGTCGCGTGCGATCAATCTCGTGCCGATTTTTCCGAGACGAGATCCTGACCTTGCCCAAGCCGAAGTTCTGCAATTGTAAGTCCGGACATTTCCAACAGTAGTAGTGAGTGGAGTGTGTTCTCTATGCCAAATGTCTCCACGCTCAAGAGTTGGAGACTGGACCCCCAAATCTGCCACCACAATCTTCACAAGGGACCTCGCCATCATCAACATAGCCGCCGACAGGGCCTACCTACCTGCGCCCATCAGTGCGTCCTGTCGAGCGCGATACACGCGCTGTAGCTATGGCGACGACGATGGTGTTGTGTGTAACTACGAGAGTGTGGCCGGTGACAATCTGGTCCACGGTGAGCCGAGACCATTTGATGCCACCAGACTCTGTGTACAGGCGGAAATGCAGAAATAAGAACTCGGTAAGCTCCTGTCGCATATTCCGAGGGTCATGATAGTGTGCTTCTCTCGGAAAGACAAGTCCATACAAAGAGTCCAGCCTCCACTCTGTAAATGACCTCGTCACGAAGTTGTCTGTCCTTGGCTCCTACTTGGGCCGGTCTCGCTGCCAGCGTCACGAACATCCCGTTATCGCCTCTGGAAATGCTCTCCAGGACGAGAGCAAACCCTGCAACCCCATGCTTTAAACCAAGAGATATTTACCTTCCCCAGTCTCCCCCACAGAATCTCCGGCTCCTAGTAAGGCGGAGACCCCGGAAACTTGTGTCATTTGTGTATAAGCGAAGCCACCCCATACTGGTGGCCCAACCTTTCCACAAATCCCAGAGCAGAAACAATTCCATGGACATCAATGGCATAGTCGCGAGAGATCAGTATGTATATAAGAAGGCGAGTAGCTTCGATAGGATCAAGCTCAGAGGCAGACCAAAGTATCTTCGCAGACGCTTCGCTTAACTTGGGCCTAAAAGTTTGGCATCTCGGCAATGTCTAACGCACTCCCCCATATCAAGGACTTGGACGAAGATGCCAAGGTCCACCATTTCGATGTCCATGAGGGAGAAGACGCGACCGACGTCGTCATTTCTGACGCAGAGCGGAAACGCCTGGTCTGGAAGATTGATCGCCAGCTCATGCCCTTGATTTGGATCATGTACATCTTCAACTACCTCGACCGCGTACGTTTCCGCAGTATTATACGGCACTCCCCTCGTCAAACTAACAATTTTGCCATCTCAGACAAACATTGGCAATGCCCAACTTGCTGGCCTTAGCGAGGATCTGGGCATGACCTCCCAGGACTACAACTGGGCGCTGTCTGTCTTCTTCTTCGGCTACGTCATATTCGAGATTCCCTCCAACATGTTGCTCTCCCGCAGCAGGCCATCCGTCTTCCTGCCAACCATCATGGCAATCTGGGGAGGGCTTTGCTGCTGCATGGCCGCTATCCGCAACCTTGGTGGCTTGATGGCTCTGCGATTCATCCTGGGCTGCGTCGAAGCCGGCTTCGCCCCCGGTGTCCTTTTTCTCATGTCCTCGTGGTACACGCAGGCCGAACAAGCCCGGAGATTCGCTATATACTGGTCTGCTGCGGTCGCTTCTGGCAGTTTCGGAGGCCTGTTGGCCGGAGCCATTACCTCTCGTCTTGACGGGGCAGCTGGGCTCGAGGGCTGGCGCTGGCTCTTCATCATTGAAGGTGTCGCTACCGTCATTGTTTCTCTGGCCGCCTTCAAGCTTCTGCTTGATTTCCCCGAGACCGCCAAAGGTATGTTTCCACGGATCATTGAAGATTCGAGCAAAATACTAAAGCTGCAAAAGGGTTTACCCAGGACGAAAGAGCCAAGATCATGGCACGGCTACGTCAAGATGGTCATGCCGATATGCAAACACGAGAGCGCACCGTGACGCCCATGCGCGCCTTCATCATGGCCGTCTCTGACTGGCGCGTGTGGGGGCTGGTCCTCATCTACAGCATGATTGTTGGAGCTGGCACAATCTCCTACTTCATCCCCGTCTTAACCCAGAGCTTGGGATACTCTCGCGTCACCGCGCAGTACATGACCATCCCCATCTACATGGTGTCTCTCGTTGTCTGTATCGCCGTCGCCATCTCATCGGATTACTTCAACGACCGCCGCTACCACATCGCGGCCGCCTCTGCCTTGGGCTTCGCCGCTTCCGTCGTTGCCGCCGCTGTCCTTCAGCCGACTGTTCGGTACGTGATGCTCTGCTTCATGGCTGCAGGTGTCTGGTCAGCTCTGCCTCTGGCCTTGACCTGGACGTCCAACACCATCAAGTGGCCCCGTGAGAAGCGAGCCATTGCGCTCGCCATGGTCAATGCTCTTGGCAACTTGAGCTCCGTCTACGGGAGTAGAATCTGGCCTGACTGGACCGCCCCGCAGTACGCCATTGGTTTTGGCGTCACGGCCGGCTTCCTCGGTGCGGCTGTGGTTTTGGCCGTCGTTCTTGGCTGGGCCTACCTCAAGTTCCCTCACGATGCGTTTGTCGTGAAGCAGATGGCCAAGGTCAGGAGAGAGCCGGCTCCGTCAGCTGTCTAGATCGTCCGTTTTCTCAAATCTGGATTTCAGCCCTCCATTCATGCCCAGTAACACTATAGCTCGTCATTCCGTGCTACGCTTCTGCTGCGGTCTACCTCAACGCGGTCAAGTTGCTTTGAGTGGCTCGGCATTTACAAAGTCCCCTTTAATCTCGCCGCTTAGCCACTACCCGTAGATCCTTGCTGCTCATCACTCTAGAAAAGATGCGCATCTAGCTAGTCGGGCATACGACGGCTGGAACACTGCATAGAATAGTGGGCTTTGCGAGAGGCACTGCAGCAATGCTACCCAACCAAATCCCCGTGGCAAGAGAGCGGTTTTGACCGGCTAGATAGAGATTCCATAAGTTTCATGCTATTGAAAAATAAGTATGTGATATCGTAAGTCAACCTTCTTAATTCCGTGCTATTCTAAGACATAGGCCAAGAGTGCCACTTTGCTACCCGCCAGTCGTAGTAATCTAACTAGGGCAAAGTACGATTATGTATGCACTTTTTCAGACACGCATACTACATCGGAAATCAGGGATACTTGGGATCTTCGGTTGGCCTTGATCCAAATGCGGTCAGCAGCCAGTGACGATCCTTCATCCCTCTATGCAAAGTACATTGGGGGCGGAGGCTGTACAGCTGGTGACCCTCATATATGACTTGGATTGAATGTGAATGCCCACGACCTTTTCATCTAAAAGACCACCGTATTGTCTCGGCAGTAACGAGGAGTCATCGCAGGACCTGTCTTTTTCATGCATGCTTGACCGCTGTATCTTCTCAACCACGATTTTAGAAGGGTTCCCACGACATGGCTCCAGGTGAAAGTCACTCGCCGACGCTGGAGCAGAGTTCGGCTCAATGGGAGCAAATTTCGTATCCGTCCAGCCCTAGTGAAAGCCTCTGGCAACCTTCGGTCTCAGACCTGATAGCCGACACGAACGAAGCCACTCAGGTTCAAAATGAGGTAACCTACCAGCGTTATTGTCACACGCCTCCAGCTCAAGATAGCAATACTCCCATTCCAGTCGGTTCTAAAATCGAAGGAGATAACGAAGATACCGATACAGTTGGGGCTTCAACCAATCTCATCCCAACGGAAGCTATTGAGACACGAAAGTTATTTCAAAAGCCAACCTGGAGACCTTTCTGGCTACAGCGCTCAATCATGATAGCTTTCTCTGGCTTTTTCTTTGGCAGTGCGATTGCCGTGTTATCAATACTTTTTTACTCGGAGAGGAGTAAAGGTTTGGCAACAGTTCAGATGGAGCTGGCAAATCTATGGAGATTCGGCCCTCCCGCCGGTATGTGTTGCGCCCGTCATGTTGATCCAAGGACAGAATGATCATCTAACTGTCGTATGAATTAGTTTTGGCAATCGTCTCCACGTTATGGGCCAGGGTGGAATTTCAAACACTCCGTTACTTCCCGTGGATGACCGTCCACAAAGATACCACGTTCTCCGGCCACCACATCACTTCGCTGGACTACACATCCCTCATACTCCCCAAAGTGATGTTTCTCTCCTTGAAGCGCAAGGACACCTTGGTGTGTCTGGCTTCCGTTTTGGCTATTTTAATGAAGGCACAAGTTGTTCTGTCGGCCAGTCTTTTCTACAGCAAGGCCGTGGAGCATTCTTTCCCTCTCGAAATCGAGCTCCTGGACTCATTTCAAACAAAATATGAGTCAGACTTCCGCTACGACAAGTTCACATATTTTGCCGCGAAGGCATTTCACGACTTCCGCATGAACCTACCATTTGGCATCACGGAAGAAGCAGCCTATCAGACCTTTAAACCAGCAGGTTCCGACACAGTTATTCGTGGCACGAGTGACATGCCTATTACTGTGACCGTTGATGCGCTATTTACTGATATCCAGTGTCTTCCAATGAAAGAATGTGAGTCTTCCGTCACTAGACAACCGAATAACCCATACTACAATTACGCATTTGATTTGCTTTTCGAGGGCTGTGATAGGCCCGTACATGTGGAAGATTCCGTTAATTGGTGGTCGTCTGAGTCTAAGATGGGTTCATGGACGAAGGGAACGATCAAGGAAACGCCCCCGCCATGTCCCTCTTTGCCCACGCAGTTCCACCCATTCGTCTATGTAGGACAGCGTGGGAAAGATCAAAACGGGTCTATGCCGGTTGTAACAGAATGTGCCGCCATCATCTGCTCTCCTACAGCATGGGTGTCCAAGGTGGAGATCCACGATGATGGTATCAAGCCCGTGCTCCGACTTCTGCCAGATAAAGAGGTCATTGAAGTAAATTCCAATCCTTGGAATCTTTTAGAAAACGTCATTTCACTTCAAAATGGTTCCGAAAATGAAGCATCAGTGCCCTGGGCCAGTCCGGTGACTTGGTTGGAGATTAGCGAGGTCATTACCGTTGATGAGTCCCTGTTTCAAAATGAGAAGCTCATAACAGCCGTTCAGAACCTGACCAAAGCATACGGGCCCTTTGTTAGCAATACGTATCTCCGCGAAAATGGGAAATTCTCAACAATCGGTTCGAGAATCGAGATTACTCAAAAGTTACAGATGAACCAAAGGATCTGCATCGCCATGGCTGTGATTTTTGCCGTTTCAGCTCTGGCTGTCATCTGGGTAGTGATTGAGGCTCCTCGGATCTGTGAAACGTGCCCAAGGGATCCAGGAACCATATTGGGGTCAGCCATCCTACTCCATGGTGATTCTAAATTTACCTCCTCAATCCAAGAGAAGATAGAGGTAGAAGAGCAACAAGGCCCATGCCAACATGAAGCTTGCGGCGACCCCTTCTATTCCCCCTTCGCGCTACAATGCTGGTTTCGTATCATCTTTGCATTCTACACGCTTGGTCTGATAATATCTATCACCACACTCCTGCACATCTCTTACCGCTCAGATGGGATAATAACATTGGCAGAAGGGTCGCCATCTCTCTGGTGGACTTCCGTACCTGCTATTGCTACAGTCATGATCGCTTGGTATTCTAGTTCCTCGGATATGGCACTTCGAGATCTTGCGATAATTTCCAAGCTCTCCAGCAAAGCTATGAATATTTCCGCCCTGGATATGTCGTTATCGGACATGCTAGGAGTCAGAGCCCTCTATCATTCGTTTCGACTCAAAGCTACGGCCATTAGCCTGTCTTTGATCCTTGCCATACTTTCTGGCTTTCTGAGCCCGCTGTCTGCCACCTTATTTACCTCTCAGGCCATCCCTGGCACGCATGATGTACTCGTCAAGCAGACGAGTTGGTTTGGTCCTTACCTACCTGATCTGTCGAGCCCGTCGTATTCTTGGCAGACGGAGCTGACAGTTGGGAGCACACTTGTGAATAATCAAGTCAACAATTTCACCTATCCCGAATTTACTTATGGCGATCTGGTCTTCCCCAGCGTTGAGATTGATACACCAAATACCTTTTGGAGTTCCAAAAACTCCATCAAGGTAAATGTAACCGCAGCGAAGCTTATCTCGGACTGTTCCAGGCCTCTCCCAGGGGACTACGACCTCACTGTCAGCAAAAACGATCAAGGTACAACAGCGACGATTGACAGGAAGCCCCTTTGCCCGAACGGCAAGAATATCTCGGAACCACAGCAGAAATCTTATAGGAATGGAGACACCAGAGACGATGTCATTTCTTACTTTGCTGGCAGTATCCCTACGCCGGAAGATTCATATTGTGAGGTTGCCAAAGTTCCCTGGATTTTCCACGGGTTCTCTTGGGGAAAGTTTTCCGATTCGGCTGTGGCATTGGACCATCTTTCTCTATGGACATGCAACTCCACATTGGCCCAGGTCCCTGCTGAGCTGACACTATTGTCTACAGACGGTAAAACCCTCCAGCTCGACTACAGGCATCCTCCAGTCCCGGATTTATCAAAGCTGAAGCCCTATGAACCGCCTTTGGTTGTTTCCAACAAGTTTCTCGAACAATTTGGATCCGAGAGCGTTTTTTTCTCTCGAGTAAACTTAACTAACATTGGCCACATCTTCCCAGCCGTCGTTGAGCCATTGGGTTCTTTCCGACTGGAGAGCTTGGCAGACCCTGATCAAGACCTCAAGTTGATAGAAGCTGCCAAACATCAATTTGCCATTCTAGCTGCCCAATTGATTTCTATCAAGCACCGATATAGCGTCAACGAGTCTTCGGATCTCACACCTCTGAAAGGCATAGTTGTGGACAATAACCGTCTCCGGCTGGTCCAAAATTTCCCTGTTACCGTCACGATGATAGTGATACTATCGCTTGTTTTAGCCTTCCACACCTGGGGTCTCATATCCACAGGTCTACGAAAAGCCCTCGGAGGTGGGCGGAAATGGCTTCTAGACCTGGAACTGAAAGGAGTAGCACCTCCTGGGTTCAGCAGCATATCGATGATGAACGACCTGCTCAATGGGTCGAATATCCATGAGCATCTCCCTAGAGGTGCTGATTTTATGTCGGCTAAGGACATATCGAAGAGTTTCAAGAATCTGGAATGTCGGCTAGGGTGGTTTTATAACACCAGGACAGAGCAGCAGCAATATACAGTTGGCATTATCGAAAGAGACGAGTTCGAGTTTGTCGACAGAGAGAAATGTTGAAAACGCACTATCTATTTTATATTATGGTGTAAGATTCACCGCCGTTTGGCCGTGAACGGATCTAGGATAGGGTTTGTCATAGTAGCGTGTCTCATCTAGGGCAGACTCGGTAGTTGGGTGGATTGGGGTACTCTTAATAGACAGATGGCTCGCCTGGCGGTTGCAAGGTCAATATAAGCGGCTAATGGTCAATAATTGAAAGAGTCAAGGGGTCTATCAGGGAGACGAGACGATGGAAGGGGGTGAGGATAAGGTTTTGTTTGGTATATGGTTTTGCGTTGGAATGTCCTACTTTGGGGCAAAGGGCCTCTATTCACTTAAAACTAACTAGACAAATAAAAAAGCTCACGACTAGCTAGACTAGAAGAGATTGGCTATTATTTTCCACGGATCTGTTATAGTGAGGGATGTTCCCCAAGAAATTTCTCCTGAAGCTAGATAATAACAGATACTTACTACTCTTTTCTAACTCCCTCACTTGCACCTCCCAGCTTCATCTATAGTCTTTTTAGTAGTCATCTTTGGATTATATATATATACCTATAGGTGCTTTTACTCTGATTCCATAGGCTAGTGCAGAATCTAGGTGGCTTAGGCTTCTAGTGATAGTCCGCGAAGTAACTTTATCCAGTCATATTGCGATTTAATGGCGTAGGCTAGACCAAGAGACTTTCCCGGGTCCCCCTTTAGTATTCAAGGAAGACTTAAAGCTTCATTTACATAGACAAATGCCTGCCGGCTCAGAATGCCATGAGATGGAGCGGCCGGACGAATCTCGCATCACGCGTTCATGAGCACATGTATGCAACTCCATCACGAGCTAAGCTCACCGGAAGAGGGTTGCTCTAACTTGATTTCGCACTTCGTTGAGTGGGGTCATCGGAGTGATGGAGGACCAGTTAAATCAAAAAGAACTTGAAGTGACCAGCCAAATCAAAGACACAGCAATTTTAATCTCCCCAGAAGAGTTGTTGAGTCTTACCCAATGATCTTAACCCTGGTCAACAGCCAGCCCAACGCTTATTCACCACTTATTAATATACAGTGAGAGTTCAAAAATTTAGCTTGGGTTGCAATAAATACGTTGTAGCACGGAGTGACTCGCTTCGTGTGAAGACATCAGTGAAAGAATAGAGCGACAGTTGTTGAAGTTTGAGGGTATAGGGTATGTTAAGATTCTACCTACCCTGCAGCAACAACAAGAATAAGGTTTTTAAGCAAGATCTCAAGCTTAAAATTAACAAGTTTGCGCCCCATTAGTGCCATAAGAGCTGGCGGGCTTAAGCTAGCTCATCTCCTCCCTACGCACTCTATCCAGCCTTCCTTCTCTAGCTTTCATCCACATCTTCTCCATAGTCCGGAACGACAGAACGAAAAATAATGCCACGCTCGAATAAGGCTACTGGGGCTACAGCCCCATCCCACAGCGATGTTATTCTCCCCATGCAAGACCCCTACATGGCACAGATCATCGATGGGGTCAAGAACTACGAATTTAGAAAGTATTGCCTTCGACCTGCGGTGAAGAGAATCTGGTTTTACCGCACTGCACCACACTCAAGCATCACGCACGTTTGCGAGACCTCCCAACCCAGAACCAGAAATCCAGGCGATGACCCTCTCATCGAGGATGGTCTCGGCAACGAGGAATTCAATTCAAGGCACAAAGACTGGGACGGATACGACTTTGCCTACAAAATGCTTACCGTCTACGAGCTGCGACACCCAATTCCACTCAAAGAAATGAGAGAGATGTACGGTTTCAAGTCTGCACCCAGGGGGCTTGTCTACCTCCCTCAATCCATCAGTAAGGTGGTCGACTGGAAGCAGCAAAAGCTTGTATGAAGCAACCCTCACAGAAAAAACGTCTGCACCTTGCGACCTGGTTGCTAACCTAAAACAAAAGTTACTAGACAGGAAGAAAGAAGACGTCGACCCCTGAGCCTGCCATCCCTGATGTCTGCACAGCTTGAGCTAGATCGGTGGCTAAAATCTTGATGGAGATAATTAAATACTAGCCTAGGCATTAATAGGCAAGTGATTATACTCGGCCAGTTGGAGAGCATCAACTAATCAAGCTAGATACACACGTCTAGCATGACGGACAGAGCATCAAATGCAGCTCATTGCAACCAGAAAACGTGACAGCAGGCTACCAGGGTTGCGTCGACGGCAGGCGCCGCACGTTACCGGCAGTAGTCTCTTGGCTTCCATCACGATGCAGATGCGAGGAATACTCATGTCTTGGATCTCGCACCACTGAGCAGCGGCAGCTTCACCAGGTGGGGGAGACTGGCCCTCAGATTGGACACAACGTAAATGCTAAGGTTAAAACTCAAAAACAATCCCGTCAGACCATCCACCGACCTTGGCGAGAGATAGCGGCCTACGAGAGCAGAAATTGCCCCCGCAACCACCCAACCCCTGCAGAAATAATGAATGCCCAGGACCCTTTGTTCGCCTCTTCCGGCCTCTAGCCCTCAATCTGGTGCGGATTGGCAATCCTGCCCCGGCCGTTTGTCCACTCGGCGGCGAGGACGATATGCTCCTTGCTCTGGAGCAGCCTGAGCACACCGGAGGATGCGTCCACAGAGCTTATCCAGGGTTTCACCATCCCAATCCAGTCCTTCGTCTCCCCCGCTGCACTTTGTGGCTGGCAGTTGAGTGGTCAATCGCTCCCACGTTTGTGCCGGGCGTCTTGGCCTCCCTTGTCTTCTCCGCCGACGGCGCTGCTTGAGTCTACCACATCATCCCACTGTCTTGGAACGGGACGTAGAGTGCGGGCCTGCGGTGCAACGTCGCTGTCAGCATTGGATCAACTGCGAAAAATCCACCGGCCCCGATATCGACCCTGTTGGTCTGAGTTTGCTGACCTCCACTCGTTGTCTCCAGCCTGCCATGGCAATTGCTGTTAAATAAATAGCTTCCTCTCCCTTTTCTAGCCTTGCTCCGCCAGTACTCATCTACCAACAGCCCAATTCGTCTTGATCTGGCCTGTCTGTGTGGTGACCATGAAGTCTGCACTCTCACTCGTCGCGCTCACTTCCCTCGTCGGCTCAACCGTAGCCGACGACTACCTGTTCAGCAGCCGCTATGCCTTGAACAAGCGTGATATCGACGCCGAGGGCAATTGGAACGTTTGTATGTACATCCTACCGCGAATACCTGGGCAGATTGCGCTGACAGTCTCTGGCACTAGCCTTCTTCCACATCAATGATGTCCATGCCCATTTGGATGAGTTCTCCTCATCCGGCACTGACTGCACCAACCCGGCAAAGGGCTGCTACGGTGGCTACTCTCGCATCAAGTCCAAGGTCAATGAGCTCCAGGCCGCTCACCCCGACAGCATGTGGATCAACGCGGGAGATGAGTTCCAAGGCACCATGTTCTACAGCTACTACGGTGGCGAGAAGATTGCCGAGGTGCTCAACGATCTCGAGTTCGACATCATGACCCTTGGAAATCACGAGTGGGATGGCGGCGAGACCAAGCTGGGTGCTTTTCTCTCCAACCTGACCTTCCCCATCGTCTCTTCCAACGTCAAGTCGGAGAATCCCGCGCTCAAGCCCCATATCAAAAACTACCAGGTTTGGGAGGACAAGAATCTCGCCATCATCGGCGCGACTTCCCAGGACACGCCATCCATCTCAAGTGTGGGTAACCAGACCACGTTCGAGGACCCCATCAAGACCATCCAGGAGGCAGTCTACGAGATCCGCAACAACACCAAGGTCAAGTACATCGTCGCCCTGACACACATCGGCTACGACGTCGACCAGAAGCTCGCCGCCGAGACCGAAGGCATCGACCTCATCATCGGCGCCCACAGCCACACCCTCCTGGGCGACATGAAGGGCGCCGAGGGCAAGTACCCCACCATCGTCAACAACACCAAGGGCGAGGAGGTCTTCATCGTCACCTCGTACCGCTGGGGCGAGTACCTGGGCTCCATCAACCTCCTTTTCGACAAGGACGGCAAAATCACCGGCTACCACGGCGCCCCCATCCACCTGACCAACACGACCGCCCAGGACCAGGCCCTCCAGGCCAAGATCGACGAGTGGCGCGTGCCCTTCGAGGCCTTCGCCGCCGAGGTCATCGGCTCGACCACCGTCGCCCTCGACCAGACAAAGTGCAAGACGGGCGACTGCCTCCTCGGCCAGGTCATGGCCGACGCCATGTACGAGTACCGCGCCAACCAGACCGAGGGCGACAAGAAGCCCGACTTCGCCTTCCACAACTCGGGCGGCGTCCGCGCCACCATCGACGAGGGCGACATCACCCGCGGCGAGGTCCTCACCTCGTTCCCCTTCGGCAACGCCATGGTCGAGCTGACCTTCTCCGGCGCCGACCTCCGCAAGGTCTTCGAGGGCCTCGTCTCCGCGAGCAACCAGTTCAACGGCAAGGAGGTCAGCTCCTGGTTCCAGGTCTCGAGCGCCGTCCGCGTCGAGCACAACCCGGCCAACGAGGTGGGCAAGCGCCTCGTCAAGGTGACCATCGGCGGCGAGGACCTTGACGACGCGCGCGAGTACCGCCTCGTCACCCTCGACTTCCTCGCCGGCGGCGGGGACAACATCCTCCAGAAGCAGAGCGGGTTCGCCGTCCTCGATCTGCAGGAGGACGTGCTGAACCAGTACATCAAGGCGCACAGCCCCATGAGCCCGACGCTGCAGGAGCGTGTCGTCAAGACGGACGGGCAGGCCTCGAATAACTCGAACAGCACCGGCGGCGGTTCCGGCGACCAGGGCAGTGGGAGCAGCATGGTTGCTGTGTCTGTTTGGACCGCATTGGCTGCCGGCTTGATGTGCGCGATTGCTTTGTAGATGTAGGATGACGAACATATCAAGAACGAAACCTAGGCAGTGGCTTGGGTTTATGACTCTTAATTAATTATATATCCTTCTGGGATGAATCAATAAAAATTCAAAAATAACCTCAATCTACTTGAAATGACAGAATTTGTTGATAATATCAGCCAACCTGATGATGTACGAGCCAACGACGGAGGCAGAGTGTCTAGTCACTTTCACATCTCACAACCATGATCACAGTCCCAACATGAGCCCCAACAATCACACATGTGCAATCCATTCATTACCGGTGGAACAAGTACATCCTATTCTCCTGGTACACAGCGATAAACAAGCACTTGGGCCCCGTCACACGGAATGGCCCCTCCCGCCTCGAGTCCTATCAGCCCAGCCAGAGGCAGCACCCGCTCCCTGGTTCGAAGCCAGAGGCGTCGACGAGCCGCTCGTCTCCTCCACGTCCCTACCTTCTCTCCCCGCCACCTGGGTCTCCTCTGTCAAATCCTCCGCCGCCTCGAGCCTGCTGCTGGCAGCGTCTCTCCGTTCTTCTACTCCCATGCGACGCAGCCCGCCTAGCTGCCCGCGGGGAGACGCATGCTCCCATCTCGTGTTAACACTATGCTCGTCGTCAACGGTAAACCCCCGCGAGCCGCACGCCCGCCCCGACTCAAACCTGTTCCCCTGGAACGTCCCATACGTCCAGTCGACGTGGCGGAAGACGGGGGGGTCCGGTACGTACGCGATGCGGTAGGCGTTCTCTACGCTGCTACGGGTGGAAGGGTAGTAGAGCGAGCGGCGACGCTCCGTCTCCGTTGGCTGCTGCTGAGGCTGCCAGTACCGCAGGGCGGCCACGACAGCCAGGAGGAGGACCGCGAGGGCCAAGGTGACCAGCAGGGCGATTATAAGCGCTGCCTGGAAGGCGTCTTGGATGTCCGGCATGGATTTGTTTTTAAAGTCTTTTTCATCTGGTTGGTGGATGTGATGTAGATAGATAAGAAAGGAAGGAAGAAGTTTCAAACTTCACGATTCACGGAAAATTTAAGACAGTCGGGGGGTTGTTCAGGGAAGTCACACTCGCGGGCAATTATTCAGAGTCATTAGAAAAACTGTGATAAGGTTTTTGCCCCCTGGGGGTTACTATGGCCCTGCCCTTCGCCTTGCCACAGGATAAGAAGAAAGTTTGCTTCCGTGAGCCATTGCCTCTCGATCGCCCATCTGATCAGTAGGTGTAACGGAAGTCGGGAGTTGCGTCCTCCTATTCAGCAGCTGGTTAGCACTCATCTCTCAAGCAGGTGATAAAGTCATGGGTTCTATAAAAGAGGGATGGGGATGAGAGAGATATAGGAACTTACGTCATAAGCCTCGAGCAGCTTCTCGCCGCGGTCGGCCTTCTTGTTCTGGCGCCTGAACTCGAGGGTGACGAGGAGGACAAGGAGGACGTTGAGGGCGGCACAGGCGATGCAGGCGTACATGCCCGGCTTGTACCCCGTTGTCTTGTCCTGGTCCCGGAACACGAGGCTGCCCGCGATGCCACCGACGCCGCCGAAGCCGACCATGGTGGCACTGCAGAAGGCGCGCTTCCACTGCCCCCGCAGGTTGTTGGCCTGGAAGGTCATGACGGCGGGCACATTAGCGTTGGCGCCCGCGGTGACGAAGAAGACGCCCAGGTAGCGGACGCGGGTCGAGTCGGTCCAGCCCATGAGGGGCAGGCCGATGAGGGCGAGGAGCATGTTGAAGACGATGAGGGGCCCGCGGAGGCGGTACTTGTCGCTGAGCCAGGCGCCCGTGAACATGACGATGCCGGCGAAGGCGTAGGGGGGCGCGACGAGGCACTGGGCCGCTCCCACGCTGAAGCCCATGTTCTGCACGAGGAGGATGGGCAGGGTGTAGGCCAGGCTGTAGCTGATGGTGGTGGTGTTGAAGAACATCAGGGCGTAGGCCCAGATCTTCCAGTCGGTGCCGCCGCGGAGGAACTTGCTGAGCTTGAAGGCCTCGACGGTGGCGTCGCCGCGGTCGCGGGCGATGCGGGCGACGATCCAGTCCCGCTCGCGCTGGCCGAGGAAGGACCAGTTCTTCCTGGTAGAGTCGGGGAAGTCGACGAGGAGCCAGTAAGCGCCTATTCCAAGTGCGCAGGTCAAGACACCTTCGACGATGAAGATCCAGCGCCAGCCGGTAAGGCCCTCACGGCCACCCAATTGCATGAGCTATGTGATGTGTCAGTCATGTCGCCAATTTACGCCAAGTGTTCAGGATACGCACCCCATATGCGAGAATGCCGGAAAAGGCACTCGCAACACAACCAAGAAGGTAAAACAGGGAGTACCTCTTGCCCACCTCAACTGCATGACATGTTAGAATAGTGCCTCGTAACCTTGTAAGTAAGCTTACTTACATCGAGTGTACCAGGTGCTCAGCAAGTAAACACAGCTGGGGAAGAAGCCGGCTTCCAAAAGACCCAGGACTGCTCGCAGACCGGTCAACGCGTTGTGGTCCTTGACGAAGCCCATGCCGATCATGACAGCGCCCCAGAATGCCGTGATGGCGGACAGGTGGATTCGAGGACCGATCTTGCGGATGAGGATCGTTGAGGGGGGTTGGAAGAGGATGTATGGGATGAAGAAGACGAGATTGGCGATGTTCTATGTCTGAGATCAGCTTACTTGTTCTTTGGGGAAGTCACTTGTCTCTTCAGACACAGAGCTTAAACTTGGAGAATTATGCTGGAAAGACAGAGTCTGGGAGAAAAAGGGCAGTTTCATACATATCTGAATCCTGTGAGGACGAGTTCCTTGCTCATACCCGCAATGTTGGCCGCGCTCATGTTTGTGCGGTCCATCAAGCTGATGCAATAAAGCTAATGCTCGTTAGAATCAATCATCACTCGTTACGGTGAATTGGAGTGACTTACAACACCGAGAGTGACCACCAGCCGCCGGTCGATCCGGCGGACGATGCTGCGCTGCTCATCCGGGGTGAATCCATGATCATCTGGAGTCGTGTCAGAGCTGACGGTTCCGTCCACATGCTGAACGTCACCGTCTCTCTTCTCAAAGTCGTTGCTACTAGTTTGTCGATCCATGGCGGATAGGTCTCCAATGGCAGTCTACTAGAGACGGGAAAGGGAGAGCAGTCTTCTCCGTGGGCAGGAGGTGTTGCAACTTTAAACCACAAGAGAAGAGTTTAGAAAACCTAATGGAGCAGGGGAATCCCAGCCCAGAAATTGGAGAAGGATCGCTACCGTTGAAACCCAATTGATCTCCTGTGTAGGCTCAGGGGAATCCGGGAGACAACAAGGAGGGGGATCGTCGACCTCATATAGAAAACACTACCGGGGGGGCAATGGATGAGAGGCAGACAAGAACCCCCCGCCGAAGTCACCGAGCATGCTGGATGAACATGCTGTCCTGCAGGCAAACTGGAGGAAAACCCACAACACCTACGGGGGTATGAGGGCAAGCCTCAAGATGGCCAGCGCTGGAGGCGCGTTTACGCCGTCGATTGCTGGGGTCGGGGGTGCATAATCTCTCGGGAGAGGCGAAGGAAGTCGGTGCCAATCTCCATATCTGGCACAACCTCATGGGTCCTGGCCTCGAGAGGAGGATCCCAGCCCTCTCCCCCGCACGGAGGCTGGTCGGATGAGGCAAGGTCTGGCTGTCCTGATGGGCATCATGTGGTCTGTGGGTTTGACACACCGCACCAGAGATGCCCAGCAGCGGCCGTGAGAATCATGATGAGAATGAGATCGCGTGGCCTAGCTTCGGAAGGGGGTTTCCAGAACGGGAGATGCAACGCCACCCTCGGTATCTTTTCAGAGGGACAGCAGATAACCTTCAGCTACGGCGTCCGCCAAGGGACATCCTGACCTGGCGGCTGAGGGCTCGAGGCCAATAATCTTGGCTCTGCGTGGCTCCGTCTCTAGCTTGCGGGGTAAAGGAGGGATTCGGTCGTACTGTATCACGGGAATGGGGCCGGTAGATTCCCCAGCCCCAGGGATCAATCAGGGCCGGTCTAATTGCAATACACAAGATGGCCAATAGTTGGGATCAAATATTGGGCGTCAAGAGACGAGATGCCAATGTCGTGTGCTGCCTCCAAGTCCTGTGTAATCTTACAATTTGCATCCTTTTATTGGGTTTTAAAGCCACGGCGACGCCTTTGTCTCGGATCCTGTTCAGCACGTAAAAACGACCGGGATCTTGCTTGGCAACTTGAGGGGGGATTGACATGTTTCCGCGCGGTGCGGCCACACCGGACTGTCGTGGCATCTGCACGGTAACTCCAAGTTTTGTCCAAACAGGTACCGGGGGCATTTCTGTGTTCCGACTCATCGACCAGACGATCAAAAGAATCTCAAATCTGGTGAATTATCTACGCAAAGATGCCCAGCTCAACCACAGAGAGCAATAAGCTGGAATAAGCTGGGGTACACTTAGCCGGTACCCCGCTGGCCTTCCCCAGATTATGGCGCCGGCTATTGATTAATTATCGTCACCACTCTATCTAAACAATCAGAACCTAAGACAACCTACAATCCCAAACTCAACACGAGAAACCATCAATAAATTCCCAGCCGCAAGCCTCCATCCCACTCCAAGCCTAGCGTGCACTCCAAATCCAACCTCCACGACTTGTCGCCGGAGCCCTCACTCCAAAGCCAAGCCCTGGGCCAACTCCACCCCCGCAAGGAATAATATCCATCCCGCGCGCGTGCAAACTCGTTACTCCACATGAGGTCCAGGTTGCGATTGGCCCAGTTCCACAACAAAGGATCAGAGGTCTGACAGCGCAGTCCAGCAGGGGACAGGGAGGGCGGTAAAGCCCTGGCTGGCTTCAGAGGCCCTGATACTTAGTACATACTAACTAATGCAAGGCCTATGTATGTACAGCAGCACAGCGCGATGTCAAGTCTAGACCATCACTTGGAGGCTTTCGTCCAGCCGCTAGCTCGATGGTGTACGTCACCTTGTGCATAGCCGTCTGAGATCCGAAGGGATGCCTCGGCTCGTATAAGATGGGCGGTCATGCAGGTCATCTTCTCCAAAGTGCAAACCCAAAAATAATAAGGTGAGGAGGAGTGATTCTCGCGGAGACAGGGAGTCCGATACACGGCGGCCGATGCCACGGAGGGACCCTAACAACCCAAGTTTCAGGCTGGGTTAGACCTGCTCAACGGAGCTTGGAATGTCACTCTAAAAATTCATCAGTAAGGACCCCTTTATGACTTGTCTATTCAAATCCAGGCCTATCCCGGCATTGGCTTCCTACCGATACTTCCTTCTGCGTGTCTTGTTTAACCGCTTCCATGCCGCCAGGGAAGTCAATCTCGCAATCCCTGCTCCAGAAAACACCCAAAATACACACGTTTGCTTGATGAAATTTGGAGAAAATCAAGTGCCTGGCGATGCTACCATGAAAGCGACCATCAGCAACCACCTACCCATTGCGCCCCACACATCCATCTCTCGCTTTGCCTCCAACATGCAGTTGGGGGCAAACCATTCACCAAGTCGCAAGCTCATCCGTTTCGGGACTGGAGACACCATCATTCCATCCCTTGAACCTTTCCCATCCTATAACGCTGCGTTCTCGCTAAATCGGAAAGTCGACACGAAAGCCCACACCTTGCGAACATTGTTCCACAATAACCCGACAAGTCCCACGACGGTAAAAACCTCCAAAATCTCCCAGGGTTTCCGGGTCTTGACCAAGGTCTCGATGTAATCGACCTCGGAACCTGCCATCGGAGGGAAGCGGCCGTTGGTCATGTACTCCTCCATGAGCGCATCCTTCTTGTACCACTCCTCTCGGAGCCACAAGTTGAATTTCTCCGGGTCGTCGAGGGGAATATCGGCGATCTTGAAACGGCGCCAGTGAAAGTTGACTGACTTTGGAGGCTTCCCCTCAAAGTATGTGCTCTTGAGCCCGAAAAGTTCCTCGCCATACTTGCCTCGGCTGAAGTTATACATTGGTTAGCGTCTCTCAAGAATATCCCTCTAGAGTTAGATCGCCAACGAAGGAAACTTACGGGATGCCTTCGTAAGCGACTGTGCAGTCGTATACATAATCCAACGTCCCCTTGAGCTCGTTTAGACAAAAGAACATGCCAGTGCTTCGTGGCAGCATCACATGCTCCATGTCCTGGAGGTCGTTCTTGGCCGCCCATGCAGCCGACTTCCTTCTGCCGTTGCCAGAAAGATTCGTCCCTTCAGGAAAAAGGAGCAGCCACATGGGGTCCAAGTATGTACGGCCCTGGGGATCTGTCTTCACCTTTCGCAGTTTCTGGAGTCTGTGCGACATGCGCGGCTGGTCTGTGGCCATCTTCCTTGACATGAAGATGAAGCTATAGAACATCATGCCCCAGCCGATAATGGGAATGTACTTCAATGACTCCTTCAAAATGATGTAGATGTGCCCGTGGAGTCCCGGTCGGTTCGCGTACGCAACCCACCAAAGATACAACCAGTCTGTATAAATCTACTCGCTTGTGTAAGTCGCCAAGTTATCTCACGAACTTGGAGCTAATCAGGCGCCACCTACCTGATGGTTTGCAATAAGAACGATGCGCTCGGGGAATTTGAACTCGACCCCGCCGTCCGCTGTCGGTAGAATCTGTCCCGCGACAGTCTCGTCGCCGCTGATCCGGATCGTCGTCGAGCCCCAAAGGTGGGTCATCGTCGTCGTTGTGATAGCAAAGGATCGCTTCGTCATAGCCATATAAGCGTAGTACCACTCCTGGTTGATAAGATATAGGGGCGAGCCGACGGCCTGTGTGATAAAAATGCTGCATAGTTCCCCATGTCAGTACATCTGGTGGAAGATTCAGCCTTGTACGCCGGTTCGAATGGTCACACGTACGCAATACAGCATGTCCAGAAATAGACGGCGAAACACAGCCCTCGCAATAGCTGTACAATAGGGCCATGGCCCTGCTTCCCCGACGGGTTGAATGCTTTAGATCCTGCACTATTTTTCTCGAGAGATTTTCCCACCAAGCCGGCCACATCCGGGGCTGGGATGTTCAAATCCTCAGCCATGATTATACAAGCAGATGATCGAACAGGGAGGGTTTCGTGCGATGCGGGAGAGGATTTAGACGAGAGGGAACAAAAAAGAAGAGTCTTGCTTCTCTCAGTCCTATCGGATCATGCTATAGTCTGCGGAGTTCGGGTCGCTGGAGCTTCGAGGCCCCGCGTGACGGTGGTCGGAGTTGGGCTGAACCCGAGGCTGAGCTAGCTCCTCGCCGAGCTCTGCCAGACCGGTAGCGACGGGTTTGGGTAATTGAAAGGCACAGGCTCGCAAAAAGGTGGTATTGGAAGCTCGGTGAAGGAGGCCGTGAGACCTACAAAAAAACAGAGTCGAGCAGTGAAGGCCGAAGCGTGTAGCATTGAAGCATCCAGCTCCTCAGTAGCTGCGCCCCCAAGTTGGGGTTACGGATGACGTCCCGTCATTTGTGCCTGGTGGGGGAAAGGACGCCCGTGAACGGCGACTGTACCCCAAGCAGCCAATCAGGCACGTGCTAATGATCACCCGCCCAGGCGGCTGATGCGCGCCCGAGACATCAACAATCAGCGGTTGGGCTGTCGTCGTGGCATGATACGAACCAGAAACAAAAACCGAGTTTCCTGCTGGCTCGGACTTTTACCATGAAGAAATAAACTTCCGAAGCTCGGCGCCGAGCATGGCCAGAGATGAAGTCATATCACGACCTGGCCGTTCACTGACATGTGAATCAGTTACATCAAGACCCCCGCCATGCTGCCTTATCTGGCAGGCGGTGGGTTGCAGCGACCGATTCTGCCGCTCCGACAACTAAACCGAAGAAACATGGATGGCTGCAAGTTTTGCCCGGTTGTTTGACTCCTCACCCACGCAAAAGAGCATGTTTACCGTTCACTAAGCATGGCTAGTCTTCGCTTGTATAGACTACCTCAACTGTCTCGCCAAGTTTCCAGGCCACTCAAGGCCCCGTGCACCACTATCCCTCCACAATGTGGAAGGTGTCTCTCCACCACACGAACACTCGACAGGTCTGATATCCGCAGCATCTCAGACCTCCCCGAACGCACGAGTCCACGATATCTCAAAAGCATAAAGCCAGGCTCCTCGCTTCTATCGCTAAAATGGCCCCGGCCGCCCCGCAATCTTCTCCTCGTCCAAAAGCTATATTCCACCACGGTTGATGAAGCTGTCGTCAAGTTCGCCAAGCACATCCACACCGAATACCCGAATGTCAACCTAATCCTCGAGCCGCGTATTGCCCCGCTGGTACAGGAGAAACTGAATTTCCCCATCTACGTCTCCGACGAATCAACAAACCTGGCAGACAAGGTGGACGTCATGGCGACATTTGGCGGTGACGGCACGGTCCTGCGGGCTGCCAGCCTCTTCAAGCTCCATGGGTCCGTACCCCCGATCGTCTCGTTCAGCATGGGGACGCTCGGGTTCCTCGGCGAGTGGGACTTCTCAGAGCACAAGAAAGCATGGCGCGATGTGTACATGAGCGGGAGCGACGTGGCCGTGCGTGACGCCGCGTTCCCCCGCGGGATCGAGGCCAACAACCCAGTCACCGGCTCGCACGCCGGTTGGGAGGATATCAGGGGGAAGAGCATGGGCGCACAGCGGGCTGCCAAGATCCTTCTGCGGCACCGGATCAAGGCCGACATCTTTGATGCGTCCGGCGCAAACATCAACCATCGGCTGTCCAGCAGCCTGGCGAACGAGGCGCCGAC